AGACGAGTGTTATAAAACAATCGATTATATAGAAGATGCTTTATGTACACCAATGCCAATCATGCGAGATAACTTGTGTAGAACTACTTATATCAGCATATTACCGTAGGTTTTTATTATTGTGAGAATAGACCTACTTGTATCAACATAGTGATGTATGTTTTATTAGTTTGAGAATAGACCTACTTGTATCAACATTGTGATGTCTGTTTTATTAATTTGAGAATAGGCCTACTTGTATCAACATTGTGATGTATGTTTTATTAATTTGAGAATAGACCTACTTGTATCAACATTGTGATGTATGTTTTATTATTATGAGAATAGACCTACTTCTATCAACATAGTGATGTATGTTTTATTAGTTTGAGAATAGACCTACTTGTATCATCAGCATATTACCGTGTGTCGTACTATTTAAAGAATAGGTCTAGCGGTATCAGACAGAGTATATTGCCGAGGTCAGCATTGTCTAAATGTATACCTCGCTTGCTAAGCAGTGTTTCGGGCATTTTTCTGTATAGGGGGGGGGGCACTTGAAATTTCCGGGTGGCGGGTGAAGTATATATTTTGTATGTTAATTTTATATCCTTGTTCCAGGTTGGGGGGGGGGGGGGTAGGAAGGTAGACGTACTCCGGGGGCCGGGGGTGCCTCAAAGATCTGTTGCAGACCCCTAAGTCACATTTCAAAAGTCGGGCTGACTAAACTGCCCATCATGTCCAAACCAGGAAGTAGCCAGTGGTGTTTCAGTATAAATACAGAATCCATTCCACTTATCTTGGGATCAGAGGCGTAGCGACCCCTCCCGTCGCCCGGGGACAAACTCTCAATTTTGCGCCCCCCTCCACATATATTTTTAATATTTATAATTCAAAACTGCAGCTAAAGTGAGCTTTTATTTTTTTTTCAAACCCATTTCTGCCCCCCCCCCCAAGGTCGGCGCCCGGGGACATATGTACCCCCCCCCCTCCCGTCGACTCTGATTAGGATGGGTAATACAATTTTGAGAACCGCAATTTGTGGGGGAAAAAGTATGGATAAAATAAAGGCTTAACGTGAAAATTATAGAGCTAATGAATCATGTATGTCTTGGAAAAGTGTTTCCTTTTATTTGTTAAATTCTAATTTGGTCTGATTTATTGTTGAAAAATGTGAAACATTGAAGGTTGGATGTTTTAATAAACAAAATACTGATTTGTACGAACGATTTGCTATAATATGAAAACCATACGTTCAATTATTAAAATAATATCAATACTCATATGACTTTAACATTTACTTGCTTTGTTATTAAAATGTTGGTATTATTTTTAATGACGGTCAATGTGAAAAAAAGGCCCCTCTGCTTAACGTTGTTACCGTTATAAAATAAAATTTTAGTATATTGCTACGATCAACATTATTTCAAATTCATTTCAAAATTATCTTTTTCTCAGGTCTACGTTTTCTTAAGTGTGTTGAGGGAAGTAAAATATAAGTTACAAGACGTTTTTGTATTAATATCTTTGTTGAATTGCTAAGCCGAGAGTAACAGTGCCGAAATATAAATGTATTTAATCTGCTTTAACTCTACTATAGAAGGACTGTTTTTCTTTTCGCTAGCAGGCGAAATAAATACTAACAATTAATTACACCGTGTTTACATACTATAGGCCTACATGTCTTGGACAAAATGCGCAAAAAGTAGGTATACATGATCCTAGGAAAAAATGTTTTCATAATACAATAACTTCATGCGAGTTTTTTTTTCTGGACATGTACAGTATAGGGTTTACATGTCGCAAGTGTAAACACGGTGTAAGGACGGGTGAGTTATTTTTAGCAACTTTACGTCATCGGTCACGAAGCAGGTAAACTGTACTTCAACTTATATATTTCGTTACTAGGTGATTTCGTTGATAATTTTTTATACCAAATATGTTTTTTCTGTAATATTACTACTTGTGATAGTTAAACCCTAGTTAATGACTCTAATAACTATAAGAAGTCAGCCAAGATAACTGTTTTCAACATCTCAGCATTAAAACTCAGGAATTCAGAGATCAGCATATATCACAGTCATTCATGTCATTCATAGATTACCACAAAAAGATCAAATATCATTTTCAGCAATTCAAATAATAAACAATTAATTAATTAATTAATCAACTTTGGAAGGTCAATACATAGATGATCACTGGTCGGCATGGTCGTATGGTCCACCCAGCTCTGATGGGTAACTAACTCAGGTTGGGGAAAGTATAGGGGTCATCCATAAATGACGATTTTTACCTCCCCCCTCCCCTCTGTCACACGTCGTCACAAAAAGCCAGACCCCCACCCTAAAATGACGTCACACCTCAGCCTACAACCCCCCTCTAAATTGCATTTGAATTATTTTTTTAACATCGATATTTTTTTCCCCAAAATCTTGTCTGAAATCTGTCAAAATAGAGTATTTTAATCAATTCCTATTACAATTTATTAAAACTGTTTTCTAAAACGTCTAAAATTCGTTTTACAACATTTCTTTTCTATAAAGCAAAAGTGTGACGTCGCACCATCTGACCCCCCTCCCCTTCATCACACATCGTCATAAAATTACCGACCCCCTCCCCCTACGAGTGTGACGTCATTTATGGACGACCCCCTCGGGCTTTTAAGTAGGTCACCGGACAGCCTGTGTTAGCGGTTTGGCATATTGTTGACCACACTATCCCTTCACGTGCCGAGGTCATGAAACATGAACAACTACTTCATCAGATTTATGGATTTTTTTTGTCTCAAATGGGAAACTGTACACATATGATCAAAACTTTAGAGATCAACATATCAAAACTCTCTACATCAAAGATCTCCTGTGTACAACACGTTTAAAGTGTTCAACCAGGTCAGGGTGTTTTAAGTGTATTAACTTGTTGACGTGTAACTCGATTTAACTTTGTGAAAACAAGTTACCCTATATTATGGATTTAACACAACAAGATTGGTTTACACATTGTATAATGTATAACATGACAATCGTATCCTTAGCTCGTCATCAATACTAGTTACATACATACAACTAACATCAGATCGATATTAAATCATTATTTACGTATTTTTATTGCACTTTTTATATTTGTATCGGGTCGCCTTTTCTCCGAGTTGTGGAAATTCACACGACTAATCCTTTCCAAACTTACTACCAGAATGCTACTTAAAAAACACGATTTTAACGTGTAGGCCTACTCCAATGCTACTACTGATTTATTTTTTTTCGAAAATATTCATTATTTAACGTAACATATAGAATGTGATAAGAAAAATAAATTTTTAAAAGCGTTTTAAAATTATCAAAAACGATAGAGTGTGATGAACACATTTAAGGGATATTCCATATGTTAACTAGTTGCATGGTATAAATCATTTATGTTTTATCAAAAGAAAGTTTTTATTAGTATTATTTTTTGTAGTCGCACGCAGCATTTTGTTAAAACCTTAAGGCTACATCGGTTTCAGCTGTTATCTTACGACAATTTGTTTTCATCAACGCTTAATTCAAATGAGGTTCTAGTTTTTTCAATAGATTCAAAGCTTTGACCACCTGCTCTATTTAAGATGAGCGTATGCATGTACATGTATACATTATGTGTGCAGTTTTGTAACATATAAGTGTTGTAATAGTAAATGATATGTGTGGACGTCCACAGGAACCCAACCACCACCTTTTCAGTACCCCCCCCCCCCAACCAGCCTAACGGCGTAAACGTCAAATATTAATGACTCCTAATTTGTATGTAAGCTCGTGCCTACCGCCCGTACTTGGATGATAATAATTTACATAACATGTGAGCAGTTATATGTTAGTTGTTCAAGTTTTACGTATTTCTGTGCACATTTTATATAGGTATTTCTGTGCAAGTTTTTATATAGATATTTCTGTGCAAGTTTTTTGTAAAGGTATTTCTGTGCGCTTTTATATGTGTAAATATGTGCAAGTTTTTATATAGATATTTCTGAGCAAATTATCTTCAGGTATTGTTATGCAAGTTTTATGTAGCTTTCTTTGCAAGTTTTTATACAGGTATTTCTGTGTTAGTTTTTATATAAGTATATGGAAATATCTTTGCACTTTTTTATAATTGGTATTTTTTATATACATATGTCTGTACACATTTTTATACAGGAATTTCTGTGCAAGGTTTTACTTTATTACTTCATCTTACCGTTAGACTGATGAATTGTTTAAAACTCTCAACGAAAAGGGTACAACGTTAAATGTAAAAAGACAGTTTACTTATATTTCAATTTCAAAAATTAATTAATGTGTTTGTATTATTTTTTGTTGTTTTTATCACAAATTGAAAACAAACAAAAGAAAAATTTAATTAATTTATTTTACTTTATTCATCGCTAACGATGTTCTTTGACCACAATCACGTATACACATTAAACAAAACATTTCAAAAATGAAATTCTCCATCTTTGTTTTCATGTCTTCAATAACCTGAAAAGAAAAACGAGAAGAGGGTCATAGTAAAACTAACTGTAACTTTTAAATACGTTTTTCTATTTTTTACGCGAAATCTTCTTTTGCTTTCATGGATAATTACTTAAACAATGTTTGCGTTTTTCAAGCTTGTTAGTTTGAAAAAAATAATATTTCGTTTAATACTTCATTTAAAAGAAGAAAAAAAATGTAGGTGTTTTTTTCACACTAGGTGAATGGTAGTTTGTACATAATAACATGTTTTATTAACAAGAATACTGTAATGAAATATCATCATCATCGTTACCGTCTGTGTCCAAGATACATGGGGTAGCTGAAGTAGAGTGCATCTATTTTAATGACTTCAACATACAAGGGAATAATGTGGTCAGCACTATGCCCAGCCGTCTTTGTTTCCCTAACGTGAGTTAGGTGCCCATCAGAGCTCGTGTTCTTCTGAATAGAACCCGGATTCGAACTCGAGGCTTTCTACCGCAAGGCAAATGAAATATGATACAGCTAAAACAAAGATGTACATTGACCAACCTTACCTCACTGGTCGGCCCTTCTACCATTGTATCTGGGCTTGTACACTCTAGACTCCTGCTTGTAGCTGTCGTTACGGTAGCTCTTGTTCCCGTAGCTCTTGTTCCCGTAGCTCTTGTTCCCGTAGCTTCTGTGCTTCTCCTCGTAACCACGGCGGGACTTCTCCTTGTTCCTGTAGCCGTAGCTCTTCTCACCGTAGTGGTTCTCCCTGTTGTAGTGGTTGTAGCCCCGCTCCTCCCCGTACTTCTTCATCTTGTACCCGTGGCTCTTGTCCTCGTTACGGTACCCGTAGCTTTTCTTGGCGTAGGCGAGGGACAGCAGCGTCACAAGGAGGAGGCAGAGGATCAGCTTATAACTGGCCATGATGCTACAACTTTGTTACTGTATGTATAAAACAATGACATTTTTACTTTCTCGTATATACGAAGTATAGAGAAAGTATTGTAATCGTGCAAAAAAAAAATCTAGATTTTTACAAATCTCGACGTTTTACACCTCACTGATACGGAAAAACATAATTTTGCAATCTTGTCCGTATGTCTGTGTGTCTGTCTGTGTGTCTGTGTGTCTGTCTGTCTGTCCGTGTGTAAACACGATAACTTGAGTACCGTTACAGCTAGGTTGATGAAATTTCATATATAAGTATTTTATCAAAATCGTAGATCCGTAACAACTTTTGAGCGATTTCCGATAACCGGAAGTGGTACTTTTCCTACTTTGAATTTTTCAAAAGCCTATAATTTGAGTACTATTTCAGATAGATAAATGAAATTTCACATGTAAGTAAAAGATCTAATTCTCTACCTTCTGTTAAATTTTGAGTAATTTCCGTTGACTGGAAGTAGTACTTTACGCTACTTCCGATTTCTCAAAAAACTAATGTAAATTTTAAAAGTACTAATAATATTGCGCACTATTATGCGCTTTTTTATAAGGCGTTCACTTGGTGTGCAATTAATTGTCTACGAGATTTTATTCTATTTTTAAAACTTAAAGTATTTAAAATGGATTAAAAATCATGTCTATAGCCCGAGTTCCCATCCCCTGTTATTTTATATAAGAATATTCGAGAAAGTTTAGGGGAGATCACTCCCGGTTTATTTAATAAAAATATTGTATTTAGAATTTAAATATTAATATAGTATGGATGGGGCGGTGTGCTCGACTGATGGAACTTTCGATTTCTAACCCTAAAGTTTCGAGTTCGGATCCCGGGTTTGAGGCTACACTCAGTACCTGAGTAAACCCAGCTCTGATGTGTACTTGATTAACTTTAAGGAAAGGAAATGCGGCTGGTCACAGTGTTGACCAGACCTATCCTTCCTATGCCGAGGTAACTGAAACAGATGCACTATACTTCATCAGCAGAAATGACCGTTATTTTGAAAGGAAATGTAACAGTAAAATGTAAGGTGAATGCATGTTTCGAGTATGTTTCATAAAAAGGCGATATAAATCTAAAATATAGTGTGGGTGTGCGCATGCGCTAAAAAAAGGAAGCAAAGGGGTAGAGAGCGGGAAAAAATGGCGATGTTTTGGCAGTGAAGTCGTTGTATCAATGAACCAATAAAATCATGAAAATTTCCTAAACGTCGGTTGTTTAATGTTATAAATCAGACTATAATATGTAATAACAAAGGAGGAGAGAGGAGAGCGGTTGGTATTTGTTTTTTTGAGTTCGTGCCATGATTGGCAGCAGAAAAGGCCGTGACATTTTGGCATACTCGAAACATGCATTCACCTTACATTTGACTGTTACAGGAAACAACTGAATATAAGATATTTTTTTTCTAGCACTCCTTTCCTACCCCCGCACACCCCCCCCCCCCCCCTCTTCCCCACTTCTCCAAAGTATTAGTTTAGTATTGTTACTAAAAATGAAATTATGAAGTATTGAGAATGTTCAATAGGCCTATCAAGATCGCGAATGCATCATACATATATGGCTAAGGTCATATCCACGCCTTCCCCAACATGTATTAACTTAACAGTAGGCAGCTGGGCTAGATAAGGTATATTTAATATGTTACATTGATGTAAAGGTTCCAGTAACACAGAGAACGTAATTGTCATAAGAAAACATGGATTGGATTTACAAATTATTTTAAATTCAGAGTGATAAACAATACAACCTAATAACATTTCAATTCGCTAAATATATTACAATTATTTCGCTGAATTCTTCATACTTATAAACATATAATAGGTGGAATTTTAAAATTTCTTTCACTTTCAGTACAGATGTTGATGACCTGCACATGATACAAACCAGAAGCCTAGAGTTCAAATCCCCATCTTCTCATTGTGTGTGCCTTTACCATCAGTACACTCTGAAATATCTTTCACAAGTAAACACTCACCTGAATGTTTTACAGACCAGTTAAGATTTCACCACAGCCAAAACCTAGGCAGGTCCATGGTTTTATAGAAAGTTTCCTTTAGTCCTCATTAGATATGTTACTATGACAAGTTCATTTAATAGAAGCAGTAGGATAAAAGAGAAGATAAAAGGGAAATTAGAATAATTAAATATGGATGTATTTCTTATCATAAAACGATCTTTCAGGGCTGATTTAATGTCCAGGGTTTCAAATTGATGCTACGGTCCCTGCACATGGAATTCTTATATTCAGTCTGTAGTGTTAAAAGACGGTTTTTTTTTTGTAGCAGAATTAGTGTGTTGTATAGTAGTGATTTACTATGTAACAGTGGTTTTGTCTGTATGTTTGTGTGTAATATAAAAAAGTAAAAAAAAAGGTATTTGTTTACTGCCTGTTTGAAGTGGTATTTTCATTCTTCGAATTGAAATTCATTAGTAAATATGATAATCACGAAATATTAATCTACTCACTAGCAAGAAGGTTCTAAAACTGTTTTCTCTTACCCCCACCCTTTCCAAAATCTGCTCTATTACAGTTTCTGTGGGACCCAACATCTGTAATAAACTTTTCTTGTAGATAATTGTTTAATGCGAGGAACCCGATCACTATTGTTTACATAATATAAAACTTGGTTTTGTCCATTTTCATTTTCTTACCAGCCATAGAAAAAGAAAATTAAAATACTACAGCTCAAAAATTAATTTTATTTAAGAAATATTGTTATAAGATTGGCCAATACATGTAAATTGTACTTGAAAGCATTTTTGTTTTGCCTTTATCGCGTTTAAACTTGTGAATGTCAGCAAAACCTAGTAATGCCATTGTTTGGCCACCATATAAAACCAAATTGGTTTGGCTATTTTGTTTAGATACCTAAAGCGTTAAAAACCACAAACACAGCAAATCTAAAATGAATAGTGATTAAAAAAACTCACACTCAAGTTTATATAATCACGTATGTTTTATTAATAACACTGCAAATGATTTTTTAAAAATGTCAAAAATGTAACAGAACTTCGAGATTACAACTCGCCTGATGCTACCATGCAGGTAGATAGGACTATACATTGTTTATTCATTTTACTGCATCTTATCTGTGTTTTTAAACATGATTCGCATTGTTTTCATTGCGGCTTGTAATAGTAATGGTTTTAATTTCTCAATATTCAACTCTTTGAAACAGCATACAACACAGGCACTTTGTTAAATAATTACATTTTTGAGGACCTTTATTTAAATTAATGAAGATCGCTGTAGAATATACACTTTCTCTGCTTACATCTTTGGTTTTAATTTTTTTAATGGTTGGTCGTGGGGTGAAACAAAGTTCAACATTTTTATTGAACTTCCATCTAAGATAATCATTTGAAAAAAAAGGATTAACTCCAAAGGCAAATCGTTATCCTTTTCAAAACAGTTAATCCTTTAATCTATAGGCTATAGTGTCTCGAGTGATATGCGCTAAACTTGTATAGTGTATCTGACCACTGAAAAAAAACGGTCAGCCTTTTTGCTTCAAAGTAGCATTAATCTCCACACTCCACTAGTGTACTGTAGCCCATAGAATAACATCTATAGTTAGATGATACTACGTAGCCGTAGTGTGCCAAACAGTAGATAAACTAAATATGTAGCCAGCGATGTACCAACGCCAGATAAACCAAATATACAGCCATCAATGTGCCAACCCAAATTAAAATACATATGCAACCATCAATAAGCCAACCCCAAATAAACCAAATATACATCCATCAATGTGCCAACCCAAAATTAAAATACATATGCAACCAGCAATAAGCCAACCCCAGATAAACCAATATACAGCCATCAATGTGCCAACTCAAAAATAGAATACAAATGTAGCCAAAATATGCCAACCCAAGATATACTAAAATATACAACCAGCAATAATGCAAACCCAAAAAGTAGAATACATATGCAGCCAGCAATATGCCAACCCCAGATAAACAAATATACAAACATCAATGTGCCAACCTAAAAATAGAATACATATGCAGCAGGTAATATGCCAACTCAAGATAAATCAAATATATAGCCAGCAATATGCCAACATGTAAACAAACAAAAACAAGTACATATTGAGACATATGTGCTAACCCGTAGTTGCTCTAAGATATTTTATCGCCGTACTGTGTACAAACACCACTAAGATATTTTATACCCACTACTGTGTACAACCACCACTAAGATATTTTATACACAGTACTGTGTACAACCACCGCTAAGATATTTTATCCCAGTACTGTGTACAACCACCACTAAGATATTTTATACCCAGTACTGTGTACAACTACCACTAAGATATTTTATACCCAGTACTGTGTACAACCACCACTAAGATATTTTATACCCACTACTGTGTACAACCACCACTAAGATATTTTATACCCACTACTGTGTACAACCACCACTAAGATATTTTATACCCAGTACTGTGTACAACCACCACTAAGGTATTTTATACCCACTACTGTGTACAACCACTACTAAGATATTATATACCCACTACTGTGTACAACCACCACTAAGATATTTTATACCCACTACTGTGTACAACCACCACTAAGATATTTTATACCCAGTACTGTGTACAACCACCACTAAGATATTTTATACCTAATACTGTGTACAACCACCACTAAGATATTTTATACCCACTACTGTGTACAACCACCACTAAGATATTTTATACCTAGTACTGTGTACAACCACCACTAAGATATTTTATACCCACTACTGTGTACAACCACCACTAAGATATTTTATACCCACTACTGTGTACAACCACCACTAAGATATCTTATACCAGTACTATGTACAACCACCACTAAGATATTTTATACCCACTACTGTGTACAACCACCACTAAAATATTTTATACCCAGTACTGTGTACAACCACCACTAAGATATTTTATACCCAGTACTGTGTACAACCACCACTAAGATATTTTATACCCACTACTGTGTACAACCACCACTAAGATATCTTATACCAGTACTGTGTACAACCACCACTAAGATATTTTATACCCAGTACTGTGTACAACCAGCACTAAGATATTTTATACCCACTACTGTGTACAACCACCACTAAGATATTTTATACCCACTACTGTGTACAACCACCACTAAGATATTTTATACCCAGTACTGTGTACAACCACCACTAAGATATTTTATACCCACTACTGTGTACAACCACCACTAAGATATTTTATACCCACTACTGTGTACAGCCACCACTAAGATATTTTATACCCACTACTGTGTACAAGCACCACTAAGATATTTTATACCCACTACTGTGTACAACCACCACTAAGATATTTTATACCCACTACTGTGTACAACCACCACTAAGATATTTTATACCCACTACTGTGTACAACCACCACTAAGATATTTTATACCCAGTACTGTGTACAACCACCACTAAGATATTTTATACCCACTACTGTGTACAACCACCACTAAGATATTTTATACCCACTACTGTGTACAACCACCACTAAGCTATTTTATACCCACTACTGTGTACAACCACCACTAAGATATTTTATACCCACTACTGTGTACAACCACCACTAAGATATTTTATACCCACTTCTGTGTACAACCACCACTAAGATATTTTATACCCAGTACTGTGTACAACCAAAAACAGACAAACATAATAAATAGGCACAGCGTGCAACATGCTAATCACCTGAATACGGTCAGTACTACAGAGCAAACTCTTGTAATTGTTGTGTTCTGTTATGGTGTAGAACCTATGGCTTCATCTGGTCGCTTGAATGTGTCAACATTTACAGCTGACACGTGTATATGTGCACAATTATTTTAAATAATAAATCGTAATAAGTAACATTTTTGCGCTTTAAAACGTTTGGATAGATATGAAATGTTGTGGGGCTCTGGTTTTGCAAGTTCTCGGCTACAATTAAATACAATTTCATTTTTGTTTTCACTTTGAAGGTAAAAAAGTTTCAAAACGTAATTTGAACAAGTTGCATTTATTGTGTGACAAACGAAACATTTTTTTTTCTTTCTGAAAGCTATATTGTTTCTAATTCTACAAAGATTCTAAAAATCCGTTTAAAATGGAAAATATGTCTAAGTATTTGGGTTTTATACTCAAATTAACTGTATCTATTAAGAAAAATCAACGTCAAAAAAGCATCCTTTATTTAAATATTAGATTTATTATTCTGTTTAGTTAACAGTTCATTGATTTAAGTGGTGAGCCATTGTAGTAGCGTAGAGAGGTCGGGTATCACCCGGTGCAGCACTTAGTGGTGTCATCCCCCCCCCCGTAAGAAATATATATATATATATATATATATATATATATATATATATATATATATATATATATATATATATATATATATATAAAGCAAAGTGGTCAAGTGCCCGTTAGGGCACTTCCCGGCGCCGCAGGCGCGTCAAATTTGGCACGATGGTGCCTTGGGGCGATAGAACACGAGGGCCGGTGACGGTTGGCCGAAAAGTCTACGGAGAAGGGGTCAAAACTGACCTCGACTGACGGCAACGGGCTATATTACGAAAAAACATTTTCTCCGACGACCCCCCTTGAAACTTTGTGAGGTGGTAGGAGAACGCCTTGGGGTGTCACAAAAAACTCGGCATGTCCGGGAAAATTCGTTAAATGGGTCAAAACTGACCAGTCGTATTTCCCTATATAATCTTTGTATTTTATGTGAAAAACAGAGGGTAATTTCAAAACGGATTTGAGGGCACTTACCCTCTTTACATCTGGCTAATTTTTTGCATGCTTTTAGGTAAATGGCTTGACCTTTAGGAAAAACTGTCGGTTTCACTCAAAGCCCTCGACGAGGGCTAAAAAGTAACCGCGAGTGAAATTCTCTTTATATGAGCTCTATTACGAAAAAAAAATTTCCTCCGACGACCCCCCTTGAAATTTTGTGAGGTGGTAGGAGAACGCCTCAGCGTGTCATAAAAAACTCGCCATGTCCGGGAAAATTCGTTAAATGGGTCAAAACTGACCAGTCGTATTTCCCTATATAATCTTTGTATTTTATGGGAAAAACAGAGGGTAATTTCAAAACGGATTTGAGGGCACTTACCCTCTTTACATCTTGCTCATTTTTTGCATGCTCTTAGGTAAATGGCTTGACCTTTAGGAAAAACTGCCGGTTTCACTCAAAGCCCTCGACGAGGGCTAAAAAGTGACCGCGAGTGAAATTCTCTTTATATGAGCTCTATCACGAAAAAAAATTTCCTCCAACGACCCCCCTTGAAATTTTGTGAGGTGGTAGGAGAACGCCTCAGGGTGTCATAAAAAACTCGCCATGTCCGGGAAAATTCGTTAAATGGGTCAAAACTGACCAGTCGTATTTCCCTATATAATCTTTGTATTTTATGGGAAAAACAGAGGGTAATTTCAAAACGGATTTGAGGGCACTTACCCTCTTTACATCTGGCTAATTTTTTGCATGGTCTTAGGTAAATGGCTTGACCTTTAGGAAAAACTATCGGTTTCACTCAAAGCCCTCGACGAGGGCTAAAAAGTGACCGCGAGTGAAATTCTCTTTATATGAGCTCTATTACGAAAAAAAATTTCCTCCGACGACCCCCCTTGAAATTTTGTGAGGTGGTAGGAGAACGCCTCAGGGTGTCATAAAAAACTCGCCATGTCCGGGAAAATTCGTTAAATGGGTCAAAACTGACCAGTCGTATTTCCCTATATAATCTTTGTATTTTATGGGAAAAACAGAGGGTGATTTCAAAACGGATTTTAGGGCACTTACAGTCTATACATCTGGCTAATTTTTGCATGATTTTAGGTAAATGGCTTGACTATAAGGGAAAACTTTAGGTTTCACTCAAAGCCCTCGACGAGGGCTAAAAAGTGACCGCGAGAGAAATTCTCTTTATATGAGCTCTATTACGAATTTTTGTCATTTGGTCTATGAACAGGGGAGGTAACTTTTTAATGTAATAATTTTTTATATTTTGTATACTCTTTTTAAGAAAAGAAACAAAAATCATAAAGTATAGCATTGTTTAAATACATATTTTGTTATAAATTAAGTTTTGCATTGTACTGAAATTGTAAAATAGAATTGCGAAAGTAATTTAATATAATATTTGATTGATACTATTAAGAAAGCCCTTTCAGTTCTAATAACCCTGCGAGTAATAAGTTTGCGAATATTCCATCAATATTTACTTACCTTGGACTTATTCCACTGTATAAATTTAGGCCCTAAGCATTTAACATAACAGCCAATCACCTATTAATTAATCATTCAATTGCTTTTTCTTTTTAAAACCTAAGCGAAGCTAGGCAGTATGCCTAGTATATATATATTCCAAATACACTTGTAAGTATGTGTATACGCATGTGTATAATATGTATTTTTTCTTCTTCTTCGTTCTTAATTATTAGTGTTAAAGGGGATCGAGATTTATCTACCAGTGGGTTCGAACTCGAGACCTTTTGTTCGAATTTATCAACCATAAGCTTTTTGCCGACTCGACCACGTCTCCAACACAATTAAGCGTTACGTGTCAACTGGTTATGCGCCATTGAGGCCATTGACTCCGATTTCAGCCTGCTTTTCTTTTTGGATTTGCTTCCAGAGCCTTTGTCCAACCAAGAACAAACTACAAGGCAGCAGTTGTTTAATTTTGGAGTTGTCTCTCCTAGAAGAGTGGCTGTCCCCAGCTAACGAGCCTCATCTGCCCGAGGGTTCGAATTCGAGACTTTTCGGTTTAGCAACCATGAGCTTTACCGACTCGACCACGCCGTCCCCTGTATTCATAATAATATGTATTCAAATATTTTTAGTTCTTTTTACCTCCCCCCCCCCCCATCCGCACCCCATACATGGATTAACATATAGCTTATTACGATTTTCAACCAAACCGTTTCCCTCAGGCATATAGTTGATGTAACCCACACTGTGATTGCTTTGAACTGTGCTCAGATAATACTAACGATTTATATCTATAATCGGTTGTAAATTCAGTTGGATGTTGCAGGTAGGTTTTCTTTATCATTAGCAGGTTTACGTCATGGTGTCAACCCCCCCCCCCCCCCCCCCCCCCCCCCCCATCTGTTTCGGGATTTGTCCACTTTGCTCTTTGAAAACTATTTAATTCACTCTAATTAATCATTTAATTAAGTTAAATTATCAATTTTCTGTATATATTTTGCTAATTTTTTTCTTGGTGTCACCCCCCTAAATGGTGTCACACGGTGCGGTCCGCACCCCCGCCCCCCTCCCCCCTCGCTACGCCTCTGAGCCATTGGAACATAGACTACCAACAATGACTTAAACTGTAAAGCTTCTTTTGTATAGTAAACAATGTAAACCTTATACTTTATCACATATATGATACAAAGGCATGGAGGAAAGATATTTATTGGTAATTGCACTAGTAATAACTACAGTAGTTGCATTCTTTAAACAGCGTAGGATTTATAAGAATGGGACTCGTCTCCTAGTCGAGTATTAAAACATATTTATTAATTAAACAATGTCAATGAATCACTCAAAATAATAGTAAAAAAACAATATTTGTCTACTCCTCTAAATCACGATTAAAGCACAAACATCTCAACATTTTACACCTTCCTGAGTCGGAAAAACCTGGTTTTGTAACCTTGTCTGTATGTTTCTCTGTGTGCAAAACATGATAATGTTCGTATAAGATCCTAAATGTATTTCTATTTCATTTTTTAGTTAATTTCCGGTAACCCAAAGTGGTACTTTACCTCTCTATTAAAAACTTAAGAATTCGATACTTTAAAGCAGTATATTTTAAGAACTTTTCGCCGGCGTATGTTTTCTCGAATAAAAATCTTTTTTTTTTTCACAAAATTCCTTTATGCATAAAACCAGAGTCACCCACCTCCTAACATTGCCTCCGCTGTTACAAAGTTAAGGGGAGATCACTCCCGATATTTTTAAAAACGAATTAAGCGAGATGTTCAGTTTGTTGTCGACTAAATAAAGGAAATCTGTTTAGGTCCCCAAATAGACGAACTAGCACGCGTAAAGTGCCGTAGAAGAGTGGTCAAATGTTTTCCTTTTAAAAAAAATATTTTGAGTGATTCGTAGTAATTGTTCAATTAATGAAAATGGAATGTTTTAATGCGTGGCTAGAAGACGAGTCCCATTATTATAAATCTTACCCTGTGTAGAGAATGCAATTACTGTAGTTATTACTCGTGCAATAAAATGGTAAATATATTTTGTCCCAGGCTTTGTATCAAAAGGCCTGTAGCCTACCAATTGCATTCTTGATCCACATTGTTGTTTGTCATTGTTAACACTCATTTTTGATTCCCATAGTTGAGCTCCATTTTTTATTCCCATTTTTGAATTCTATTGTTGATTCCCATTGTTTATGGTAACTGTTGATCCAAATTGTTGATCCCCAATAATGATCATATTGCTAATCCCCTTTATGTATCAAATTTAGATTCCACTGGGTTTTTGATTTTGTAGGTCTGTTGGTTGTGTTGATAAATTATGTGTTTTTAGTTTACTACTATTCTATATCCTGCACGATAGAATTATAATTATATTTTTTGTCCAACGCTTGTGTTTGTATTAAATCATTTTAAATTATTTTCTTGTGACTTAGCAAGTTGCAATTGTTACTGAAATATGTTTCTTAGATACTAGTTGTATTTAGGCTCTTAACCATACGAATGGAGGTTTCATCTTTTCCATTTTCTGCCCTAAACACAAGGCCCTGCAAGTTGATCTTTAAGCAGCCTTTTCTTTTTAAACCGAAATTGGTTAACAAAAACAAAGTGATGAATTTCATGCCATTTTTTACACTCGCACCAACTACCCACCTTTGTTACGACACTGGATAGTTTATTTATCCTAGTTTAGTCTGGGATGATTTTAATTCAAAAATAAATAATCGCAAAACACATTGTATGCATTAAATGCAAAGACAAAAAAAAATACTTTTTAAACGCCTTTATTGGAATAAGCGAAGCGTAAGGATTAGCCTACTCTGTAATTACAAATCAGATAATAAAAAAATTCAAGTTGCTTCTTGTCTTGTTTCTTTAGTTATCTGAGAAAAAAAAACAACGAAATGAAATATAAAAAGCCAAAAACAATTACAACCAGCTTCAAAACATGGATAATACACAACCTAATTACGTTAAAAACAACATAATATGATAATCAAAATTTAATTGTAAATCCTTTATTTATAATTAATATTTGCGCAAACTTATATTAAGCCACTAATGTTAAATCTTAATTTTTCAGCAAACATAACTATCTTCAAAACGTTATCTAACTGCCTCGTAAATATTCTGTTGTTTTTTTTTTTTTTTTTTTGTAATGAACAGTGTAAGACAATGTTACTTCGCCTTATGTGGTGAGGGAAAAGTCCCATTCAAATGGATAAAAGAACTAATCCAACAAAACTACTGCAGATGGTGTAAATAATTCTATTAAAGATTTGGCCTATTGTTTGCATGTTTCTGAGTAGGTGGTACAATTTTATTTCTATACCTATACGCTGGTAATATCAATCGTAACAAAACAAATTCTTCCACTTTCAAAAGTTTACCTTTTTGTAACTAGACAGTTTTGGCGTCGTACCCCAGCTTGCTGGCGTAGGTGATGGGCTTGTAGCTGTACACCCCCGGGCTGTATGTGTCAGCGGGCTTGGTGCCGTAGTCCACGGTTTTGTAGCCAGAAGTTAGAGTCTTGTACCCGTAGCTCTCCGGCTTGTATTCGCTGGTTGCCGTCTTGTAGTAGTCTTTGATGGCGTTGTAACCGTAGTTGTCGGCTACGTAGCCGGGCTTGTAACTTTCAACGGGGGCTTTGTAACTTTCCACGGGGGCCTTGTAACTTTCCACGGGGGCTTTGTAACTTTCAACGGGGGCTTTGTAACTTTCCACGGGGGCCTTGTAACTTTCCACGGGGGACTTGTAACTTTCAACGGGGGCTTTGTAACTTTCCACGGGGGCTTTGTAACTTTCAACGGGGGCTTTGTAACTTTCAACGGGGGCTTTGTAACTTTCAACGGGGGCTTTGTAACTTTCCATGGGGGCTTTGTAACCGTAACTTTCCTTCTTGTAGTCGTCTCTTGATTTGTAAGCATATTCCGCTTTGGGCTTGTACTCTTCTTTCTCAGGCTTGTAAGCGTAGTTATCGGCCTTGTAACTTTCTTTTTTGTAATCATCGGCCCTGTAACCTTCTTTTTTGTAATCATCGGCCTTGTAACGGTAACTTTTCTCCTGGTAGCCGTAATTCTTCTCCTCGTAACCGTAACTTTTTGGTTTGTAACTGTTGTACTTGTCGTTTTTGTAGTACTTCTTATCTTCGTACTCCTTACGACCGTAACTTTTCTCCTGGTAGGTTGGGTAATCTTTACGCTTGTAGCCGTAGCTTCTCTCTTCGTACCGGTCCTTGTTCTTGTAGCCGTACGTCTTCTCCTGGTACCGAGGGTACTCCCTGCGCCCGTAGCTCTTCTCCACGTAGCTGGAATCCTCGTCGTAGTAGTTCTTCTTGGCGTGGACGACCGTCACCATAGCAACTATGGCTAGGCAGAGAATCAATTTTACGCCGGCCATGTTGTTACAAGCTCCTTGCTGTGGGTTACATGCAGAGATGGAAAATTAATTAATCAACGAAATAATTATAGTTACCTTATACGAGGTTAATAGTTACACAGACAAAATCATATCGTAAGCTAGACAAAGCTAGAAAAATGACAAGAACAAAACAGAGATATGTTTAGGTAGATAATTCTATTTGTTGGCTGACGTTTCTATATATTTATAGGTTTAATAGATTGATGAAAGCTCACAATAAATAACAAATAAAACTAATTTTAAAAAATTAAAATTCGTTTTGTTCCAATTTTACCTAAAGAGTCTGCGCTGTGTAAATATACTAAACGACTATACATCATTGCAACAAAATATTCCCTCAATGTCTAGCCTAACAAAACCTTACCTGATGGTCTAACCAAACAATTCCTTATCTAATATTCTAACCAAGCGAAATCTAACCTGACTGTCTAACCAAACAAAACCTTACCTGACTGTCTAACCTAACAAAACCTCACCTAATTGTCTAACCAATCGAAATCTCACCTGATAGTCTAACCTTTCAAAACCTTACCTAATGGTCTATTCTAACTAAACGAAATCTTACCTAATGGTCTAACCTAACAAAACCTTACCTGATTGTCTTACCAACCGGGATAGAACAAGTTGCGAGTTAACCTGAGCCCGGTGTAAGTATTTATAGTAAGTGCGGCTCAACTTTGATTAGATATGCGAACTTGACAAGCGCATTCCATGGACGCAGTTGGGTGGACATCAAAGGAAATTAGAATTTTACAATGATTAAATATGTATTTCCTCAATCACCAAGACAATCTAAGTTAAAGGCTTAGCTTTCATGCAGGGACTTACTTGTATGTGTTTGATATGGTTGTGATGTGTAGTGTACTACGGGTAAATGTCTTAGTTTTATTGTGAGGGTAGATGTAAACGGTTAGGTATTTTTATGATTGCCTTAGTGTATAGCAGGAAAAACTCATGCACTTTTTCGAGGTTCTTTTGTTGAGATTTAGCTCTGTTAGAGTAAAGCTCTGATATTGCGCAACTTGGTTGATGTTTATAATAAGCTGATCTACTCGGATAAGTTTAAAAACCTGGATTATAATGTTACTCTGTTGTATATTGTAATATAATTTTTAAAAGTTGACAGTTAAAAGAGAGTGGACAGCTTTTACTGTGTTCTGTAGCATTAATAGCAATCACTTGTTTGATTGTTTGTATATAGACCTACATAATTTGTATGTAAATAAAGCATACGATTACTACGATCTAATTGCACCGCGTTTTTTTTTCGGCTATACATTTACTTCTATAATCTATTTAGATCAATGGTTCTTAAACGTTTTGGAGGTGCCGAAACCAACTAGTTTCATATGCGCATTCATCGAACCCTTCTTAAAAGTTCGATCAGTATCATCCGAACCGACAAAATCCCATTGTGAATTATGTGAGTCGGGTATCTTTTGACGTCGGCTGAACCCCTCACGCTAACTAACCGAACCCCCGTGGGTTCGATCAAACCCAGGTTGAGAACCACCTATTTAGATTATATAAAACATAATGGTATAGTATACTGTACAGAAGTGTGATAAAAATAAAGACATTTTTTCTTATACACTCAATAGTCTCGGCATTTAACATCTCAGTTTTTTAAAACTAAGAAAGTGATATCTTTATGTAGGCCTTATTTACACATCGTTATGATGATATTAGCAATATATATATTCGTTACATTCATTTAAAGTTAAATAAAATATTTAATTGACAAAGTCTTATTCGATTAAGTTTAAAAAGCAAATATTTGAAAATAAAAAGAAGTTTATATTGTATTTTAACAGATTTTGGCTATTGCTAATTTTATAGCGCATAATAATTTGTTGATTTTTTTTTATTTTTTAATTTTTCATAATACCTTAAATGAAGATCTAGAACTTATATTTTAAAGGTGTTTTTTGTTATTATTGTAGGTCTTCGGTATTCAAGTAAAGGCGACGTACTCGTGCGCACAGATAATACACAGTCATATAGAGTCGTTTACCCTGATGAAAAACTAACAGTCGAAGACGCCCAGACAATGTAAATGATGTTGGGGGAATAAAAAAAAAAAATTATATAAAACACATGATTAAACTTCAACTGTTGTTGATAAATTAATAACGAGGATCAACTAAAATAAAAATGTTGCATCCATTTTGTTTACTTGTCATTCATAGCGTTTGTTTGTTTGTTTGTTTGTTTGCGGGTGTGTGGTCAGATTTTTGTAACTTGATTTTGAACCGCATCTTTGAAAAGTTTCTTGGTAAGTGAACTTTTAATAATAACACAAGGGTATTTTAGTTACAATCTAATAAAGTAAGGTCGGTCATCATTATTAGTTTAGATATTTAATGTACTTTTAAAAAAGGGGAGATAACTATAAAAATGACGATCATGTAAGTCATGTAAGTTGGTGTTCATGTTGAATGTTTACAAATGTTACATTTTGACACGTAATAAGGGCATTAATTAATTAAAGTATAGAGTGATATTTAAAAATACATATTTTCGACATTAAAGCCACTTTTAAATAAAGTTAGCTTTTATAGTCGTTGTGATTGTCCATTCAAGATCAGAATACAGAATTGAAAAGAATGCATTATCAATTTACTCTTATTTTATATATATATATATATATATATATATATATATTTATATATATATATATATATATATATATATATATATATATATATATATATATATATATATATATATATATATATAGGCCTATATATATACACACACTAATGTTGCTAAAGAAATTGTGATTACTTTATTTTTAATGAGTTTAACACATTTTAATTAATAAAGGTATTTTTCTAAACTTTATTCTAGAATTTCATGTTCCGTTTTTTTTTCGATTATTTTGTGTTAGGATAAAGTTTTCGTAATTTGTGTCATGTTGAGTAAAGACTTTCACAGAAGTGTTAGAAATGAGAACAACGGGTTTATTTTTCAATTATTTTATCAATGTTGGGCGCCATTTATTGGTCTATTATGCTTAACAAAGGAATTACTTGGGTAAAAAGCTATAATTGTTTTGGTTTTAGTTAAACACTCTGAATGGTAGTTTAATGGAGACTATGCCTTGTGAAGTTCATTTAAAATTTTCTCGGGCATTCATTTTACAAAACATTCAATAGACCAAAACACAACACAACTAGTGGAAGAAAGGGCAACAATTAACAATACAAATATTAGGGTTGTCAAAAATAAGCATCTATAGCTACAACAGCAGTTTTGGAAGTCATTGTATTGAGCCAAAGGAACATTGTATTCTTGTGTGAAATTCATGTTAACTTTCTGTAAATTGTTTTATAATACCAAACAAGCTAAATGATTTAGTATTTTAATATCTGCTATTCAGTGTAGATTCCATAAAATCTGGATTTTTCAGTTTTAGGGTTCTTAGAGATTCTTATCTGTTACTAGAACTTTTTTTCCTTGACCTCAAAATGTGTAGATTCAATATTGATTTATGGTTGCTACTAAATTCTTATGTAAACAAGTGCTCATAGTTCTCAAGTTGATCATCAATGCCATCAAATAATGATACCGCTGAATTTTAAATATAACGACTTTTATTTCCACATCAGCGTATGGCGTAGAAAATGAAGCAGCATCTTAAACTATATGGCTAGAGCAAAGCTTTGTCGGAACGGCACATGTTTTTATACACACACAACGGGTAACGTATTCAATGATTAAATCTAATCGCAACAAACTCAAGCGCAAAAATCCGTGTCTTACTGCACCTTCTTAATTTCAGATAGTGTTTTTACAAGATAATTACTGTTGTATAAATAAAAAATTAAATTACCTACTTTTGTGGTTTTGCGTTTCGTTTGTTTGAATTTTATATTTTAGTTTATCTTGACACGATCGTTGATGTGGTTTAACTTTCCAATTTTAGAACTAATTATAGCAAACCTCGAGTGTAGAGTAATGAATAATTAATGAAGCTGTGCGCCCGAGGTTAAGTTTGTGGCAGATCGGGGGAGACGCTGGGGTAATCCTAATACGCTGGATTAAGATTAAAATCTGGTCACTTCTCTGCACCGGGTTAATGACCTGGTAGGTAGTCGTGGACAAATGACCTGGTAGGTAGTCGTGGACCAGTGTTTCTTCCAGACTTTTTTCTCTGGGGGGCACTTGAAATCTTCGGGGGGCGGTAAACTTTCTTCGGGGGGGCGGACACTGTTAAAAGTATATATTTTCTATATAAATTATATAAATTTCATTTCGTTTGGGGGGGCGGTAAAATTTTTTCGGGGGGGGCTTGTCCCCCCCCCCCCCCCCGAAGAGATGCCTGGAAGAAACTCTGTCGTGGACAAATGACCTGGAAGGTAGTTATCGGATAATGACCTGGTAAGCTGTCTTGGACAAACGACCTGCCTACTGCTTGATCTTTTACTTTCTTTTAATTTGTCAATTATAAACATTTGCATCTTCCCCCATATAGAAATTGAGCTCCAACAACATTTCTAGTACTGCAACTGTATTATTTCTTTCAATTGAATATTGTTATAATTTTAGCGAGGATCATGAAATAAATTATGGTTTCTTGTCGGATAGCTCAGCTATCTATTATGTATTTAATTCAATCTAAATGTATTTTTACATTGAGTAGATTATAAGATATAATGATTGCTGAAATAATGTAGCAGCTGATGTTATATGTGTACACTGTGAGCAACAGTGAAATATAGAAATAAACACAGGTGCCGGGTGAAACTAATGACAACATCATCATATCTAATAAACTGGGGGAAAACGATGTTTAATTAAAGTTATAAACGCATACGTAATTTCTAAAAAAAATTAAAAAGCTTAAAAAAATATTGCATTACTTGATTTTTAAACTTGGCAACATTAAAAACTAAGTACTTTACTAATAAAGTGACTTGAAACGCATATATACTAAAATTCTATATATAAAAAACAAACAACAACTCATTATCGGTGTACGAACTGTGATATTCTTCAAGTAACGTGAAATTTGGTATTATAATGAAAGCAAAATAAACATAAATTGCTATTTCAATGCCAATTTCATGGTGCCATAATCCAATTCCAGGACGATCCAACTATCTATCCTGCAGTTGACCTATAATCGATCATATTAAAATATGTGATTTGAACTCGATATTTCCGACATTAAAGTGGTTAATTTGTTTTACCTCGTCTGTTTGGTTTGTATGTGAGTTAATACTCGCATATCCTGTTTTTAAGCTCTAATTATGTGTAGCAAGAAATTTACTAAAATTTTAATTAAAATTAAAAATTTCAATTATGTCTTTTTTTTTTTAATTGAACAGAATCGACTCTGCTTAAACAACGTCAAAAGAAATAAAAACAAGGAAAGGTTTGATGTCGCTCTGTGCATGGTCTTGAATACCGCAACATTAGCGTCACACACCACTGGTGTTTGTTCAGTAGGAAGTGCCTGTAAAACAAAGATGGCGGCCTCGTTAATCAAGGTCAACATGATACGGATGGACAAAGAACAGACATATAAGAAGAAAGGATGATAAAGTGAAACAGATATTCCCAAGCTAGATTTATAATTGGAGTCGCTAAACAAATATTTATTGAATCCGTCGTCTTGCGGGAAACTTGATTCACATTGTATACGTTATTTTAATCATTATCAATTAATACATACCAGAAGATGACTTTCCGTAGGATCCGGAGCCGTAATTTGATGGACTAGTGTTGTAGTTGGAGCCGTAGTTGGAGCCGTAGTTGGATGGCCCGCTGTTTGAACCGTAGTTGGATGAACTTGAGCTGTAGCTATTGGAGCCGTAGTTGGATGGGCCACTGTAGGCAGAGCCGTAATTGGAGCCGTAGTTTGATGGACCACTATATTTGGAGCCATAATTGGAGCCGTAGATGTTGCCTCCGTTGAAGTAAATACCATCCATGTATTGGTCGTTGTTTCCAACTGGTCCGTTGTTGTAGCCGTAGGCGTAGCCGTTGTTACCGTAGCCGTTGTTGTTGTAGCTGTTGCTACCGCTGTTGTAACCATTGCTACCGCCGTTGTAGTTGTTGCTAGCAGTGCTATAACCATTGCTACCAGCATTATAGCTGCTACCAGCATTGTAGTTGTTGCTACCGCCGTTGTTGTAGTTGTTGTTAGCACTGTTGTAACCGTTGCTACCAGCATTGTAGCTGCTACTACCAGCATTGTAGTTGCTACTACCAGCATTGTAGTTGTTGCTACCGGTGTTGTAGTTGTTGTTAGCACTGTTGTAACCGTTGCTACCAGCATTGTAGCTGCTACTACCAGCATTGTAGTTGTTGCTACCGCCGTTGTAGTTGCTATTACCGGCGTTGTAGTTGCTACTACCAGCGTTGTAGTTACTACTTCCGGCGTTGTAGTTGTTGCTACCACTGTAGCCTGCATTGGTGTTGCTACTGTACCCGTTGTTGTTATCGTTGCTAGCCACTCCGTTATCGTAGGCGGCATCGACCTGCTTGACGTAGTCGTAGTTGTTGTTGTCATGACTACCGTAGTCGTAGTACGTGTCCAGCTGCTCATCAACGTAGCCCTTGACACCGTAGTTTGGAACAGCGATCATCGCACTAGCTGTAGTCATGATAGACAGACATAACAGCAACTTTACGGACGCCATTTTACTTTGTTGGCTGAAATAAATGAGGACTAGTTACATCGACTATTTCAACTAAATACAATTTTTTTTTAATGCGATGGAATCATCAAATGGTAGAGTGTTCAGTTGCTATTCCGAAAGTCTCGTATTCAAGTCCCCGAGTCAACCCAGCTCTGATGGGTACCTGACTCAGGGTAGAAGAGGTAAAGGTGGCTGGAAATAGTGCTGACCACGCTATTCCTTCATGTGTCGAGGTCACAGTGACAGGTCAACTCTACATCACCTGCCTGACTGACCGCCAGGTTACAATGGGTATTTTATTTTTTACATAATAGTTTTATATATAGGCCTTATATTTGTCTATGATTTACTGAGGTAACTCATATTTTTACTAATAATAAATGAAAATTTGAAACACACTTAGGTATCATTAAACGATTTTATACTACCTAGCAAACTTACATTGAATGCTTTTGTCGGTATCAAGATTTTAAAATACGTTAAATAATCTTTTTAAAAAATAGTAAGATTGAGACAAACAATCGGTAATGAAAAGTAGAAATCACTTTTAAATTTTTATTTTTATAACAAAGCTATAGTTTTCAGTGTAATATGTGCAGACAAGATTTAAAAGAATGTAAAGCTAACTTTAACAACATTCTATGTTATGTGTTATTTGCTTAGATTATATTAAAAATATTGGTAAATCAAAACTTACAAGACCGTCTTAAACTCAGGGGCAGCAACCAACTGGCAATAGACGACAAAATGTGGGATTACCTCCCTTTATACCTCCAGATTTCAGATATTAATTTTTTGACAAGATTAATTTCTTTACTAAACCCTAATTGTTTTAATACAGTGCGATTTAAATGAGAGGTGCACGGGGCAATCATCAATCAAGCCTGAACTGGTGACAGGGGGTGTGAACCTGGTGACACGCTGGGGTCACCTTAATCTGGGGGTGACATATTTCCATTCATCTCCCCACTGCAATGTTTAACGAGAACGGGCCAAACAGTTTGCAACAAAGGTAGAATATACAGAAAACAAAGATTTAAGAAGAAATAGATTTTATACAAAATTTTAAAAAGATACAAAACATTTTAGAATCATAACCGCTTCGAGCAAAAGCAATGTATGAATCTTATTGGAGCAAAAGGTTGGCCGCACAAGAACTTCATGTGGTCAATACGAACATACAAACAACATGTGAAATGAAGTATTTTTTGCATTTTGGAAGTATTCAAATGATGCAGCGTTGTGGAATAATTAAGTTAAGGCATCCATTAATCCAAGGCTGTTTAACGTATTCAATATTATATATATATATATATATATATATATATATATATATATATATATATATATATATATATATATATATATATATAGGGATATATATAAGGATATATATATAGGGATATTTATAGGGATATATATGTAGGGATATATATAGGGATATTTATAGGGATATATATATAGGTATATATATATATATATATATATATATATATATATATATATATATATATATATATATATATATATATATATATATATATATATATATATATATATATATATAGATGTATAGGCTATATATATTATAATGTGTAAATATAAATATATATATATATATATATATATATATATATATATATATATATATATATATATATATATATATATATATAAATGTATATATAAATGTATATATAAATGTGTATATATATATATATATATATATATATATATATATATTTATTTATTTATTTGAAAATGACCAGTAGTAGTCTCAAATCTTTCAGATGATAAATTTCCAATCGTTTAATAGAAAAACCATGCACACTATTTATCAGATCTATTTACGCACCTAAAGTTGTTCATCTGTCTCCATCAGCGCTCCAATCCATATGTAACATAGGTTTAGTATGCCATTATTAGTTACGACTTTGTCTAGTGTTCTCTGTGTATTTACTTTATTTGTGAGGATTAATTGATATGCACTACTGTAAAATATATTTTAGCCCGTGGTGATTTCAGCACTTTTAAACAAACCATTTTCACTAAAATATTTTATGTCGTGTGTCCAAGTACAATGAATCAAAATAAAGGAAACCACGGGTTAGCAGACACACAAACATTAACGTGACCTCAGCTTGAAGTGTAAAACATGTGCCACGGTAAAGTGAGAGATCTCCAAACAAATAAATCCCCGAATTTCGGAGAACAAATGAACTACTGGGGGTGGTTACAGAAATTTAAATTCTTACTGGTGGCTTGGGGCCTGATGTGACAGGCTAACCTACTACACACATTTTATTGACAACTAATGACACAAATGTGTTGATGATTGAAAATAAATGAATAGAAATATTCAAATGGTCAATAGATCACCGCAATGTAATTTAGAAAACACCAAAAGAGCCTCCAATAATGTTCAATAAACATTCTGTTATCAAATTTTCCCATAATAAAGTAATGATTTTAAATTATGTTTTCAGTAGTGTATTCCACCACGCTGACGAAGTCCGAGGGTCTAAACCGCCGAATGACTGGCAAACTACCTAACGTAACGTGCTGAAATAGAAAGTATTCATTCAGACAACTTGGGCACAGCGCTGCAGTTTTATAAATTCTCACTTCAGAGAACACGTCGTTATTTACTTTATTCTTTTCTAATGTTTTGTTTTTATAATGAAATCGATTAGCTTATAACTTTGATATATAATAACTAAGAGTTTTATAAATATAATATCGGCCTATAAATTTAAAAACTATTTTAAAATATTTTAAAATAGTACATTTCCAGTAAAATTGCCTGAACTTTGTCCGGCAAATGTGTAGAATAATCCCATCACTTCTATAAAATTATGGGCTATTAAAAGTACAGTTTTATTTTAGAGCTATTACTAGACTAGAATGAATGAAAATGTAGAGTAAAAAAATATTTTTTTTCACGTACAAAATGCTAACAGGAATAAATTCAAATTAAAAAACTGAGGTGAAAACGCTTTAGCTCGAAAGGAAGCAGTGATTTATTTCCATACAGAAATTTCGGTCCTCAACTATGCCTGAATCGTAAACCAAAGCATATACCTTACCAAAACCCAAGCCAAAAGCTAAACCCAAAACCAAAGCTTAACCATGATTTGTTGTACAGATTAGGTTTAAGAACAGCTGATATTATTCGCCTTTCATTTCACAATTTTGTAAAAGTTAAAAACTTTTACAGAGCATTGTGTAATGCTCATTTTGAATTTCGTCTTTCATGTTTACACATTTTTATTTTGAAACCTAACACCATTCCACAAATTACCAAAAAGAGTAATTGGCACAATGTCATCCGCTTAGTTTGACGTTAAGCATGCAGCCATTACTGTTGGCATAGATGAAAATGTGTTTTGTCTTTTAATCTTCGAAGTGGCCGTAAAATAAAAGGAAACGTTAAGCTAAAATTGTTCAGAAATGTTGATGTTAAAATCCATATTATGAAATTTTTAAATGCAAAGAACTCAAACATATTTATGGATACAATTATATGTTCGTATTTACCCCCACATTTCAACCTGAAGTTTTATGTTAGTAAGTCACTCTTGGATTAGCTATATAATTTGGTCGTGATTTTATTTCTGCAGCATCAAATTTTAATTTTAAAAAATCTCTCCCAGTAAAAATGTTAATACATATAATTTTGAAAGACAGCTTTGCATTTTGTATTGCATGTGAAATATCTTCAAAAGCGTTTTGTTGTTTGCTTTTGAAGTATGTTGTTTACTTACCGAAAATCTTAAAAATATGAGATACTTTCAATCATTTAAAAAAGTCAAATAAATGACCACACAATCAAGGATTCATTTCCACAAGATAGTAACAATGCTTACTATCTTGCAAATGAGCAAAGGACGATTTTCCCAGTGGATGCCAATACACAATTCCGACAACCAATGTTTTTGCAACGTTTGCTAGTCATACAAAACTTTATATTTAAAAAAACTGAATCAAAACGGAGTACTAAAAATATATTTATTTCTTAAAAAATCGTTTTGATACGGAATCTTTCTGACACATCAAAATGGCATTTTGAAAAGTAGTAAACAATACAGCATGAGCTCAAAATATTGTTATAATATACTTAACATTCAACAATGCTTACTTCAACATTGTGATACGTTTGGTAAGAGGCTGAATTATGATGTTTATTGGTTAAGAGGGTAGATTATTTTTTTTTTGGACCCTAGGTTTTGTTGAAGAAATTTTAATCAGAGAAATCATGTTTACGAGAGAAATCATGTTTACAAGAAAAATCATGTTTACAAATAAAAGTAGCTCTTTGGTGAGTTGTACAGGTCTGAAGAGGAATAGGTGGGTACTCCGTAGTTAGAAGAGCCATAGTTGGATGAGCCAGTGTTGGATAAGCCGTAGTTAGATGGGCCGTAGTTGGTTGAGCCGTAGTTGGATGGGGCAGCATATGGTTGAGCCACGTAGTTGGATACTCCAGCGCTTGATGATCCATAATTTGATGAGGCAGCATAGTTGGATGGGGCAGCATAATTTGATGGAGCTACGTAGTTAGAAGATCCGGCGCTTGATGAGCCATAGTTGGATGGGGCAGCATAATTGGATGGGGCAGCATAGTTGGATGGGGCAGCATAGTTGGATGGGGCAGCATAGTTGGATGGGGCAGCATAGTTTGATGGAGCAGCATAGTTGGATGGGGCAGCATAGTTGGATGGGGCAGCATAGTTGGATGATCCGGAGCTGGATGGGGCAGCATAGTTGGATGGGGCAGCATAGTTGGATGGGGCAGCATAGTTGGATGGGGCAGCATAGTTGGATGATCCGGAGCTGGATGGGGCAGCATAGTTGGATGGGGCAGCATAGTTGGATAGGGCAGCATAGTTGGATGGGGCAGCATAGTTGGATGGGGCAGCATAGTTGGATGGGGCAGCATAGTTGGATGATCCGGAGCTGGATGGGGCAGCATAGTTGGATGGGGCAGCATAGTTGGATGGGGCAGCATAGTTGGATGGGGCAGCATAGTTGGATGGGGCAGCATAGTTGGATGATCCGGAGCTGGATGGGGCAGCATAGTTGGATGGGGCAGCATAGTTGGATGGGGCAGCATAGTTGGATGGGGCAGCATAGTTGGATGGGGCAGCATAGTTGGATGATCCAGAGCTGGATGGGGCAACATAGTTGGATGATCCAGAGCTGGATGGGGCAACATAGTTGGATGATCCAGAGCTGGATGGGGCAACATAGTTGGATGATCCGGAGCTGGATGGGGCAACATAGCTGGATGATCCAGAGTTGGATGGGGCAACATAGTTGGATGGGGCAACATAGTTGGATGATCCGGAGCTGGATGGGGCAACATAGTTGGATGATCCGGAGCTGGATGGGGCAACATAGTTGGATTGGGCAGCATAGTTGGATGGGGCAGTATATTTGGATGGTGCTACGTAGTTAGAGGAGCCGTAATTGGAGCCGGAGTTGGAGCCGTAGCTTGAGCCATAACTGTTACCACCGTTGTAGTAAAGACCATCTCTGTACTGATTGCTGTTTGCAACTGGGCCGTTGTTGTAGCCACTGTTGTATCCGTTGTTGTTGTATCCGTTGTTGTTGTATCCGTTGCTGTTGTAGCCGTTGTTGTTGTAGCCGGTGTTGCCAAAGGTGTCCACTTGCTTGTTGTCGTACCGTTGACCATAGGAATCTTGCTGGATGTATAGGCAGTTGACAGCAGCCAAGAGAGCAAGACTCAGGGTGACCTTGAAAGCGACCATTTTCTAAAATCAAGTAGATTTTCTGCAGAAAATTAAAGAAATTTGGATTATTAAACATTGGAAAAAAATTAGGTTACCTGTAATATTTTTACTTTCATATCTTGGAAGTGGAAATATAACTTCGTGTAAGTGTAATCTGTAAGTCTACAAGCTAAGACAGCGTGTCAAAACTTCATCCCTTGCTTGTGTCAGTAAAATAAACATTATAACCCGAATAGATAACAGCTTCATCATGCGACCAAAACTTTAAACCTCATCTAACTAGAGATGTTAAAGTAATAGAATTCATGAGTCATTGGGCGAGCCGATTAGAGAGTCACCAAAATATGCGTCACTAAGTGACACTTTGAGAGTCACTTAAATATGAGTCACCACGAAACAATTTGAGAGAGTCACCAAAGTATGCGTCTGTAGGTGACACTTTGGCAGCGTCAATAGAGTATGAGTCACAAGGCTTCACTAACAGTCAACAAGTATGACACATTGACAGTCACTAAAATATGAGTAACCACACTTTGAGAAAGTCACCAAAGTATGCTGCAGTAGGTGACACTTTGTCAGAGACAGCAAACTAAGGATAAAACTTGGATAAATTAATTAATCTCATTTCCTAGTCAATCTTCATTATTCCATATATCCTAACTATTGTTAAATGAAAAATAAAAAAATTTAACATCAACACAAATTGTAAAATTAAAACTATTTTTCAAATTTAGACGGGCACCATATACTGCATTAATTAAAGTTTAAATAGAAATAAGACAATCATTTGAAAAGTTTGGGCTAATTAATTATAACTTGCACATAGGCTATAGGGATAAAAAAATATGGCAACAGAGTTCAGCTCGATAAATTGGATAAATAAAGTTGGTTGTAGCATGCGAAGACTTTTGTGCTGCTTAACTATATTTTTAAAGAAAATTGAATTGTGAATTTGCTACGGATTTTTTTTAGTGGCTTACATTCGTATTTCTTGCTTTTTAAAATTAAGTAAAAAAAATAAAAAATTACTTACTCGATCTTCCGAAAATGTGCAAGGGTCGTATTGAACGGCGAATGGTAAAGACAATGAAACTGCGATCCCCTTTTATACAAAACAAACATGTCATGATCTTGGCGACTGAGTGAGATAAAAATCTAGAATACACCGAATTGTTGAGTGTCACAATTATCAGCAGGCGATCGTGAGAAAGCCCCCAATCCCAGCCTCGATATGGTGGGATGGTCACTCAGGTGCAGTCAGGGGCAGGACATTAGCACAGTTATAGCAGACGATAGATATGTATCCAGCCAGACGCCGGAAACGATTTATTACACGGCTGGATTTAATTAGTTCAGACGAGCTTGCTGTGACGTCAGTGAGATCTATAAAAAGATATGTTTCCAAAATCTATTTTTAAATTTAAAAAACTAAAAAAAAATTATTTTCAAATCCCAGACGCAATTAAATATCACAAATGTAAAAATATTCAAAGATTAGACATCAGTCTCTACCAATAAAAGATAATTTGAGTTCATGAGTTCAATAACCTTACCTAATCTATTTATGCAGCGATAACATCGGGATTAAACGTATAAAACAGCAAGCAGGTAGGGGCGGTAATCATTGTTGTTTTACATAGTGTAGAGATTTTTGAAGCAACGCGATATTACACCGCAAGATTTTCAAACTCTTTTTATTTTCTTCAACATTTTGGGTTACTAAAAATGTTAAATGAATAAATTAGAACCACTACTTTTATCTTATATTTTAGTATGAATAGTTTAATGTGAGTATACCCTTTGCGGGTAATGCGAAATTATTTCTCTAAAACGTAGGCCTTTTTAATTAGTAAGTAATTTTGCGAAGTCTCTTTGTTTTCGACTTTGTTGAGTTAAGGAGATATTCCTACAAGTAAGAAATAAATATTACTATTGTAAATCTGTATCAGTCCTCACAAGCCGGTGACGAAAACTGTAATACTAAAGCGAACACACACAACTGACGCTATATATTACATGTCTGAGGCAAAAAAAAAAAAGGAGATGAATATGTCTCTTGTCCGGTATATGGGTGGTCATCTCGTGTGGTTTACATTAAAGTCCCATTCTGGACTTCGTAAGGTAATTTACTTAATTTACTACGTGTCTGTTTCATGTATAAATGTGTAATACCAGAGGCATGAAACTACATCAGTCATCCTGCCAAGTTAATGCTCTGTTTTTGGTTATGAAATGATATTGCAGTCAGTCTGGTTGTGAAACTCAAGGTGAAACCCCTCACAGCATAATTGGGGCACCCCCGGTTATAAGATAGAGTCTAGTCTATCTTGAATGGTAGAGGACTGGTCTGCTAAATCGAAAGTTTCGAGTTCAAATCCTGGTTCAAGTCCTTTATTCTATCTTGATGTCATATTTGACAGAGCGGTGAAGGCGTCAACTTTTAAGGACATCCATAACTAGACAAGGAGGCGGCGTGACACGAACGGGAAAGATGATGATGTGGTAAACCAGACAAACCCTTATGGGTGCCTGGCTAAAGTCGGTAAAGTTTAGGCTGCCTAAAACATACAACAACCAGCGCAATTCCAAGACTACAAACACAGCTGTAGTTTACTACACCTGCCCAATAGTCCGTCAATTTTTCTAATAGAAATTTAAATAGCAGCAATTTTTTTTTTAAAGCATACTGTCGCATTTCAAAAACAATTTTAACTTTGAAATCATTCAAGTGATAATACTATCACAGAAAAAAGCATACTAAGGTTAACAGGTCAGAATTGATTCAGTGTAATAACTGTCTCGCTTCTTTTTACTAATATGATTTCTTATAGTTCATGTATTTTGAAATAACTTCCTTTAAGTTTTGTGTGATTTTTTTTTTAATAATTTGGCGACGACAAAAAAATTATTTTGGCCTTTCATCCAATAATGTTTAGTTATTCAAACATACATTACCAACAATAGCTCGAATTTGTACAAAAACAATAGTTAAAAAAACAAAATTAAGATATTTCAATCATAACGTTATAATAAAACTACTCTCTGTTTTAAATTTTAAAAGATTTTTTTTAAAGACATATTTTTAAAATCATCTGATGTATCTAGAGTTAATTAAAAATAACTGAAAGATCAGTGCGAAAATCTACTAGATAATATGGAGTTGTCGGCCTTTGCACTTACTACTGCGACATCATACAGAAAATTCACAGGTAGAATTACAAATCTGGAATTTTTAAAATCCAATTTCTATTATTTGTGACATCTTCAAGTGCAAAACTAATATTTACAGCACCATTGTTTAAATAATTTATTCTTGTGCCCAAATAATTTTCTAAATAATCATTCAATTATCTTCCGACCCTAGTAAAGATTTATTGGGTTGCTGATTATCTGTGTTCAAGTCAGATAGTGGGGTTGAACTTGAAGAAACATAAATATCAAATATCAAACCACATATACATACACACTTTTATTTATTTATATATATATATTTATATATATATATATATATATATATATATATATATATATATATATATATATATATATATATATATATATATATATATATATGAAATTCTTTAGCTGATTTAGGTGTTTAGGAAATATAGTTTACTTCTGCAAAGCTTTTTCATTATATCTTATGTAGATTTATTGTCGTCAAATCTAGAAACTCATTTTTACCCATTTCTGGTGACCAATTTCTTTTACATTTACCAAATCAATTATTCATTGCGATATGATTATGTAATTTTTAATGTAATTAATTACGTTAAAAATTTTAATTAAAATCTAATTAAAAGATTTCTTGTATTTGATAAAAATTTGACACGTTGAAGGAGAGGCGATTGTTTTCAGGATATTGAGCACGAAGCTTACTCAGGGACAGATAATTGTCCGTTTGCGGAGTAATTTATTAATATTATGTTGTTAACATATGAATGGCGAATTGGAAAGTGAGTGTATATTAATTACATCATCATCATGATCATTCCTTTGTGGCCCCTGGGGAGCAAAGGGCTGCAACCACACATCTCCATCGGACTCGGCTTTGGGCTGCTCCCTTTATCTGTGCCCATGTGAGCCCAGCTGTTTTCGCCTCTTCTTCAACCGTTCTTCTCCATGTCTTCCTTGGCCGGCCCACCCTCCTTTTTCCCTGGGGATTCCATATTAATTACATGTTGATGAATAATTTAGCCGAGAGATTAAATACACAAAGAACTGCAAAATGCTTTGCAAAATATCTCACCAATTAACTGCATTTTTTAAATACCCTAATGTTATTCTTTATGCGTTTACGAATTTTCATGTAGTCTTATAAAACGAAATTTTTAACTATGTCTATGTTCAAATATGACCAGTATAGGGCTAGGGATCAATACCTTACAGAGATTGTACTCGTGTTGTACAAACACGTAATATATATTTGGCTTTAAATTTATTTATTTTTCATAGGTACGGATTTTGTAGATCACAACGTAGTTTACTCTGGTGGTAGATAGCGATGCATTTTACTTTCTTCATTTTAGAATTACCCGTGCTTTTATTTTTCCCTCTACTCTAAGCCTTACCATAATACTAGGTTTGACACTTACCATGACCTTAGACCTACCCTTTTCATAACCCAAACCTTTAGATTGACTTACGTATAGGGATCGGTTTAAAGTTAATATTAGGTTTAGCCAATTTGTAATCGACTGTAATCTGATGGGCAGAGATATTTACTGAGAAGGTAATTACTTGGGGGTTTGAAATGTCGCAAGATATAACCGGGAGTTATTCAGGGAGGGGGGGGGGGGGGCGCAGCCAGTGCTGTTGGTTGCAGGTCAGATGTATCTTGTTTTGTGCATTGTGTTTCATAGTTTTTGATTTACCTTGATGTGTTGACTTTAAATCAAAAGTTGTATTAGTTTTAACTACGATTTATATAGTTTCAGCTTCGATATGGAATTACATTTAGGAATTAGAATTGAGGTTGGGTTTAATTGATGAATGACATTATTTTATTTTAATATTTTTTTTGTTTAGTTAAATAACAAATTTAGGTTTATGAAAATAAAATATTTTTTGGTAATGTGTAGTTTGAAGTTTAGAATTTTGTAAGTGTACGTAAGGGTTTATTTCAGTTCCATGTTTCAATTTATGGTTTGAGTATACATTTTAAATTTCGCTACGGAATTCATTTAATTAAGTCGTTTGTTTGTGCTTTAGATCAGAATAAAGTTGTTTCTTTTAATTTTTTTGCGTTGTTCTATACAATTAAGTTGTTTTAGTTTTTAAACTAATATGAAAAACTCGGGTACATTCGTTACAAAACGTTTAGCATTTGCCATGCTTAATTATAGTGTTTATGTATATTAAAGGCAGAAACCGGTAGGTTTGTGTGTATAAAATTGTGTACAAAAGTTGTAAAACCAGTTGACGTTAATAAAGTAACACCAGGCTATATAAGGTAATGCTAATAATAAACTTTATTTTATAAATAAAGATAAAATTTGACTAGCATCGCTATAATCATCGTCGCTGAAACAGCATATCCGCTGCCATCGTCCTCTTTACACTTAATAAGATGACCCTAAAAATGGAAAAAAAATATTTTTGATTATTATAAATAGTTAGTTACGCTCCAAAATTATTTAGGTAACAAAAATAGCTGCAACTATATGTAAATTTTTAAGTTGTAAGTAAGGAAATTTCCTCTCTGGACCTAGAGATCAATTGAGCAGATGAGGTAGAGTTCAAATCTTTCTGCATTACAACAAGCCGCATACATTTCCCCCAACATAAAACAGACCTGGGTGGACTCAGAGTTGTCCTACGGTCACAAGTCCAAACCAAAATACACATTCAACCAAGCCATCCCATAAGTTACAATTTAATAAATAATCATGTAATAATAATAATAATATAAGTGTCATAGTTTTCTTACCTGAAACGTAGTTATCGGAGCCTTTTCCATAAGAGCCAGAGTTGGATGAGCCATAGTTGGATGGGACAGAGTAGCTAGATGAGCCATAGTTGGATGGGGCAGAGTAGCTAGATGAGCCATAGTTGGATGGGGCAGAGTAGCTAGATGAGCCATAGTTGGATGGGGCAGAGTAGCTAGATGAGCCATAGTTGGATGGGGCAGAGTAGCTAGATGAGCCGTAGTTGGATGAGCCATAGTTGGATGGGGCAGAGTAGCTAGATGAGCCATAGTTGGATGGGGCAGAGTAGCTAGATGAGCCATAGTTGGATGAGCCGTAGTTTGAGCCGTAGTTTGAGCCGTAGTTGTTACCTCCATTGAAGTAAAGACCATCTCTGTATTGATCGCTGTTACCTACTGGGCCATTTTTGTAACCGTTGCTGTAGCTGTTGCTGTTATATCCGTTGTTGTTGTAGCCGTTGTTGTTGTATCCATTGTTGTTGTTGTTGTAGCCGTTGTTGTAGCCGTTGTTGTTGTAGCCGTTGTTGTTGTAGTTGCTACCGCTGTTGTATCCACTGCCGCTGTTGTATCCACTTCCGCTATTGTAGCCCTTTCCACTGTCGTAGCTGCTGCTACCGCTGTTGTAGCCCTTTCCACTGTCGTAGCTGCTGCTACCGCTGTTGTAGCCCTTTCCGCTGTCGTAGCTGTTGCTACCGCTGTTGTAGCCACTTCCACTGTTGTAGTCACTGCTACCACTGTTGACGTACATACCGCTAGCAACAGCTACCATGGCGAAGCAGACAATTAACTTGATTGAGGCCATTTTGGATAGAGATCTAAACACAAATGAATAAGAATAGAATTTTAAGTTTCTTTAAAACAATTATTTTATTGGTAACTCAACAGACAAAATAGTTTTTTTTTAAATAGAGTTTTCAACCATACATTAGTTTTACAGTGCAACACTAAAACTCTAAGCCTAAAAAGTTGTGTTTTGGTTATTTTGTGTACCATAAATTGAGTACCAAACTTGTTTTTGTACTCCATACAATCAATACATTATAAGACTTTATTTAATAATACAGTTTTCAAACATTGTTCTGCAGTTTCGAACAACAAAATGTATAAAAGAAATAATTAAGGGAAATAATAGTCTATTAAAACGTTATTAAATTTTTAATAAACGCTACGAATTTAATGCAAAAAAGATAATGCTATAATAAACGATTCTTTAAATTATTGTAATATACATTAATGTAATAAAAAAATAGCCTACGGAATCGAAAACATTTGCATTAAATTTAACTATAGAAAACAAATGTACAAAAAACGTTTTAATAACAAGCTTGTATGTAATAATGCACTAAAATCGAATGATTTTCTTTAAATATATAATAATCAACTTCTCTATATATAATTAAAAAGAAAATCAACGTTCCAAGTTTCAGAGAAATTGGTCGATTAGTAGAGGTCAAAATTTCGCTCGCCAGTTTCGATCCATAAGACAGGTAGACAGACAGACATGACGAGGAAGCAGGGTCGTAGCGAGGGGGGGGCGGGGGGTGCGGACCGCACCGGGTGACACCATTTAGGGGGGTGACACCAAGGCAAAAAATAGCAAAATATATAGAAAAAAACTCGAGGGGGGGGGGGTGCAAATCGAAAGTTCGAGGGGGGGGGGTGCAAATCGAAAACTCGAGGGGGGGGTGCAAATCGAAAGTTTGAGGGGGGGGGGGGGTGCAAATCAAAAATTTGAAAGTTTGTCCCTGGGAAGGGTCTCTATGCCTCTGGGGGGGGTGACACCATTAAGTGCCGCACCGGGTGACACCCGACCTCGCTACGCCACTGCGAGGAAGCAAGTTAAATAAAAGCTTGTAAAAATTGAAACTGCCTATCATAAAAGCTTTGTTAATTTATCAAAATATATTACAAATTTCAGCGTTAAAAAAATAATGTTTAGTTTAACATCCAACATAGTTAAGGAAAGGCTTTGTTTTATTCTACTTACACTTGCTTCTGAACGAAAACAAGGGAAGTAACTGGCGAAGAGTAACTTCAACGGTGATTCTTTCCCCTTTTATACAAGTTAATTTATGATAGATAACATGTATTCTTGTCACCTTTGTCACATTTATCTTAAAGATCTGTAATGATTAATTTCATTTTAGACTAATCTCATGGGCAGAAGTTATTAAGTGAAGACGGCCCATTCAATACGACAGGAATACTTCTTTAAATATTAAGTTGTTACAAAATATAAACTATAAAACTAGAGTCTTATAGTCAAGTATTTAATAAATTAGTTTAGTATAGTTGGTATTCCAAAATACGTAATCAATATGACATACTAAAATAGACCAGAAATTACAAGTAGTATGCTCTACATTGAATCCAGTGTTTCTTCCAGACTTTTTTCTCCGGGGTGGGGGGAAGGGGACATGATATTTTCGGGGGGGGGGGGGGGGGGGGGGACACGCTGGTAAAAGTATGTTTTCTATATAAATTCCATTCCATTTCGTTCGGGGGGGGGGGAGATACATCGAAGATACTTTGATTGAATCTCTTCGATTTAAATATTTAAAATTCGCAGCAGGAGGCTAGCTAGAATTGTTATCTGTGATTTTTAATCCCTTATTTCGGCAACAATTGAGATATGGTATGTGGAAACATGGTCTGCCAAATGTTGTTGGTTATATGCTGGGGTGAAGATTGACGAATTGAAAAGGAAACGAAGAATAGCATCTTTCGAGGATTTTATCGCTAAACACCCAGAAGACTTCCCTCCTGAAGTTACTCGCAAGTAAAAAGCAAAGATTTGTTTCTTGGTCTGGTTACCAGTCAGATAAATTTACTTTTACTTTCTTTTTATGCTGTACGACAAATATTGTTGCGTCTATTGAATAAGAATAAAATATCTTGCCAGAAAAGGTCGCAAAAAAGTTTACAATTGCAGGGGAGGCCACAAACCTTACTAGATATTGACGGAGACGCCCATGACTTATCTAAGCATTCAAGCCCATAATCTTAATCCCCATCACCTCCCTTAATGCCAATTAACGACTTTCAACCATCAAACGTTAACGAACGTAATAATTAAATGCTGATGCTGCAGAGGTTAACCTCACTTAACTGTCGTGTCTGCAGTTCCCACACTACTGCCAAGTCTGTGTGACCTACATCCATTTTTTTGCCTACTTTACAGTTTTATGTTTTGATTTATGTTTAGATTCTCAACAGCACAGTTTCATATTTGTATGTCTATTTTTTATTTATCACTAAAATGTGTTTTCTGTTCAAGTCTGTGACTTTACAAATCAATATTTGAAACTAATAGGTATGTGTCAAACAGACACACTGTTCTCATTCAAAGGTACACTAATGAATTCAAGCCATGGATGGGGGACCTAGACATATAGCCTCTCTGGAGGCACAGCAGAATCTAAAATATTTGCATAATATATTAGTTAGCATTATATAGTTTAATTGTGGGGTGGCTCTGATTGAATGGTAGATCATAGTGCTGTTAACTGGAAAGTCTCGAGTTCCAATCCGTGTCATTAGCACGTCCTTGTGTCAACTCAGGTCTGTCGGGTACCTGACATACATCAGGAAAAGTAAAGGCAGCTTTGCATAGTGTGGAACTTAAAATTTTGGGAGGCTGACACTGTTTAAAGTATGTTTTCTGGATCTATAATATAACGCTGGTGGTAGTGTGTCAGTCCTTCCGTCATCGCTATAGATTTCGGAAATCTCTCCATGGGCGCGGACGCCCGGGAAAACGTGTCATTTGACGGCGGTTTAGATGACGCCTTGGGTTCGGGGAGGAGAGATGTCTGGGCGGACGGCGAAGCGCGGTAAACCCTGACTATACGGACACCCGCGCGCAGCGCGGTGCGCTAAAAAAATATCCGCCCCAATGCGGTGACCCCATCGAGTTAATATCCATATCCACAACGTGGCGAAGCACGGGTATAAGCGTTTGTGTTTAGTTTTGTTCGGTTCCATAGTTGAAACATTTAAAAAGATTCCCCGTGGCGTAACACGGGTATGCAACTAGTATAATATATTTTTCGGAGTGACTACTCGGAAGAAGATTTTTCTGTTTTATTTAGGAGGTGGGGGGAGGTAGACGTCAATCGGTGGTACTACGTGATGCGTTTGTGTTAGCGTTTGCGCTTTTGTTTGTGTTTGCGTTTGTATTGTTGTTGTGTTTGCGTTTTCGTTTGTGCTGTGTTTTTATTTTTTGTGTGTTTGTGTGCATTGTGTTTGTCTTTGCGTTTGTGTTTAGTTTTGTTCTGTTCCCAAGTTGGTACATTTAAAAATAAACCGGAAGTGATCTCCCCTAAACTTTCTCGAATATTCTTATACTAGCCATCGGTAAAATGTTGTACTTGTTTGAGAAAAATAATTTATGAAATAGTTATTGGTTAAAACGCAATTTGATTATCTATATTTAAATGATTGTTGACAAGAGAATAGTAAAAACACAAATAAAATTAAATATGTCAAAAACAAATTTTGGAATATAACTTATTGAATTTATTTTACATCTGTATATAACAAAATTTAATATTTAGAAAAAAAAATTATCACTTTTTCTATTTACATACTTCTCACAATTAATGGGATTTTTTTTTGGTGAATAATGTAATATTATTAACCTGTCAAACAAAAGATTGGGGAGCCTGGTTAAAATATAAATGCATCATTTACTCATTACTAATGAGTCTATAATTCGCAGTGTACAAAATTTATGAAAGCAACAAACCAGTGTAAAATCTGGTGGCAGCATAGATATAATAAACATTAAAACTTGTCTTAAGATTGCAATTTTCTATACCTCTTTTACTGAGCACATTTCTTTGAAAATCTATTCATGAGCTTTGTTTTTGGTAGGCCTATACACATAAAAGTTAGGCTTAATTTAAGCTAAGAGAGAAGAAAATTGTAGAACATCAATCTGGGTTCTTACGTAAAGTAAAAGAAAAATAACATTGCGCTGACTACACAGTCCTACATAGGCCACATCACATCTAAAACGTTTTATACAATGTGTTGGTATTGTTAAATTTCATGTTTGGTTTTACAATATTTAAAATGGACATTGTATCCACAAATTGGTTCTCTTTTGCTTTTATAAGCAAAGAATCCTGAAAATGTAACACAAGAAATGTTTAACTGTTCTCACGTATATCAAAGATGACTACAAAATAAATCAGATTACTAATGGAAAATTTAATGAGTGTAAAGAAACAACTTGCTCCTTGACTCATATGACAGACTGTAATTAGAATAATTATTTCACTTTATTAGTGTTAAAGTATCAATTGCTTCAAGTGTGGTTCAGTCAACAATAATCCAATAAGGGTGCTGATTGATTTTATTGGTCTAATACACTAAAATGTAAATTTCTCAATTTACAAGCTAAACAATTGCACAAATATATTGTTCTGGATAAATAAAATTATATAAAATAATTTTTTAAATTTAAAAAAAAATGAAAACACAACTAATAAAATGTATACATTAAAATGCTACTGGGCATTTTATGAACTGAAACTTTGGGTTTGGAGGAAAACTCTCTTTTCAAACCCAACACTACCCAACCCTACATGAAATATTTTGGGTACAAAAGTTTAGTTTTCAGGCACCAATGATGACAATAAAAAAAAATAGTGAAAACACTATCATAGGCATATTTTAAAGCAGGTTGTTATGCAGTCTTAAAGCATGCTGCTTTTAAATCAATGAAATTCATCCAAATAGATAGTTTGCTTCCTCTACTTTGCTGTAAAGGCTGTTACTGGTGAGGTTTATATATAGGTGCTGGCATGTCAATCGATGTATAGTAAAGCACAAGGGCAGCTGTGGTCTGAAAAAAATTTACATTACTGTTTAATTTTTTTTTTAAATAAAGGCTGAGGTTTCATTTTTGAATATTGTTTCACATTCTTTAAACACCTGACAAAATTGTTTTGTCTTAGTATTCCGGGAGAATAAAGTACACAAAATTTGTAAAAAAACAAACCTTCACATCAGAACTTGCTATTTCGTACACATCCTGGTCATCAAATTTGTACCATTTTTTATTGGCAGAGTTGCGGCAAAATGCTGTGTCTGAAATAGCAGATTTTTAAATAACTTCAATTTCTCTTGCACACAAAATCAAATGTGCTGGCTTGCAATGACTTACATTTTTTAAAACCTGAGATGGAATGTGAGAAAAATCTCAAGACTTGTAAGATAAACCTCATGCTATAACAAGGATTTCATTGCATTTCTTATTTTGCTAAATTGATCAGGGCATCAGCTATGGTAATGTATTGTACTGGAAAGTGTGGGGGTCGGCGTGGTCGAGTCGGTAAAGCTCATGGTTGCTAAACCGAAAAATCTCGAGTTCGAACCCTCGGGCAGATGAGCTCGTTAGCTGGAGACAGCCACTCTTCTAGGAGAGACAACTCCAAAATCAAACAACTGCTGCCTTGTAGTTTGTTCTTGGTTGGACCAAGGCTATGGAATCAAATCCAAAAAAGAAAAGCAGGCTGAAATCGGAGTCAATGGCCTCAATGGCGCATAACCAGTTGACACATATCCTTAATTGTGATTGAGGCGTGGTCGAGTCGGCAAAAGCACATGGTTGATAAATTAAAAAAAGTCTTGAGTACAAACCTTCTGGCAGATGAGGCTCGATCCCTTCCAACACTAAAAATTAAGAACGAAGAAGAAGTAGACTGGAAAGTGTAACTGCTGGACGTTAGGGCTGTAACACTGAAACTTTAGTGTCCAATAAACTTACTATCATGCATTGTTTTAATTGATACTTTAATTGGTGGGGGGAAATCATTATTTTTTTTAGATAAAAATCTTGTAAAGTGTGTACTTACAATTACCACCTTCCATTGTACCATAATGATTCTGTGGATAAGTCATGAAAAATAAAAATATAAGATCACAACAAATATCAACTTAAAATGAATAATAAAAATGGAGATATTAATGCTAATGTTCTACTGCTTTTGGTTTAGGCATTCTTTTTTTTACTATAAATCTTTTGATAGGATTTTTGACTAATGTTTTAAAACGCTATTCAGAGTCATGCTGGTGCATTATTAAGGTGGAAACATAATTGTCCTGGTGTATAATTTACATGTAACATAATTGCAATAATTTATATTCTCATTCTTTAAATTACAAGAATAATATTTAAAAAATAGAAATATGAAAAAACGTACTGATACTCCATATAAATTATATTTGTTGCGAGGACGAGGGCCTATAATGTAGGGGGAGAAGTCTAAATCCACAAGTGGGAAATCAACAAAAGTGGTTTTCTTCTGCATCCACATCCCTTCGGCATGAAACCTTTGAAAGTATTGAAAGAAAAAAATGTACACAGGCTAATACATCAAATATCAAGGTCTAATGATAGATCATAATAATCTCAAGCTTGGTTTAGGGGTCTGTGATGACTGCTTTGAAAACCAACTACCTAAACGACCAATACTGAAACTTGTTTCAGTAATAATTGGGTTTCATGCAATGAGGTCAGCATGTTTGGGTCGGTCAAGTCCCAAGGTCGAACACCTGGGTAGATAATAATAGCTGATATCCTCCCTGATAGCTGAGGGAGGAGGACAGCAACCCATCTAGGAGAGAAAACTCCAAATCCAACAAATGCTGCCTAAGTTTGTTCTGGGTTCGACAAATGCTATAGAAGCAAATCCAGCAAGAAAAGTGGGCTGAAATAGGAGTCAACTACTCTAATGTTAAATTATTCAAGGTAATCTGGGAAAGTTTCACAAACCTGTTTAATCCAATCAGTAGAATAGGAGGCAGTTTCCAAATGTCAATTTTTTTCTTGGAGTCTCTCTCCACTTTACACTGCGGACATTTCCATTTGCTACTCCCTGTCATCAGTTCTGGGTTTAGAAATTCTTTAATACAGTCCTGAAAATTGTGTAAATTAAAAACCTTAAGTTACGGCTAACATGTTTATTACCATCAAGATTTCCATATCTACAAAGTTTCAGAACCTTTAAAATATGCATACAATTCTAATAGCAAACCTTCCATATCTACATAGTTTCAGAACCTTTAAAAATATGCATACAATTCTAATAGCAAACCTTCCATATCTACATAGTTTCAGAACCTTTAAAATATGCATACAATTCTAATAGCAAACCTTCCATATCTACATAGTTTCAGAACCTTTAAAATATGCATACAATTTTAATAGCAAACCTTCCATATCTACATAGTTTCAGAACCTTTAAAATATGCATACAATTCTAATAGCAAACCTTCCATATCTACATAGTTTCAGAACCTTTAAAATATGCATACAATTCTAATAGCAAACCTTCAGAGAGCATTTAGAAGAAGCTGGAATAGGCAGGGACAAAAACATGAAGGTTTGGAAATTGACTGACATCTTTTTGCAAGTTCCGCAAGTTAGTGTGGATTTCAGTTGCCCCTGTAGATTAATTTACTTTAGTTGTGATAGGTATTAATTGAAATTGTAGTTTATATCGCATAATTATACCATTTATTACATCAACTTTTAATGTATATAGTTACATTTAAAACAGCAGCCAAAAATTGATGCCAGGCACTACACAAGTATATGCCAACCCTCTCCATGCACTGTAACAACTTATGCCAACCCTCTGGCTATATTACTCAAGAAATGCCAACCCTAAAGCTCCACTACACCCAGATACACCAACCATCTAATTTCATTTAGAAAAAGTTCTAAAATCAAAGCAGACCTGCCTACAACACTTTACCTACCTGAAACAGTTCAACAATGACAGACTTGTGTAGCAGTTTATGATGTTGCCAGGCTATCTGTGCAGCATACTCATCTGTGAGCCTGTCATTATCTTGTTCTGGGATAGGTGGAGCTTTCTTCACCTGCAGACAGAGATTTTCTTTCATATAATACACTCAATAGAATGTTGATATTAGAAAATCTGTTGGACTAGTCTCACTACTTTCTCTTTATCCCATTAACACATTCTTGTATCATTATTAGAAAATCTGTTGGACTAGTCTCACTACTTTCTGTTTATCCCATTAACACATTCTTGTATTATTACAAAAAAGAAATGTTACCCTATTAGCCTCATTTTGGCCATCATATAACAATCAACAAAAAGGTTAACTTTTATCTACCCGAATAAGGTAATATCTATACAAATGTGACACTGTTACCTCATTTAAACCTTCATGTAAACCATCCAGCAAACAAATGAGAAACTCCTGTAAATCCTGTTGCTGGTCGCCAGAAAACATTGGATTGTACTGGCCAACCACATTCTGGAAAGAGATTTTAACAGCAGCTGTTAAAAAAAGTTTTATATTGTTCTTTGATTGAGATGTTTTTAATAGTTTCAGATCTCAGATTTTATACATGATTAAAAAGGGCTCTGAATGCTGTTGTTTTAAAAATTAAAATAACTTAGAACTTGATTAAAATACAGTAGAGAGAATGGTCCCAGAACCATCCATGGTTAATAATTCCATTCTGTAAAATGTACATAAATAAAACACCTTCCTCCGTAAAATAAAAAATATGAACTTTCATAAAATATGAAGTTCCCTTTTCAGACCAGAAAATCGATAAAGTAAAGATTATCAGTTTTCTTATCAGGGCATATGAAGGGATGGTGTGGTCAGCATTATGCCCAGCTGCCTTTACTTTCAGTCAGGGATTCGTCAGAGCTGGGTGGACGCAGGGATGTTTTACAGTCTCCAAATACAACCCATTCAGTTGAGCACTATACATCCCCTTAAAAAGCACACCAACAACACTAAAACTAGATTTGTAGGAACTGATATAAATATGACAAAAATACCTTCAAATCTTGTGGTGTTATAGATCGGTACTGCTGAGACCACAGAGCTTTCATCACATAGGCAAATTCATCCACCACTTCTCCATGCATTCCTTGAGAGCTTTCTCTGTATGTTTTCATATGTAAGAAAACAAATATTCTAAGATCTTGTAATTTCACATCCTCTTCTACTTATAGTGCAGTGTATGTGATGTGTCTTGTGGGTATATGGGTTTCAAGTAAGTCAACTGAGAAATTAGTACTAGTGGCTCACTAAATCTTCTATAGCAAGCCTAAGAAAGTAACAGAGAGTAACAAAAAGGTTACCTATTAATGGTGAACAGATGGTTATCTTGAAGAAAGTAGACAACAAGAGGCGTTGTGTTGTTGAGGCATTGAATAGTTGAATTCATGTAACAAGTGTTGCCCAGATTTCTAAGCCCGGTGAGTGCAGGACCCTGACAATGTAAACACTCATTAAGGCATAAAGTTTTCTATCAGACACCAATGGAAGGTTTAAAGTTACTTAAATATATTACAGCATTATTAGTAAGTGATACCTAGCTTACGTTAACTTACCACATTGCCATAGACTGGATTTAAATCGCGTTTTCGTACAATCTGTTTAGGTCTGAAAAGTTTGTTAATCAAGAAAATCAGTTTTAAAATATGAATATATGGAATAAATTTGTTAATGGGAACCAAATATGGGGAAAAACTCTAAGCATCAAGAAAATGATTTAAGACAATGTTTTCTCTCTTCAAAGTCCTTCTTTGTTTTTCCTGCTCTCCTGCTAATCACTTGTGTTGGGTAATTTCTAAACCAACACATATGTTTGTGACAGCACAGAATAATACAAGTGTACTAGACATTTGGTGAGAGTTGTGTACTGACCATGTGCTGTGCTAAATGTACTAGACATTTGGTGAGAGTGTGTACTTACAAAAGCTTAACGGCCCTGTTCACAGAAGGAAATATTTTATTGTTTGCCACTTCATCTTCTAGTAGCTTTTTAATGTTTGGGGAAGAATGTGAGTGACTTAAAACTGCTGGCTCATCTTTAAGAGGCATCTTGAATGTCTCTACACAAGCACACATAAAGATATATATATATATATATATATATATATATATATATATATATATATATATATATATATATATATATAATATCAGATATATATAAATAAAAGATTATAAATTATAAAATAAGGAAGAAAGTTGAGAAGAATAAAAAACAAGACCTGTGGGTTTAGAAAGTGGCATAGCAGGAGCAGTCCAATGTGTACTCCCACTATTGTGGTCAATGTAGAAGTATCTGTTGGTGGCCGGGTCAAGGCGCTTTTCCCAGCCATCAGGCAGATTTTGTGATGGTACAACTGTCACCCTTGTCTGTCCAGCGGCTAAAGTAAAAAAGATGCCTGTGAGAAATTTTTTTGATAGTATCCCTAACATCCTGACACTAATTTTAACCCAACTTGTCAATATGCTAGAGAAACAAAATTTGATGATACTGCATATGTAAGATGAAGCTGGTAGTAGGCTCACAAATTACTGTAAAAATTTTAACAAACATGTTCTTTACAAATGATAAACATTTTATCAGATATGCTTTACACAAATAAGAAATTATTTTGATCAGATTCGCAATTTAGCATCTGACCAGATCTTGCAACTTTATTAAAGTGTAAACAAAACTGTACCTTTCCCCATAAAGTTTAATAAAGGAACTTTTACAGCCAATTTATGTTGTGGTTTTTATTTAAACATCTTACCTTTATTAAAAGAGCTTTCTGGAGTTATTTTAGTCTTTTGTGCAGCTCTCTCTTCCAATTCACGTCTAGCTCTCTCCCTTTCTGCCAATTCATGTTTAGCTCTTTCTTTCTCTTCCAATTCACGTCTAGCTCTCTCCCTTTCTGCCAATTCATGTTTAGCTCTTTCTTTCTCTTCCAATTCACTTCTAGCTCTCTCCCTTTCTGCCAATTCATGTTTAGCTCTTTCTTTCTCTTCCAATTCACGTCTAGCTCTCTCCCTTTCTGCCAATTCATGTTTAACTCTTTCTTTCTCTTCCGTTTCACGTCTAGCTCTCTCCCTTTCTGCCAATTCATGTTTAACTCTTTCTTTCTCTTCCAATTCACGTCTAGCTCTCTGTCTTTCTGCCAATTCATGTTTAGCTCTTTCTTTCATTTCACGCCTAGCCCTGTCTCTTTCTGACAACTCTTGTATAGCTCTTTTCTTCTCTTCAAAGTCCTTCTTTGCTCTTTTCTGCTCTTCTGCTAATCTTCTTTTTTCCTCTTCTTCATTTTGTCTTCTTTCCTTAATCACCCTTTCTTCAAATTCCTCTCTAATATTTTGATTATCAACACCAGGCCTGCCATCATCCCCTTTATCTACAACATTCACCTCCAACCTGCCCAGGTTGTTCTCACTGTCTTTTGACTTGTTTTTTAGTTGCAGTAGCTCAGCCTCCATCAGCTTTCTTTTTTCTTCTTCCTGTACAATAAAATAACTTTCTAATGTTATAATTAAAACTAGAAATACAATCAAAGAAAAATCAAGAATAATATATAATTAAAGCAAGTGAAACAACACCAATAATTATTGATAAATTATGTTTGTAAAACTGACTTCTTTAAGGTTTCTTTCCATATCTTTCAAATGTGTGTCTTTTGTTCTGTCTTGCCGTAGTTTCTCCACTTCTTCCATCCTACGCTTCGTTTCTGCTTCGTCACGTTTTGCCTCTTCTAAACCTAGAAGCCTGTCAAGATTTTCAAGTTATTTTGCTTGTTATAAACATTGTTATGCTGCACTATACATTGATTTTTAAGTTCTATTAAGTAATTCCAACAGTTATTAGATCAGAGCAAATACAATAACAAGAGTTAGTTAATCATTTCCACCATCCACTATTCAATTTGCAATTTTTTAACATTAAAGCACCTCTACATGAGTGACCTAGTCATATGTGTTGGTCATTCTCAACAGGATTACTTGATCTAAAAATAAGTATTTCATGTTTTGCATATCATTTCTGCATATTTTACCTCACCTTTTTTCTTCTTCCAAAGTAAGGAATTTTCTCTGGTCTTCCTGTTGTTTTGCTTCCTCGTCAAGATTCTCCTTTAACTTTTTCTTTAACCACAGCAGAGCAGCTGCATCTTGTTCTTCCTTCGTTTTCAGAAGCTGAAGATCTTTCAAACTTTTCTCTATGTCCATGATTTTGTCTTGTCCGGGCAGCACAACAATATTTGGCTGAAATTCTTTCCACCCATTCTTCTCTCTCTCTCCTCTATTAATATCGGAGACCAAGTTGTTTTTTATTGTTAAGTTGTTGATTTTAGGTCCATGGGCCAGTATATCATTGTTCAAGTTTTTATTTTTAAATGATTTCATGTGAACAGATTCTAAATTGTACTCAAGTTGAGAAACATTGTCACCAAATGAATTCTTTATATATGGGCTTATATTACTGTCAAAAGACAAATCCACATCGTCTGTCTTTGATGGCTTAAGTTTACGATCAAATTGTGGAAATGGTTTTAACTTTGAACCTGCTGAATTGCTACTTCCTAAAGCAGATAAAGGCAGTTGGGCTGGTTGTAATAGCAGCTGGGCTGGTTGTAATGGCAGCTGGGCTTGGTAATCAAAGCCCACTGGTGACATAAAGAATAGATTTTTATACATTTATCTTAAAGCAACATACGATAGATTGTTATATAATTTTATCTATAATCGATCTAACAAATTATCTACAACATTTAATGGGGAAATCAATTTTATTACAAAACAAATTAATTATTGGCGAGGTTGATTTAAAGATCATAATCCATAAGTTTAAGTTCTTTCACCGCCACATCAAAACTGTGAACTCATTCTTCTTGTACTTCTTTCCTAATATTTATTTATGGAGGAGTCAGGCAACAAGTCCAAAATGGTGGGCAAACTGGGCGGTGGTCTCCAGACCAGCAAGCACCCCATACAACTTTTTTCTGAGAAGTGTGCTTCAACCAGGTACGTTTGAGCAGTGAATCATGAGGGTTACTACTGCAAATTCGTAACAGTTCAACACAACTGTATGTCATTCAAAACAGGTAAAAAGGAATCAATGTCTACTTACAGGTTACAGTAGGTGAAGGAGCTTTAGCAGGGATAGAGTCACTAGGCCTAATCACATGGGGATTTGTAGTTAGTGTGGGATAAAATAAAAGCCAGGATTCATAGCCTCCATCCAGCACAAGTGGCTCTGATTTGATGATGCAGCTGGTGTTAAACTAGTAGATAAGAAAGGTGGTGTCAAGCCAGTGGCGTAGGCAGGGGGGGGGGGGTTAGGGGGGGTCATAACCCCCCCCATAGACCCCTCGGTATATATATATAAAAAGTATGAGGGGGGTGCAAATCGAAAGTTTGAGGGGGGGGGGGTGCAAAAAGTTTGAGGGGTGGGTGCAAATCAAAAGTTTGAGGGGGGGGGGGTGCAAATTGAAAGTTTGAGGGGGGTGCAAATCAAAAGTTTGAGGGGGGGGGGGGGTGCAAATTGAAAGTTCGAGGGGGGTTGCTAATCGAAAGTTTGTCCCTGGGTAAAAATTGGAACCCCCCCCCCCCCCCCCCCCCCTTGAGACGATCCTGGCTACGCCACTGTGTCAAGCTAGGACAAAAATACATTTCCATATACAATATGAACTAGCATATACAATATGAACTAGCATATACAATATGAACTAGCATATACAATATGAACTAGCATTCCATCACAATTTTTGAAGTGTTTAATTCCTTTACTTAGCATATTTTTTTAACGCTCCAATGCAAATAATTACATACCTTATAGAGTGCATCCTTCAGAGTTTTTAATGGGTGGCCAAATGAAACATTTTCTAAGGTAGAATTCCAGTCTAATAAAATTATATGATCTGCATTCATTCTTCGACACCAGGTAGCTGTTGATTTGCTGGGAAGATTAGCACTTATGTGTTTCACAGTTGAGCTATAGGAAAAAAGATACAACAGTTAGCTTAATTATTTTTGCATATGGAAAAATTGAAGATAAAAATATGCCGTCAACAATATGATTTTTTTGGAATTAAGGTATTATTGATAAAAAAATTCATAAAAGGAACTAGTCATAATGCCCTATTTAAATAATCAAGTCATTTTCAAGTTATTTTCTCTATAATAAAAGTCAAGATTAAAATAAACTAAGACCTAAGTGATAAATGGGAGCAGGATTTCACCTCCAACCCAGAACAATTACCCCCGGTACATTGCCCAAAAAAGACTACTTCCTGTTAATTAACTCCACCCCCCCCCACCCCCACCCCCACCCACTTGAGATTTAGAGATACAGAAAAGAAATAAGGATAAGTTAGAGTTAGGATGAGGATTAGGGTTTTAAGGATAGGATTAGCAATAGGGATAGGGGTTAGTGAAATGGTTAGGGTTAGGATTAAGCATAAGGATAAAATTAGGTACAGGTGGTAGTGTTAGGGATAAAAATGGAATAAGGGATGTGGTTAACTATGGTGGTGTTTGGTGTATGGATAGGGGTTTGATAAGGGTGAGCAAGTAATTGACAGGGTGTAAAGACAGGCAATGACCATCATTTGGTTTGATTGTCACAAAAGTGTGGCTAAAGTACTTTTACGTTCTTCAAATGTTAAAATGTAGTTAAACCACTCTATACTAACATGTTTAATTTTTTTAAAGAAAGCTGCATATTTTCAAAGGATCTGGATACAGGTAGAAGGGTAAAATTAATATTGACTTACCCAGGTGATATAATTTCTGCAGGGACACTAATGCAGTCAGAATGACTTATATGTGATGCATTAAAATCTTCAGCTGAGCGAACATCCATGATAACTACTTTAGTTGTATTGTCTCGAAGTAAATTACAAAGATTTAAACTGCTGATTGAACTTGATGTAACATCTGAAAATATTTTTAAAAAATAAAAATGTAGGCAATGATATGGTTTATTGTGACTTGCAAGCCTGTTAGGCTTAAACATTTGAAATTCAAGCAAGCAAAGTAGAAAAGATGAATGGATAAAAATGTAGCTTTAATATATCTCAATAAAGTAGTCACACAACATTGCACTAATTAATTGCTTCATGTAGCTAATATCTTAAATCAAAGAAGTTACTGTTACTCTGCAATAACACTTAAAGTCCTCTTAATTGCAATTTTTCACAATAAGCAGCAGATTTTTTTTTTATATTTGACCACAATTTGATAAAAATGTAAATACTTTTTCAAATTTAATTGGAATTTCAAGTGCTCTAAAAATTGCCTATGTCCTATTCTCTCCCCCCCCCCCCCCTCCCACTCCCCCACCCTCACACACACAAGATAACTTTCACGTTAGTTTAGAAATTGTTAGACCTATAACATGAACAATTATTAGAGATTGCCAGGGACATCACTTTTTTTTCTTAAACCCAGCAGTATAAACAAGTACATGTTTGGATTATGTAGGTTTTAAATTGATTGTATTCAACATTTAGTCAAACACTCCAACCTACTAAGAATACTTTCATAATTTTTTTTTATTATTAGCTAAAAATGTGACAAAAACAAAATTAATATAACTAACTTTCATTCAACAATATTTTAACCATATTTACATATGTCTCAATCTTTAAATAAAAAAGTATGGGATTTAAACAAAAGGCTTACAAAAATGATGACATTGACACAAAGTGCCAAGAATACACAATGTGGTTGGAAAAGGCTGACTTTTTTCCACTCATGACTACAGTGAGAGGGGGAAGCTACCAGGTTAAAAAATGGAGGGTGAATATTATTACCTGTAAAATAAAAATACCTTGCGAAACTAACGGTAGACTACCAGTAATGCAATATTAACAGTAAATGAACCGAGCACAGGGGATATACATTTCATTTATAGAACTGCTAACATTTTAGAAAACATTTTTCCAAATAATGCTTTTGGGGAAAATTTAATTGAAAATTATCACTGGAGAAATTCTGACTAGAGTATAGATTCTGAAAAAAAAAACTTTATTGCTCAATTTATTTTTTATATAATTATAAATTTCTGAGGATATTCTTTTTTATTGTAGCATTCATCCATTAACATGTTTAGTATCAAAGTTAAACAAAGGGATCTATACCTGATTGTGTTTCCTCCAGTTTTTTATTTGACTCCTCAACACCATCTTTAACATTCTCTCTCACAGCAATTTCTTCATCTGCTTCTAGTACAGACAATGTATTGGCAATAGCTTCTGCTTCGTTTAGATCATATCTGATAATGTGAAATATAAAAAACATCAGAGCTATGAGCCCAAATAAGGACTAAAAGTGTAAAACATAATTTGAATGTTTATTATAACTGTTTACTACTTTAAGAGAATGACCATCTTCAAATTTTCATGATATTTTCATAGTAATATTCTATAATATTTTAAATTTAATATCATAGAAAATTGTCAACACGTTTTATGATCATTTAATGTAAACTATTTGTAATATATTGTGAGTTTTATCACAAAGAAAGAAAGTTAAATGCATAGCACCAAAAAAGTTGCATCTGTTTCAAAACAAAACTAAAAGGTACAACATTGAATTCTAAGATGTATCTGGTTGGACATAAAAAGAAATTAAAATACGGTGGTGGGAATAATGCTTTAATACTTTTCTTTTAGGGACGGAGTGGTCTAGCGGTAGAGAGCTGGACAGCTAACCCGTAAGTGTCGAGTTCAAATCCAGGTTCAAGTCAGTAAGTGAGTCCACCCAACTCTGATGGGTACCTAACTCACGTTAGGGAGAGTAAAGGCGGCTGGGCATAGTGCTGACCACACTATCTCTTCATATGCCGAGGTCACAGAAACAAGTAAACTCTACTTCACTTGCCCCATAGACTGTCAGGTTTGAAAGGGAAACTTTTTACTTTACCTTTCTTTTAAACTTTCAGCAAGTTTCTCTGCTCGTTCAATAGCTTTTACTTGATTAGAACTCCCTATCAGTTTATCAAAATAATCCTGTGAATAATTAGATCATTGTTACAGACACATAATCCTTGTAAGCATTACTGTTTGAGAAAATATATATGCAACAAAATAGTATACTTTCAATAAAGCTTAAAATGTCAAATCAGTGAGTTAAAGCCCAAGACAGAGAATTACAATTAAATACTTTCACAACACAACTTAACTGAAACCTAAGCACTTAGTTTCTCTGATTTAAGTTGTTTTTTACTTTCTCATATACAAGGTATAGAGGAAGTATTGTAATCGTGCAAAAAATAAAAATTGTGTATGTGTGTTTATGTATACGAACACAATAACTTGAGTACTGTTACAGTTAGGTAGATGAAATTTCATACATAAGTATTATGTCAAATATGTAGTTCTGTATCAAGTTTTCAGCGATTTCCGGAACCCGAAATGGAACTTATTGTACTTTTGGTTTTTACAAAAGCTGATGGATAAACGTAATTTCACATATCAGTTAAAGATCTAATTCTCTGCCTTCTGTCAAATTTTGAGTAATTTCCATTGGCCGGAGGTAGTACTTAACACAATTTCCAATTAATAAAAACATATGAATTTATAAAGTACTGATATTCCACACTATTATACACATTTTTGCCACTCACTTGGAGTGCAATCCTTTTTTCTACGAGATTCTATTCTAATTCTATTTTAAAAAGTCTAAGTGATTAAAAATCATGTCTATATCCCGTTTTGAAATACCTGCTGTGTTATATAAGAATAGTCCAGAAAGTTTAAGACAGTTCACCCCCGCTTTAATTTAAGAGAAATGAAAATTGAAGCAGTTTTGAGTAACTGAAAAAAAGAAGATGGTGCTAGATTTATCATGGATGAGATCAAATGAAACTTCAGAATGTGTATCCACATCTCACTAGGCCTAGCCTGACATGAGTAAAGACTATTTTGAGAAAATGCAAAAAAGTTGCCAGAGACCTGTAAAAGCGGAAAGAGCCTACTGTGGCGGCCCCATGTGTCCAGAGTAGTAAAGGGAAAAGACTATTTTTTTTATCAGCAGTAAACTCAAAAATATATTTTGTATGTTAATTCACTATTTTGTTTATCTCAAATAATAGTTCAAGGGAAAGCTTACTTTTTGTTTTTTATACTCAGGTTTGGATTTTATGAGACGAAGCATATTAAAGTATTTTATGTAAAAAATAAATGCTCTCTCTTCATCTCCCTGTAAGTCATATGCCTCTGCATCTTCAAAAACTTTCTTGTTTGATTTAATAATGCTGGAATGAGAAAAAAAAAATATTATGACCTGAAAATTATGATTAAAATTATGTTTTCTTGTAGTATACTGCTATTTTTAATGCAGAGATCATGTGTAAAGTTAATACATTTTCTAATAACTCCCAATAATAATACCATACAGACTGTACTTTTCTGTGACTCAATATGAACAGGCTCAGACCTAAATGGTTTGTTACATTTCTTTTAAATTGCTTAGACAGTTGCTCTAATTACTAATATAGATTCTATATTGAATGTAAACAATTAACAAGGATTTTGATGCCTTTCATACTTACATAGCCACATTATTTGTTGAAAGTGTTTTCACGTCACTTAACTTGTGCAAATCTCCAAGACATTTGCCCATGTACAACTCCTTTTTTTTTTGGCATTATGTCAGCTAAATAGAAAAAAATATTGTTAATTTTATTTCAGATTTTACATTCATACTTCAACATATCTATGATTTTGGATTCAAAATGACACTTTTTTCTGTCTGTTTTGACAAGATGTGTTCATCAAATCATACTCAAAATACACACATTATATCAAGCAGATAAAACAATAACAGATATTCTCAAACCACCCTAAATTGTCTGTATTCATTGTCTATGCTTTACTCTGCATGTAGTACAGTCACATAAAAATCTAAGCTCAGGCATCCCACATAAACTAAATTTAGAGTAATCATAAATAGTAAAATCATTAAAATAATTAACTAACACTAATTTTTGTTTACCTTATGTTTTAGGTCTGCTTAAATATTATGATTTGTCAACCACCTGGAACATAGAATTATGGAGGAAAGCTAGGCAGGAGATTATGGGTGTACAAATAAGAAGGAGGAAGTGGTGCTGGGTGGGTCACACATGAAAGGCTAACCCAAATGTTACACGCCAAGCGCTTGAGTGGAACCCCCAGGAGGCAGAGTCTTCTTGAAGAACTGAAGTCAACAGGGATGTCTTGGGAGATGGCAAAATTAATATCTGGGGACCGGAAGAAATGGATGGAAATGGTGGAGGCCCTATGTTTCATAAGGAGCAAAGAGGATTAAGTCAAGCAAGTCAAGTCATCTACCTGAGGTTTGTGATCTCCCCTCGCTCTGATTAATTCAATCAAGAATGTTTCCTCATCTATAGTTTTTTTTAATTTGTTTATCAGCAGCATTTTCAATAAAAAGAATTTCAAATAGTAAATCAATGACTGCAATGAGGCTTTAAAAGAAAATTCTTTCCTAGCCCTCCAAAAGTCACTAGTAAAAGGTAGCTGAGGCAGTGGCGGAACTAGAAAAAAATGGCCACCCCGCAAAAAAATTTTTTAGGCCCCCCCCCCATATATATATATATATATATATATATATATATATATATATATATATATATATATATATATATATATATATATATATATATATATATATATATATATATATATATATATATATATATATATATATATATATAATTATATATATATTTATATTTATATATATATATATATATATATATATACAAAATACGAACACAGCATAGGTCAGGGGTCGGCAACCTTTTGAAGCGGAAGAGCCAAAAGTTACAATTTTCAAAATTTCCCTGGTTTTAAAGAGCCACTAACATTTGTTTTTATTTCAAATATTTTATTTTTTATTAAGATTATTAGTATTTGTTCAAGGAGCTGGAGAGCCGCATCTTGATATCAAAAGAGCCGCATGCGGCTCGCGAGTCGCAGGTTGCCGACCCCTGGCATAGGTTACTCATTACTGGCCTGTTCGGGTTTTGAAAATAAAAATGTTTTTTTTTTCAATTTAAACAAATTATTACATATTTTCATGTGTAAGTGCGTTGGTGTGTTTTTAGAAAAACAGTTTTATTTTATTTGCTTTGGGTTCTTTAAACATCTATTTGGTCAAATGAATATTAAACATGAAATCTTTGTAGAAGTAATGGTGTCTCGTGTTATGATTATTTTTGTTTTTTTTTTGTATTTATATTATTAATTTTAAATATATTTCCTTTTTATACAAGGTCATTCTTTAGTAAGTACTTTATGAAAAAATATTTATTAACAGAATTAATTGCTTTTTAATTTGTTTAGTACAAATCTATTAAAAGGAGCTTATGAGCACACCAATTTGACTATTTAAAAAAGGGGAAATAAGTCATGGAAGTGGTTTGAACGTTTGCTTATCTTTGTTAGGTTTAATTGTAGAAGAGAGAGGACTTGCCTCTCACAGTGGTTTAAAAAGAAAGGGAAAAAGAATATACAAGAGCGTGGGGATGGTGTCTATAGAATAAATATAACCAAACCGCAGCTATGGTAATCGTTTTACAAAACAAACATCAAGTAAAAAATTGCAAGAAAATTAGATTTTTTTTAACTATTAGGGTCGGCCGTGGGCCCCTAAATGGCGTGGGCCCCCCCGCATTGCGGGGTCTGGCGGCACTGTAGTTCCGCCCCTGAGCTGAGGCAATGTAAGTGAAGTTGAAAGCTTCCACAATAATACTACTTAATATATATGAGCAAGATTTACAAATTTAGTGTCGGGTTGGTTAGAGATAGTAGTTTTCATTGGTATTGTTTAAATTTTAAAAAATTAAATTTAAATTATAGTGAGAATTGCTTTTAGGTAATTCCCCAGTGTAGTGCCAGTTATTATTCAAGAACATTAGAATGGGAAAGCAGTTAAAAAACCAGTAAAACAATGCCGTAGTCTGTCATGCCGTTCCAGAATTAAACAAAAGTAATGTAAACCATATTTTATTTAGCGCTATCTTTTTTAAAATTCGGAACGTTTAAAAATTTGGATCAATAGTCCTACCATAGGCATAACCCTAATCTTCCAAAAAAATAAAACTAATTACTACACTTGACTTTAATATTTATATTAAGATATATATTTATTGTTGCTAATTTACTATTTATTTTGGTTTCCATATGTCGATTCAACTTAAATAGGCCTAAACCATGGTTTACACTTTATTTCATTTTACAGTAACTAATGTGTATGAAACGCAACAAACTACAAATATCAAAAGATAATTTATAATTTCTAACACTATAATAATGCGTACTGACTAAGGGATTACCTTGCTATTATTATTACGATGTGACTAGTCAGAAGAAGCTTTTGCCCCTAGCTAAGGCTGGCAGGCAGAAGATGCAAAACACCAATGGCCTTAATAACTTAAATAAGGCTAAAAATGGGCTGAAATTACCATAAATAGCTGTGCAATGCACTTATATTAGTCTTTGTTTTAGCCTTATTCTTCTAACAAAACTAACTGTATCGTGTGGTTGAGCAGTTGCGCGCGGTTTGGGTGGATTGTCAGGGGGATAGAATCTAATATAACTAGAAAGAGTAAAGAGATCTACCCATCTAGTCTGTAAGTAAAGAAGTATAACATCTTTTTAAATAAATATTTTTAATAGCCTATTTTAATCTACTATTTAAGTTTGTATTATCAGGACTACTCATAAGCCTGAACAACGAAAAGTTAGATAAAGATACTGCAGCATAGCAGCACTATCTGTTTAGTAAATATGCGCATCTTTTTCAGGCTAGAATCTGCCTTATTATTAATCTGAATTTTAATATTGAATATTATTAGTAATAGTAGGCCTATGTAATAGTAGATCTACTGTCAACTTGAAAGTAAGTCAACTCATGTCAACTAAGAACTAACTCATGTCTGTTACAACTTTTAGGTAATCTATCGTTTTAGGTGCGTAAGATCGTCCAAGGCTAGTAATGTGCGAAAAAGTTGCCTCATTGTTAAGGCTTTAATAGAGGTATTGTGATATATTTGTGTCAAATATCATAGATAACTGAATAATAAACCAAATTCAATGGCTAAATATATCAATATAGGCCAGAAATTAACTTTAAACAACAGTGTTTGCTTGCAAGATTTGCTATATAAACAGCGGCCATCTGTAAGTTAGAGTGGTTTCCCCTGAATCACTAACTATAATTTTACAAAAAAATTTTTTTTTAAAGATTTGCTGTTAAAGCAGAGGCGTAGCGACCCTTCCCGGCGCCCGGGGACAAACTTTCGATTTGCACCCCCCTCTAACTTTCGATTTGCACACACCCCCCCCCCTCAAACTTTTGATTTGCACCCACCCACCCCCCCTTCAAACTTTCGATTACTTTTTCCAACCCATTTTGGCGCCCTCTAAGGTCGGCGCCCGGGGACATCAGTGTTTCTTCCAGACTTTTTTCTCCGGGGGGGGGGGGGGGGGGGCACTTGAAATTTTCGGGGGGGGGGGGGGGGGGGGGGGGGGGCGGTAAACTTACTTCGGGGGGGGGGGGACACTGTTAAAAGTACATATTTTCTATATAAATTATATAAATTTCATTTCGTTCGGGGGGGGGGGGGGGGGGCGGTAAAAAAATTTCGGGCCCCCCCCCCCCCCCCGAAGAGATGCCTGGAAGATGCCCCTCTGCGCAGAGGCGTAGCGACCCCAACTGGCGCCCGGGGCGAACTTTCAGTTTGGCGCCCCTCCCCCCCCCGATATATATATATATATATATATATATATATATATATATATATATATATATATATATATATATATATATATATATATATATATATATATATATATATATATATATATATATATATATATATATATATATATATATATATGAGAGAGAGAAAGTTCGACAGTCCGGAAAAGGTTTAATAATTACGATGTATGATTGTCGTTCCCTAAATCTTTACTCGACGCCAATTAAATTCCACTTAAGTTGCATTGTCCGTTAAAAATGATTATTAATGTCAGAAAAAAATAAACCTCATCTGAGTTAAGAGGGCAGTTTGTAGCAGGTGCTAATTCGTTTAGGACAGTCTTTTTATGTTTTATCTTTGGAACAGTCTCTGTTATGACATAGTACATAGTTGGATTATAAGCTTGTTAGATTAAGGTCATACGAAGTGTTTCCTACGCCTATATTCCTTAGGAAGCCGAAACGAATAAAAAGAAAAAATCAAAAGCGTTTAGAAAAGTGAGTTCCATCGAACCCAAGAGGTTCGGTAAGTCAGTCTCAGGGCTTCCTCAGAGGTCAAAACTCATAGCCGAATCATATGATTCACGATCACTAGAAGGTGCAGGTCTACTTTTGGTCGTGTTGTTAGAACAATTTCGATAATAGTGTATTACAGTTTAAAATTATGTTACGTTGAACAAAGTAACAAAGTGTGATATAAAAAAAGCAATAAAAACAAGATATATTCAGTACAATATAATAATTGTCTTCTCTCTTAAATTTTTTTTACAAAGAGTGTCGCCTGATCTGATTCCTCGCGTTGAAGTTGAGAGAATCGCAAGAATCGTACAAAATACTAGTCGCGTCATTTCTTAACAAAACTGGGTGGTGAAATTGTGCTTTAAGCGTTAGTAAAGTTGGTTTCTTTTCTTAGTGTTAAAAGAGTTATCTACTCACCAATCCAGTGTAAATCCTTGCGATTTTAATTGGCGAACCCCCCCCCCCCCCCCCCCACCTTCTTGACAAAGTTGGTAGAGCGGGTTTTAAACGTCACTCTTTTTTTTAATGTCACACAATCGTACAATACGCTTTAGTACAATTGGTTTGTTTTATAAGTGGTAAAGTTTATCAACTCACTAATCCAATGTAATTTTTTCTGATTTTAGTCATCGAAAAAGCCCCCCCCCCCCCTCTAGGAAGCTGAAAGCGGTCTTTTTGTCTGATCATTGTTTCTTAAGAGTATATGTTTTACAGTTACAAAATCAAGGTAGAAAACAGTAAAATCAGTATGCAAAGGCTCTTAGCCGTTAAATTTCTTAACTTTGACTGTTTATAATTCAAAACTGCAGCTGAAAATGAGCTTTTAAAATATTTTTTCTACCCCTTTTGGCGCCCCTTTAGGGTTGGCGCCCGGGGCGGCCGCCCTCCCCGCCCCCCCTTAGCTACGCCTCTGCCTCTGCGCCCCTCTACCCCCCCCCCCCCCCCCCCCCCCATCGCTACGCCTCAGTAAATGAGAAAATCATAATGCATCTGACAAAAACAGGTAGATCTAGATCTAGTCTTTTTTTTTAATGAAAAGTTTTAATACAATTGTTTAAAAAACAGGTACATTCATGAATTATCAGAATTAATGAAACTTTGAAACATTCAAAACATAAATCCTCCTCTAGATCTACTCCTAAAAATGTGAAATAATTACCAAAAGAGCAGAACCCACGGTCTACCTTTGTTGAAGAAGGCCGTTCGATTCAACGCTTCCGGGTTTGTCATTTTCGTGGAATCTCACAGCTCATGCGCTTACTAAAATGACGACCAGTTTCGTTTTCACTATACGGTAAGTATAGGGATAGATCTATACACAAATGATTACGAGGCAATTGTTAATTTTAGAAATCGGAACTAGGCCTATTCGTTTCTATTTAAGTCTGTTATTTAAGAATTGTTAGATCTACTTTGGCCTAATTTCTCTGTTTGTCTCGCAAGCGGCGCGTTAGCGAAACTAGCTCTATTTTCTTCTTGTCTTTCGAATCAAATAACTGTAAAATACCGCTCCTTTTTCTAACCAGACTATGTTTTTCCAAAACTTGAAGGCATTAATTTTACACAAATTACAATTAACTGGTAATAATTTATTGTAGTTATGAGATAAGCTCTGTAAAAATAATAATGCCATTTTATTATAATCGTGTTTGGTTAAAACGAGGCGCGGGAAAATATGTGCTGCGCCGTGCGGCGTCAAAACGGCCAATGACAAAACGGCTCAGAGCCGGCGTTAGGGGGTGACAAACGGGGCGGTCGCCCTAGGCCCCGCTCTTGAAGGGCCCCGCGCTTCAGCACTGTCGTTGTTATCTGAATTAGTTTGTAAACTTAAAAAAAAATTGTTGCTGAATTCAATTGGGAAAAACTAAATGGTTGAATGCCGACGTTGTTGATTGTTATAATTGACGAAGTGAGTTATCCTCTACATGGACTGTGACAGGCGTTATTCGATACGAAGACATTAGTGTCACACATCGCTAGCATGGTCGACTCGCAATTGTCCTGAGGTGATTACAGATAGCGGTCGCGAATTAGCCCCCGACCTGACATGGGAGGTAAAATCGGGAAAACACGTAATGAGATACCCTATTGTACGCGGACCGTTGAAGACGGTTTTTTAGAGAGCAGGCGGGGTTGACCTGATGATGGCTTGCAGAGGAGGGGGAAAGCGGATGGGATGTGCCCCGGACATCCAGAGTATTTATTCCTAAAATCATAATTTATACACTGTATGGGCTTCTTTTATGTAATTATGCTTATTCACTACGATACGTTTGATAGGCATGCATACAGTAATTATGTTCATATTAATTTTGGTAAACTTTAATGGTATTCGTAGAGTGATTAAGCACATGTTTATTTTAATTAATTGTAGGGATATTCAGTATAATAGTTAAGACCATTGTGATTCTTGTTTTAAAATAGTGTAGCCTCCAGTTTGGACTATGATGATATAATCATGGAATTTTCCTCACGAAAGGCAAGAAAAGTAGATCTTCGTTTGTGAACGTACTGGTAAGGTTTTCATAAATAAACATATGTAAAGAAATCAGGTTTGAAGCTGACGTTCATCGTCTCTTAAATGCGTGTCTCGAATTTATATCTGTTTTATTTTTACTTTCTCGTATATACGAAGTATAGAGAAAGTATTGTAATCGTGCAAAAAAAATCGAGATTTTTACAAATCTCGACGTTTTACACATCACTGATATGGAAAAACATAATTTTGCAATCTTGTCCGTATGTCTGTGTGTGTGTGTGTGTGTAAACACGATAACTTGAGTACCGTTAAAGCTAGGTTGATGAAATTTCATATATAAGTATTTTATCAAAGTCGTAGATCCTGATCAACTTTTGAGCGATTTCCGATAACCGGAAGTGGTACTTTTTCTACTTTGAATTTTTCAAAAGCCTATAACTTGAGTACTATTTCAGATAGATAAATGAAATTTCACATGTAAGTAAAAGATCTAATCGTCTACCTTCTATCAAATTTTGAGTTTTCTTCTTCTTCTTCGTTCTTAATTATTAGTGTTGAAGGGGATCGAGATTTATCTGCCAGTGGGTTTGAACTCGAGACTTTGTTCGAATTTATCAACCATGAGCTTTTTTGCCGACTCGACCACGCCTCCAACACAATTAAGCGTTACGTGTCAACTGGTTATGCGCCATTGAGGCCATTGACTCCGATTTCAGCCTGCTTTTCTTTTTGGATTTGCTTCCATAGCCTTTGTCCAACCAAGAACAAACTACACGGCAGCAGTCGTTTAATTTTGGAGTTGTCTCTCCTAGAAGAGTGGCTGTCCCCAGCTAACGAGCCTCATCTGCCCGAGGGTTCGAACTCGAGACTTTTCGGTTTAGCAACCATGAGCTTTACCGACTCGACCACGCCGACCCCCTAAATTTTGAGTAATTTCCGTGGACCGTAAGTAGTAATTTACGCTATTTCCGATTTCTTAAAAAACTAATGTAAATTTATAAAGTACTAGCCGTCCTGGCCAGGCCCTGCTCTGGCTTCTGTAAAAAACCTTTCTGTTAAAGACCATCACCTGTGTGTTTAGTAATCATCATAAACCCGGCATTGCCCACCCAAACCACAACCAACCAAAACCAAAACAACAAAACGCAAACATAACGCTAACACAATTACAAATACAAACGAAAACGAAAACAAAAACATAACAACAAATCCAACCACAAACACCAATACAAACACAAAGAAAAAACAAACAAAAAAGCAAACGAAAACAAAAACCTAACAACAAACCCAACCACAAACACCAATACCAACCAATAACAACACACAAAAAACGAAAAAGCAAACGAAAACAAACCAAATCCAAACGCAAAACCAACCAAAAACCCAAATACAAACCCAAAGAAAAAAACACAAACAAAAACGAAAAAAGAAAGAACAAAAACGAACCAAATCAAACCGCAACCACTAACGCAAACCCAACCTAAACACAAAGAAAACACTAACACGAACATAAACGCAAACAGCTCACAGTCTAGCCCGGGGCGGAATCGCCTGTTTTAGCTTATAAACTTATTCATAGTCTTTTGCACTCACTTAAACGAACGCGCCTGTTTCAATTTAATGAACAATTATAATACTCCAAGCTTATCCGTAAAATACCTACAACATTTGCACTTGATCAATCCCCGCTAATTATGCAATTATTTTTTTTCCCAACACCAAAACAAAGTAATAAAAAGTAAATTCTTTTCCACTAATGCAATGGTTTTATAAAGGGAAGTAATTGTGTTTTCCTAATTTATCAAATGGAAGTAAGTGCTATAGGACTAAATAAAGACATAATTAGAATTTTTGTAAAAGATGATATTTTTTAAAAACTTGTGTTTAATGAACATGCCGAAAATTATTACTTTCAGTTTGATAAATGAAAATTATTTCCCAAAACTTTCAATATAAATTTTTTAACTCATAAATTTAGACCATAAGGACTTTAATTATCTAACACTTAAATCAATCGAAGATCCAAGACAAACATATGTGTTACATACAGAATTGAACTTTATATATTAGACTAATAATATTCCGCACTATTATGCATATCTTTATTTGGCGTTCACTTAGTGTGCAATTCTTTTTTCTACAAGATTTTATTCTATTTATAAAAGGTTAATTATTTAAAATGGATTAAAAGTCGTGCCTATATCCCGAGTTGCCATCCAATGTTGTTTCATATAAGAATATCCGAGAAAGTTTAGGGGAGATCACTCCCGGTTTATTTTTTGCACGATTACAAGACTTTCTCTATAGGCTACTTCGTAAATACGAGAAAGTAAAAATTGAGCAAAACGAAATGTTCACATATAAATATCGGGTCTTGACCAAATAATCTACGCCAATAAGTCAACCCACGACACCAAACAATATTATCGAAAAATTATATGAAACTTGTACTTTTAGCTTTTTTTTGTCCTGCGTTAAAATATTCAAATGTCTAGATTGAGGGAGCACAATGTGGTGCTACTATAGAAGAAAAAAATTGTGTCATAATGTATAACAATAATAATTTAGTATTAGACTAACGTTTACTAGCTGCTCCTTAGAATAACTTGCATATAATTCTCTATTCATACTATTTCATATATATATATATATATATATATATATATATATATATATATATATATATATATATATATATATATATATATATATATATATATATATATATATACAGAGTTTGGGTCTTAGAAAGCTCAAAAAGTAAGACAGTAATTATTATTGAAGATAATAGGAAAGGTTGGATTTTCATTGCGTTTTACTTTAAAGTAATCATAAATTGATTTCGGTGATGAAATATTTTCTCGTCCTTCGTGGAGTTTAAACGAAGCGACTGAAGATGAATCATTATAATTATTGTTTTGGTAGCAGGATATATCTCCACAGATTGTATACTTTTTGCAGGATTCAATGTTTTTTTCAAACATAATATATACGTTGTTTTTTTTTAAACGTGAAGCTTATAAAAATAAAATAAGATTATATAAGTGGCGAGCAAAAAAAAACCTTTATTTCATAAATAAAAGATAAAATTTGACTAGCATTGCAAACATCGTCGTCGCCGATAAAGCGAAACAGTCGCCGCCGTCGTCTACGTTACACACACTTAATAGGATGATCCTAAACGGAGAAGAGACAACAAAAATTAATTAATCATTAATATTGAAACAGTCAGATATTGTGTGAAAAGATACGTTCAGATAGTGTTTGGTTATCTTATGGTTATAAGAAACGAGAAGTCTTACCTGAAGCGTAGTTATTGTTGGCATTGTAGCTGTTGGAGCCTTTGCCGTAGGAGGCAGAGTTGGAAGAATCGTAGCTGGATGAGCCGTAGTTGGATGGGGCAGAGTAGCTAGATGAGGCATAGTTGGATGGGGCAGAGTAGCTAGATGAGCCATAGTTGGATGGGGCAGAGTAGCTAGATGAGCCATAGTTGGATGGGGCAGAGTAGCTAGATGAGCCATAGTTGGATGGGGCAGAGTAGCTAGATGAGCCATAGTTGGATGAATCATAGCTGGATGGGGCAGAGTAGCTAGATGAGCCATAGTTGGATGGGGCAGAGTAGCTAGATGAGCCATAGTTGGATGGGGCAGAGTAGCTAGATGAGCCATAGTTGGATGGGGCAGAGTAGCTAGATGAGCCATAGTTGGATGGGGCAGCGTAGCTGGATGAGCCGTAGTTTGATGAGCCATAGTTGGATGGGGCAGAGTAGCTAGATGAGCCATAGTTGGATGAGCCGTAGTTTGAGCCGTAGTTGTTACCACCGTTGAAGTAAAGACCATCTCTGTACTGATTGCTGTTTCCGACTGGACCATTGTTGTAACCGTTGCTGTAGCTGTTGCTGTTGTATCCGTTGTTGTTGTAGCCGTTGTTGTTGTTGTAGCCGTTGTTGTTGTAGTTACTGCCGCTGTTGTATCCACTGCCGCTGTTGTATCCGCTTCCGCTGTTGTAGCTCTTTCCGCTGTCGTAGCTATTGCTACCGCTGTCGTAGCTGTTGCTACCGCTGTTGTAGCCCTTTCCGCTGTCGTAGCTGTTGCTACCACTGTTGTAGCCAGTGCTACCACTGTTCACGTACATACCGCTAGCAACAGCCACCATGGCGATGCAGACAATCAAGTTGATTGAGGCCATTTTGAGATTGATCTATAAGGAAAAATACGTTTTTCATGTGGATATTTTAACACAAACTTTAGATCATGAAGGGCTTAAATACAATAGCAACTGTAAACAAATAATGATAACAAAGCTGTTTCTTCACTTTTGTTTAAAACAAAAATCCCTTATAATAAGAATAAAATTATGTAACCAAGACTATAATATGGATGTCTGTTTAAATATGATACAAGTTGGGGAAGATCTTGTTTTTTATCATCTGCTCTCATAAAAAATACACATCAATTAAATTTTGACAATGCATCCCTTTTTCTCCGTATAGAATAAAGTATTGAGTAAAAAGTCGAAAACCGACAAAAAAACTTTTATTATTCAGCACGATAGCAATACGTCCTCTATAATGTGTATACGACAAAGAAATAAAATGTAACTAATAAATTTTATTTATGGAGGGAAATTTATTATTAACGTAATTTATACTTCTATATCTATATAAATAATAAACTGCCTTTGCTTGTTTATTTATTTGTTATTGTTAGTTGAGAAGTAGTTAACAGAAGTTTATAGCTATTACCCAGTACAAATATATAATGTATATTTAAAAACTCAGTTTTAATAGTTATGCTACTTACACTTGCGTCTGAACGTGTACAGGGACGAAATCAGCAGTTAGTGACTTCAACTCTGATTCTCTCCCCTTTTATACAATTTCCACTGAAATAAGATAACATGTAAATCTGTCACTCTTGTCAGATTAATCTCGATAATCCGATGATTAATTTCAGTTCGACTACAATAAAATTTCCGATCAATCACTATCCGCTCTAGGACGGTTCGTTAATACCTTCATAACTCTTATAGCTATCCATCATCCGTAATTTGGACTCTCATTGTACGTTAGAGCTGAGTCGACACATCTCTACTGGGATTAGCGAGACTTAGTTACCGATGATTTCGTAATTATTTTTTTTTAAATTAATTTACTGTCTTTGTTAATGCAATAATTCTTTATTGTTTCCTGAAACTAAATGTTGATTGTGTAAAAAAAAGAGTTAAATTGTTTACACTCAAATGTGCTGATCAACGGACGTTTAGCCATAGATTGTGTGTGTGGAGTGGGGGGGGGGGAGACTAAACTGGGAAAAAGACAAATTTTAGCAGTAGTTTTTTTATAGCAATAACATAGAGAGGCGGGGAAAGGGTGGCAATATTTGTTAGGGCAAAATATTTTAGGGCTTTTGTCGGAGAGGCAATAGTGGGATGTGCAACACTTGTCAAGGGCAGTAAGTTAGTGAGGGTGGGGGGGGGGGGGGGCACTAGTTCATGAGGAGAAATATCTTGATGGGCAACATTCGTTGGTGCAACAGTAGTTAGGGCTTTTGCTGGGGATATAATTATTAGGGCTTTTGTCAGAGAGGCAATATTTGGATGTGTAATATTATTATTAAAGGCAGCATTATTATTTTTTATTTTTGGTGGGAAGAGGGGGGGGGCGCAAAGTTCAGAGGCAAGTAATATTTCGAAAGACAACTAAAATACAGAAATTTGTTTTTGTTAAGATAGTTGTTGGTTTAATAATTTATTTTGGCAGTAGTGGCTAATGTAATGTATGTTATACCTGTGCTAAGAGTCAAGTCACTAGATAACTACACAGCGAAGAGTTTGACCGAAGAAGGTTTATGGTCATCAATGCTTATTTATAGTTGGAAGGAAAATTGCTTTTTAAGTAAAACTTTTTCTTTTTCTTATACGGTGGAACTACAATCGGTAAAAATATGCATAAACACGTTTTGATAACAAGCTTTTTTTATAATAATGCACTAAAAATGAGAAACTAAATGTTTTCTTTAAATATATAATATAGAGATAAACGGCCCGTTGATGGAGAAATACAACGGGTGCTAGGTTGAATTGATAGTGTTGTCTTTTTCTCTTAACCGAAACCAAAACCAAAATCACCGCTTCTACTTAAAATTTCAAAGAAAACGAATAATTTCATTGAAAACAGTTTCAACCTAGATCAACACGTTGTTACTGCACATTGATACTAAATATAGTCGTAGCCATATCCCTCAACCTTGCACCTAAGCTTAAACTTGACAAAAGTTGCATTTAGAGTTTCTTTCATGCATTTCCGAGGGGGGGGGGGGGGGGGGTAAGTGGTGAAGCCCGCCGAAGAAAGTCTACCACCACCTATAACAACATAGAATGTATATCGCAAATCATACTTTTTCCAGTGTCCGCCTCCCTTCCGAAAATTTCATTTCAACTATCCCCGCCCCACCGGGGCTATAAAAGTCTGAAGAAACAATGGTCGCATTTCTAGATCGTAAAGACTAAATGTAGACCCTGCTTTTATAATCTAGACGTTTCCTACTTTTGGCCTCTAAACCTCAATCATGCAGATTGTGTTTATTTCAGACTTGTTTCTTTGGGTGGAGGCGCACTATACTTTTCTGTTGGATGGGGGGATGGTTAACTTCTCCGCGGGGGAGGGGGCTCTCACTAGTAAAAGTATATATTTTCTATATAAATTGTATTTCGATCGGGGGGGGGTGCTGCAGTCGGTAGACGTTACTCAGGGGAAGGGTAGTCTGCCGCCCTATTCAAATAGATGCCTGAAAGAAAATCTACATGCAGACCACTTTTAAGATTAGACAAATATGATAGGCGGTAATGTTAGTGTCTGTATATCAAGTATCGATGACGTGATTATTATTTTGTATTTTTTCGGCATTCGCTTTTAAATTTTTTGCTTACTCTAGATTCAATGACGTCATTCGGGTATTTTTGTTTAACTTTTCCATTTTTACTTTCTCGTATATACGAAGTATAGAGAAAGTCTTGTAATCGTGCAAAAATATTTTTTTTTAAAATCGAGATTTACTTCTGTCAAATTTTGAGTAATTTCCGTTGACCGGAAGTACTAATTTACGCTATTTCCGATGTCTCAAAAAGCGCATGTAAATTTATAAAGTACTAATAATATTGCGCACTATTATGAACATCTTTATTTGGCGTTCACTTGGTGCGCAATTCTTTCTTCTACGAGATTTTATTCTATTTTTAAAAATTTAAGTATTTAAAATGGATTGCCCATCCCCTGTTGTTTTATATAAGAATATTCGAGAAAGTTTAGTAGAGATCACTCCCGGTTTATTACTTTCTCGTATATACGAAATATAGAGAAAGTATTGTAATCGTGCACAAAAATAACATGAAATTTTGATTGTTTTCACCGTTTTACTCCTCAGTCCTTCATCACATTCGGAGTATAGAGGACTTATTTTAATCAGGCAAAAATTATAAATACAAATATATAAACATTTTGGCGTTTTATGCGTTATCGAGTCCTAAAATCTGGACTTTGCAATTCTGTTCGTATGTCTGTGTGTGTGTAAACACGATAACTTGAGTACCGTTACAGCTAGGTTGATGAAATTTCATATATAAGTATTTTATTAAAATCGTAGATCCTGATCAACTTTTGAGCGATTTCCAATAACCGGAAGTGGAACTATTTCTACTTTGAATTTTTCAAAAGCCTATAACTCGAGTACTATTTTAGATAGATAAATGAAATCTTACATGTAAGTAAAAAATCTAATTGTCTACCTTCTGTCAAATTTTGAGTAATTTCCGTTTATTAAAATTACTAATCTACGCTATTTCCGATTTCTCAAAAAATGAATGTAAATTTATAAAGTACTAATAATATTGCGCTCTATTATGCACGTTTTATTTGGCGTTCACAGGTGTGAAAATTTTTTTCTACGAGATTTTACTGTATTTTAAAAAGTTTAAGTATTTAAAAATAAAATACTTAAAAAACACTTTTTAAAAAACCACGTTTTTCTTGTGGACTAAAAAGTAGAAAATAACTATTTACATACATTTGATGACAAAAAACGTGGGTACGTTCACCATCAAATTTCCCGACCCATCTGCCCGACCCACGTTTTTTGTCATCAAATGTATGTAAATAGTTATTTTCTACTTTTTAGTCCACAAGAAAAACGTGGTTTTTTAAAAAGTGTTTTTTAAGTATTTTATTTTCTCCTTTTTAGTCCGTTGCTACACATGAAAAACGTGGTTTTTAAAAAAGTTTTTTATATAGTTTATTTTCTACTTTATCTAATGACTTGATTAAGTATGAATTGACTAAGTGTTTATAAATACACGGACTAAAAAAATCTTGAGCGACCAGGATTCGAACCTGGGTTGTCGCGGCCACAACGCGAAGTACTAACCACTATACGATCACGGCCAGCGCGCTCACATCGATTGGGGCCGAAGTAACTGTGTCAACAAGCCTCCAGTCTTGTCGGTATCTTTAGAAATCATGTCCTCAATTTTATGGTCCTTTGGGCGTAATTAAATTAAGCTAATTACGGTCACTAATTGCTAGTTTTTATGATTGCATCTGAAATTGTTAGGCGAAAGTAACCTGCATGCCAAATTTCAGGTCTCTAGAGCAATCAGAAGTGGGCTAATTTTCGATGTCAATTTTAACAACAAACATCCAAACAAACAAACGCGAAGCTGAGTTAAGAAAAACGTTTTAAAATGGATTAAAATTCATGTCTATATCCCGAGTTCCCAACCCCTGTTTTTTTATAAAAGAATATTCGAGAAAGTTTAGGGGAGATCGCTCCCGGTTTGTTATGCTTATTCTTTTATGAAACAAACCTATAAACTATTAATTTCGCTTTTTTAATTTTTATTTTTTGATATATTTTAAATGTGTTGCTCACCTCGGAATTTATCCCGTATACCTGCACTGTATCTATATATGAAGGAAACATTTCTGAAAATATTAAATCATTTTTTGGTGTAGATAATTGTAGTATTTATTTTATAGGCTATGTATTTATTTTTTTTAAATTGTAACGAAGAAAAAAAAATAACGGTAAAAATTGACGTACTTGGGACATATTGTTTTATTTTTATAAAAAAAAATATTTAAATCTGAAGTCTGGAATTTATTTTGATTTCGTCGAGTCAATGAAGCCTTGTGGTCAAGTGCTATATGCTAAACTTAGTGTTCTTTTGTATCGTGTAGTTAACGGTCAAACATTCCGATAACCAGAAATTATAAAATGCAAATCTTGGCTAAGAACTGTCATATTAATTGATGATTTTTTTGCATTATTTAGCATGCTATCCGTAATCATAAACTAAAATCGTGTTTCTATTATTTATATCCTAATTTAACCTATTCCAATGTTAAGCAGGAAAGACTAATACGAAATATTCAAAGCATGTAACAGTTCATTAAAAAACTCAATTATTTATTGCGTAATCAAAGCTAGAATCGAGTTTCTCTGACAGACCTATCAGACCTAACAAATTGATTAAGTCTTTTTATTGCTTGTATTCTCGAAATAGATAATTGATAATAGTGTTGGAACCTAATAGAAACAACTAACAGGTATAACATAATAGCTATATTATAAAAAAAGTAATAATTAACGGCTATCTTCTTATAAAATATCTCTATATTCACGTTATGCAAAACGAAAATCCCTATGATCCCTAATTTTGTTTTTAATACTAGTGAATTTCTATGTGTATTTATCAACTTTAGAACATTGTTTGGGTTATCTCTCTTTGTTGATTTTTTAACAAATAAATGGGAAGTAACTTATTATATTAACTTCATATCGATTCACAAGTTTAATATTGGGTTCACCAGGAACTGAATTTTTTTTATTGTCACTGTTAGAGAGAGTTAATGTACTTATACTAATAGTTCAGGGCCAAGACAGAAACTACAAAACTGTTTCTTATAGTGTTTTTTTTTTACAGTTTTTTCTTCGAGAAGTCACTTAACCCTTAATCTACTGACGGTACTTATAAGCACCCTTTTAATTAAGTGCCTGTATTATTTTTAATTTAATACGAATTTTAAAAATTATTAAAGTAATTAATAGTATTATCTCCCCTGAGTCGCCGGTAGTTCGAGGGATAGATGTTTTTTTCAAAATTACTGGTGTGGCGCCATTTTCAATGTCTTGCTATATCGGTAGTTCACAATTTTTCTGTACATTTCTCACACACCTTTTACCTTATTTTTCAAGTTTTCAACCCCAAATATTTTTTATTGGCAACTTCAATAGTCAGGCAAACGCGTTTAACTTCTAGTTATACAATTTTAATCAAATTGTCTTTGTATTAGATCGATGTTTACAAATGGACTTATAAGTACCGTCAGGGCACACGGTTATTTTTTTAGGATGTTTAGGAAATGGCAGATTTTCGATGTGGAGTGACATAAATATTATTTTGATAATTAATTCTCGAAATGTACTCAAAAAATTATATTTACACATTTATAATAAGGTTAGCATATGGTTTACCAAGAAATATTATAATTACATGTTGATTTCTAGTAGTAAAAGAATAACAAGAATAAAGGTAGCTGTTGCAGGCTCGTTTACTAGGTTTAGTATACTTCATTTGTATACCAAAACCTAGCTCTAGTAGTAAGATTTAATTTGTTAGTTATATTTACTGCAATAAACTGTCTTGCCTACAACAACTAGCATTTACGTAATGTATACCTGTAAACTAGTAATAGTCCGTACTTCTGCATATAGTATAGATCTATATGGTAAATTTTAATCATTAAACAGAAAACAGTTGGCCACTACGGCTATCCTAACCACATTGAGCTCACTTCTATTTATGAACTTTGCACTGTAGTGTAGACTTGTCATAATATGCTAGTAGGCTACAATTACACTAGTATTACTAGTAGTTGCGTGCTGAATGGCTAGGCTTTTGTTTGTTTATGCGGCTCATTGTACTAGCTATTGGAAGCTTCTAGCAAAAGCATGTTCATTCCGGCAACCGTTGCTACACTAGAAAGACCACAGACAAGATTGAGGGAGCATGATATGTCGGCAACTTTTGCTGTGTTTGAAGTCTAAGATGTGTTCCGATAGAAAATCAAGTAAATATCGTACTCAAAATATACTTTTGTGCTGTATTTATGTGCGAAAATTACAAAAAGTGATTGTTATAATGATTGCTATGTTATTAGTTAATAAATTGTATCGTTTGTTCCTGTTTTGTAAAAAAAAAAATTTGAAAAAAAAATGTCCTACATTCCTGACGATACTTATAAGTACCAATATATGTTTGGGCCATTAAAAATTTATGAAACGAAATTTCCTTCGACATATGCTTTGAATATGCCAAAAGCAATATAGTAACACATTGTTTAAGTAAAAATTTCATTCAGAACATAATACCGTAAAAAAAAGGGTTAAAACATTTTACTGAGAGACGTGCTTCAGGGCAGTTTTCTCCATCCCCAAGGCGATGTACCCTCAAGGAGTGCCAACTCTGGCACTTTAATTCAAACTAATAATAAATTATTAGATGAAAATTTTACGTAGAGTATCTTGTAAACGTATGTATCCAGAACAGTTCTACCACACAGATTTTGTTTTTCTTAAAATTACATATAACTTTTCATAACTGCTTTTTGTGTGGTTTAATACAGTTTTAATGAGATGATAATTTATGAAAATAGCATTAATCTAGACTTTTGTTTCATATTGTATCAATTTTGGTGCAAAGTGTGATAACCCACACTGATCCTACACGAATGTTAAAAACTGAGTTTTCATGTGCTATACTCCTGTTTTATTACTTTTGACCCAAATTCATACCTGTAACAGATTATAGGTGTGTTTCATTCCACACAATTCACAGGCCGTGATTTTCTTTGTGAAAAAACTATTTCCTAATCTCAGTTGAGTAATTGTACCTAAGAATAATTTGTTTGTATACTATGTTGTTATATTTGTGCTGATAACATCCAATTATGTCCAACGGTATGTAGCTATTTTGATACATTATGCAACGGTACGACCATGATATCAGCTTGGACTACTGTATTGTGACTTTTCTGTAGTATAATACTTTGTTGATTGAACAATGCTTACGTCCTGTAGGTAGACTCTAGTTGCCATGTAGGTCCATACACTAGCTTACTTTTGTTTTTCTTTCATATTTTCATAATAATATGTAAATTATAAAAGAAAAACAGTGTCAAAATCTGTAACAATAGTAATATAATCAGGAATTAGGTTATATTATACTAATTTTATTTTGATTTAGCACTTACTCAGTACTATATACATACAGATATTTATTGTGTAACTATAATAAGCCTATAACAAAGGCAGCAGAGTGTCGTGCTACTATTGAAGAAAAATATGTGTCATAATGTGTAACAATAATAATTTAGTATTAGACTAACATTTACTAGCTGCTACTTAGAATAACTTGCAGATAATTCTCTATTCATACTATTTCGTATATATAGACAGTGTTTGGGTCTTATAAGCTTAAAAAGTAAATTAGTAATTATTATTGAAAATCATGGGAAAGGTTGGATTTTCATGGCGTTTTACTTTAAAGTAATTACAAATTGATTTCGCTGATGAAATATTTTCTCGCCCTTCATGGAGTTAAAATGAAGCGACAGACGAAGAATCATTGTAGTTAGTTCTCGTGATTTAAGATTATAAAGGAGATGAAATATTATACGCTTTTTTCGAATTTATTGTAAAATTTAATTTTAAACATCTTCTTGATTTTCAGCTCTTGTGAATTAAGAATTAATCATTGCAGTGGAGTATTTTTTGTAGCATGTTATAACTCCACGGATTGTATAATTTTTGCAGGGCTCAATGTGTTTCAAAAATAACATATACGTTCTTTTTACATGTGAAGCTTATAAAAATAAAATAAGATTATATAAGTGGCGAGCAAAAAAACCCCTTTATTTCATAAATAAAAGAAAATATTTGACTAGCATTGCAAACATCGTCGTCGCCGATAAAGCGAAACAGTCGCCGCCATCGTCTATGTTACACTTAATAGGATGATCCTAAAGAGAGAAGAGACAAAAAATTAATTAATCATCAAAATCGAAACAGTCAGATATTGTGTGAAAAGATACGTTCAGATAATATTTGTTTATCTTATGGTTATAAGAAAGATGTCTTTTCTTACCTGAAGCGTAGTTATTGTTGGCATTGTAGCTGTTGGAGCCTTTGCCGTAGGAGGCAGAGTTGGAAGAATCGTAGCTGGATGAGCCGTAGTTGGATGGGGCAGAGTAGCTAGATGAGCCATAGTTGGATGGGGCAGAGTAGCTAGATGAGCCATAGTTGGATGGGGCAGAGTAGCTAGATGAGCCATAGTTGGATGGGGCAGAGTAGCTAGATGAGCCGTAGTTGGATGGGGCAGAGTAGCTAGATGAGCCATAGTTGGATGAATCATAGTTGGATGGGGCAGAGTAGCTAGATGAGCCGTAGTTGGATGGGGCAGCATAGTTGGATGGGGCAGAGTAGCTAGATGAGCCGTAGTTGGATGGGGCAGAGTAGCTAGATGAGCCGTAGTTGGATGGGGCAGAGTAGCTAGATGAGCCGTAGTTGGATGGGGCAGAGTAGCTAGATGAGCCATAGTTGGATGAATCATAATTGGATGGGGCAGAGTAGCTAGATGAGCCATAGTTGGATGGGGCAGAGTAGCTAGATGAGCCATAGTTGGATGAGCCGTAGTTGGATGGGGCAGAGTAGCTAGATGAGCCATAGTTGGATGAGCCGTAGTTGGATGGGGCAGAATAGCTGGATGAGCCATAGTTGGATGAGCCGTAGTTTGAGCCGTAGTTGTTACCACCGTTGTAGTAAAGACCATCTCTGTACTGATTGCTGTTTCCGACTGGACCGTTGTTGTAACCGTTGCTGTAGCTATTGCTGTTGTATCCGTTGTTGTTGTTGTATCCGTTGTTGTTGTTGTTGTAGCCGTTGTTGTTGTAGTTACTTCTGCTGTTGTATTCACTGCCGCTGTTGTATCCGCTTCCGCTGTTGTAGCTCTTTCCGCTGTCGTAGCTATTGCTTCCGCTGTCGTAGCTGTTGCTACCGCTGTTGTAGCCCTTTCCGCTGTCGTAGCTGCTGCTACCGCTGTTGTAGCCACTTCCACTGTTGTAGCCAGTGCTACCACTGTTCACGTACATACCGCTAGCAACAGCCACCATGGCGATGCAGACAATCAACTTGATTGAGGCCATTTTGAGATTGATCTATAGGGAGAAAAACAGTTTTTGATGCGGATATTTTAACACAAACTTTAGATCTTGAAGGGCTAAAATAAAATAGCCACTGTAAACAGAAAATGCTGACAACAAAGCTGAATCTTCACTTTTTTAAAACAAAAATCCTTTATAATAAGAATTATGTTATTTAACCTATGACTACAATATGGATGTCTGTTTGAAATGATAAAAAATGGAAAAGGTCTTGTATTCGAATATCTATTTTTTGACAATGCATCCTTTATTTTCCGTATGCAATAAAGTAGGGAGTAAAAAGTCGAAAACTGACAAAAAACTCTATAATATTACAACAAAGTAATAAAAATGTAACTATTACATTTTATTTATTGAGAGGAGAAATTTATTATTAACGTACTTTATACTTCTATATTTATATAAATAATAAACTGCATTTGCTTGTTTATTTATTTTTTATTGTAAGTTGAGAAGTAGTTAACAGAAGTTTATAGCTTTTACCCAGTAGAAATATACAAAGTATATTTAAAACTAAGTTTTAATAGTTATGCTACTTACACTTGCGTCTGGACGTGTACAGGGACGAAATCAGCAGTTAGTAACTTCAACTCTAATTCTCTCCCCTTTTATACAATTTCCACTGAAATAAGATAACATGTAAATCTGTCACTCTTGTCAGGTTAATCTCTTTAATCTGATGATTAATTTCATTTCGACTACAATAAAATTTCCGATCCACCACCATCCGCTCTAGGACGCTACGTTAATACCATCATAAGTCTGATAGCTATCCATCATCCGAACTTTGTACTCTCATTGTAAGTTAGAGCTGAGTCGACACATCTTTACTAAAGAACGATTTTATAGTTCCCACCGTGATTAGCGAGATTTAATTTCTATTAATTTCGTAATCATTTTCTCTAATTAATTGACTGTCTTTTTTACTTAAATTATTCATATTAGTTTTCTCAAACTAAATGTTGATTTTGTTAAATTGTTTATAATTAGATCTAATGATCAACTTACGTTTAGCCATAGTCTGGGGGGGGGGGAGGCTTAGCAGCTGATGAATCATAACATGCTTGAAGGGCAGTAGTTTTTTTTTTTTTTGTTTTTTTTTGCAATAACTTGGAGAGGGCGATATTTGTTTGGGCAAAATATTTTAGGGTTGTTTTTCCGAGAAACAATAGTGAAATGTTCAATACTTGCCAAGTAGATTAGAAGGGGGGAAGCACTATTTCATGAGGAGAAATATCTGGATGGGCAACATTCGTTAAGACAGCAGTTTTTAAGGCTTTTGCTGGGGCTAAAATTGTTAGGACTTTTGTCGGAGAGGCAATCTTTGGATGTGTAATATTATTGTCAAGGCAGCAGTATTTGTTTTATTTTATTTTTGTGGACTGGGGGCGGGGAGCAATGGGTCAGGGACGAGAAATATTTTTAAAGACAAATATTGTTCAGAAACTTGATTTTGGTACGATAGTTGTCGGGTTAGTACTTCATTGGGCAGTAGTGGTTAAAGTAGTGTATGTTGCACCTGTGTTAAGTGTCACGTCATTAGATAACCCACAGTAAAGGGACAGCCAGCTTGGTTACATCAGCTAATGTGACACTTAGATACAAAAACAACGTCCACAATATTTATTCCGTTTTTATTATCAACAAAATAATCGGCGAATTAGTCATGCAGATTCTTGATGTTTACTACAGAATAAAGAATGTTTATGGTCATCGATACTTATTTCTCTCTCTTATACAGTGGAACTCCAATCATTCGAAAAAACGGAATCGAGGCTTTAACAAATCTCTACCTTGTATACCTTCATCTTTTCCCTTCAGTGACAAAGACACGTGGGGCCTCACATAAAGCTTTTTCCACTTTAGGCGGTCACTTGCAGTTATTCTGGCTGTTTTCTATGATAGATCTTACACTGTACTGTTGTCTGTATTTCTGTCTGTGTGTTTGTGCGTGAACACCGAGCTTGGGTACCGTTTCATTTTTTTATAAAATATCTTATTTAAGAAGTATATCCAATAAAGTGGTTTCTTGGAAGTTTTAAGCGATTTTTGTCAATTGAAAATATAGGCCCACTTTATATGATTTCACAGAATGTTTCAGAATGTTATGTTTTCTAGAAAATGTGAGCGGTTTTAATACAAACTTACCTTCTTTTTTAATAGCCCGACTCCACTGGAAGTACCATCCCAAACTTTACTGTTATGTACTAATATTCGCGAAAGTTTGGGGGAGCTCACTCCCGCTTTATTTAGCAAATAACTGTTTCTAATAGTTTAATTAAATCTTTACCTAACAAATTCAATTAAAAACATAATTTTAACTTAATTCGATTTCATTCATTCGATTTTATACTCTTCAAAATATTTTCTTTAAGCTATCTGTAAGTTGAAAACAGATTATAATAAATTTTTATTAGGTATTTGTCTGCATTTTTTCTACAGTATTTTTGCTTCTAAATTGAGCTTTTATTTGCTGATTCTACCCCTTTCCAAATCATTTGAGTAAACAATGTCCCAGATTTCTATACAAAGGTGAATAAATTATGTAAATATTATCAAACGAGATATTTTACAAGGATTATGTAAATAATGTTGCCGGTAAATTTTGACGTCTTAAAATAGATGAATATCGCGATTTATTTAAACGATTGAATGAATTATGTATAAAAGATCTCTAATATCTTCAAAAAGGTGAATTGTCAAAAAGATGATTTCAGTGTTTTGACCATAACCTCTAATTGTTGAATTGTAAAACAATTTAGATTTGGTTTACTAATAAGATGAATTCCTCTTTGACTTAAGTCAGATGTTCCCTTTAGTTATGAAATACTGTTTCCATCCTTGAGCGTTTATATACTATTATTTTCAATATCCATCTGTGGCGTCACTAGGTTGGCTGACAACCGCTGACGTAGCTAAAGGTCTCATTCCCTCATCCAGTGACTATATATATATATATATATATATATATATATATATATATATATATATATATATATATATATATATATATATTTATATATATAATATACTAGATTCTCTATATAGTTAGTACATTTTATATATGTATGATATATATGTATATATATACTTATTTATTTAAATATGTATTTATATAGGCATACATATATAAAGGCCTATTTGCTTTTACTGTAAATTTACTTATATTGGGTATATTAAAGAACAAAATATTAATGTCATGATAAATTTTATTTCACTTTTCCTATATTATACTTATTTTCTATTGTACTTTTTATAAAGTAGACATTTCCGAAACCGTTAAATCAGTTCTCGACGTGCATATTTGTAATTTATGTTATAGCTTATGCATTTGTTTATTTTAAAAAATAAAGTGAATATTGTTTATTCTGAAATCTGAAGTCTGATATTGATTTTACTTTCATCGAACCCATGAAGCCTGTTGTTTACCGTCCAGTGCTATAAGGTAAAGCTGGTGGTCTAACATTCATATAACCAGATATTATCCAATTGCAAATGTTGTATTATTTTAGGAATGAAATCAGCATTTTGAACCTAACGAGTAACAAAAACAATTTTATATACAACCTGTGCAGTGTTTATACTAATATATTGATGCATGTTTCATATAAGCACTTTAAATAAGCCTATGACTACATTTTATTTCTTTTTTGAAGGAATAACTAGCAAAGCACCCGCATGCGCTGCGCGCTGGTGGCGGTTGCACATCCATTGTGTATGCGTTGCATTCGTGTAGATATCCTCTTTCGCTGCAGGATGTGGAGCACTCAAGCTATCGTCTCCGTGACAATGAAGGAATTCGGATTGAATTGTGGCTGCCAGTCGTGAACTGAATCCTTCAGCACACTCCATTTTTATTTTGTTGATTGGGAAACAAACTTTTAAAACAAAACTCGTGATTCACTTTATCTGATTCAGAATTTTAATAGTTATGAGGCGGTTTTTTTCTATCGCAAACCTCATATGAATAATAAATAAATAAATTATTAAATTAAGCGTCAAAAAGTATCAATGATTTAGAAACATTCGAGTCCTTTGAGATTTCTCTCTGTCTTCATACTGGACGCGAACAGTAAAACAAATAAAATTGACAATGACTGCTTAGGTTCCGTACCCAAGCCACATAAGTCCTTAGCTAGCGCTATCGTCTTGACTAGGTACTCTCACATCAATTCATGAAAATGTTTTGTATTATTTAGCATACTTTCCGTAATCATAAAGTAAATCTAGTTTTAATTAAAATATGTCATAACTAAACCTTTTCCAAAGTTAATAAACAAAGATTAATATGAAATATTTAGGGCCTGACATAGTTCAGTAAAAAAACTCTATTATTTATTGCAGTGGCGTCTCAAGGGTGGGGGTTCCAATTTTTACCCGGGGACAAACTTTCGATTTGCACCCCCCCCCCTCATACTTTTTCTATATATCGAGGGATCGATGGGGGGGGGGGGGGGTTTAACCCCCCCCTCCCAAACCCCCCCCCCCTGAATACGCCACTGATTTATTGTGTAATTAAATCTAAAATCGAGTTTCTCTGACAGACATTCAGCCTAACATATGGCTTAAGTCTATTTATCGCTTGTATTCTTGAATTAGATAATTATAATAGTGATGGAACCTAATAGAAACAGCCAATCTATATCATTAAATCTATAGCCGAAACTTATAATGCATTGTTACGCATTAAACATTACAAATGCGAACAATTAACACATTGGACAGCCATCTTTATCTTAAAGTGAAGCAGTCTCGTGGAGAGATGTTACTGTTGAACTTTTCCCGGACCCATGACTTAAGTTTTAATTCGGCTTCAAGCTCAATTCGGCTTTTTACACGCTATTCTTCTATCAGAGGATACATATGAATGATTACTTCACCAATTACCGTTATTGTTACTGACGAATTAAATAAGATTACTGTTTCGAATTTTTTTTTAATTTAAGAATTAAAAAAACACAAAAATATTGTAAGTTCGAAGAAATAGTTTATTTTATTATCAAAAAGAAAAAGCTGTAAAAATACAGCTAGTCTGAAGTCGGAGTCGTTGAAACATCGAAAACATCGCCGTCTTCAACTTTGTACTTAATATGATGATCCTGAAAAACAGAGTAGATAAGTATGGGAATTAGTACAGTCTATAGATTCTAATAGAGTAAAAAATCAAGTGTGGGAACTTAAAAGTCTGTTTACGTGCTATTTTTTTTTACTTCTCCTTTTAACGGTTTTATGTAAATAAAAGATAATTAGATTATATAGGTTCTAGTGAAAGAATGAGAATAAAATGTTAACTTACCAGAAGCGTAGTTGTTGTTAGCGTTGTAGGTGCTGGGTGCTTTAGCGTAGGAGCCAGAGCTAGATGAGCCGTAGTTGGATGGGGCAACATAGTTGGATTGGGCAGCATTGTTGGATGAGCCATAGTTGGATGGGGCAGCATAGTTGGATGGGGCAGAGTAGCTAGATGAGCCATAGTTGGATGAGCCGTAGTTGGATGGAGCAGCATTGTTGGATGAGCCATAGTTGGATGACCCATAGTTGGATGGGGCAGAGTAGCTAGATGAGCCATAGTTGGATGGGGCAGAGTAGCTAGATGAGCCATAGTTGGATGAGCCGTAGTTGGATGGGGCAGCATTGTTGGATGAGCCATAGTTGGATGAGCCATAGTTGGATGAGCCGTAGTTTGAACCATAGCTTTTACCTCCATTGAAGTAAAGACCATCTCTATATTGGTCGTTGTTTCCTACTGGGCCATTGTTGTAACCGTTGCTGTAGCCATTGTTGTATCCGTTGTTGTTGTTGTAGCCGTTGTTGTTGTAGCCGTTGTTGTTGTAGCCGTTGTTGTTGTAGCCGTTGTTGTTGTAGCCGTTGTTGTTGTAGCCGTTGTTGTTGTAGCCGTTGTTGTTGCTGTTGTAAGCACTTCCGCTGTTGTATCCACTTCCGCTGTTGTATCCACTTCCGCTGTTGTAGCCCTTTCCGCTGTCGTAGCTGTTGCTACCGCTGTTGTAGCCACTTCCACTGTTGTAGCCAGTGCTACCACTGTTGACGTACATACCACTAGCAACAGCTACCATGGCGATGCAGACAATCAACTTAAGAGAGGCCATTTTGGAAATTGGTCTGCAAAATTATAAAATTTTAATTATTTACTCGGAATATTTTAAAATACTTATGGTATTCCTTTTTACTTTCTCGTATATACGTAGTATAGAAAAAGTATTGTAATCGTGCAAAAAAAAAAAATCGAGATTTTTACAAATCTCGACGTTTTACACCTCACTGATACGGAAAACCATAATTTTGCAATCTTGTCCGTATGTCTGTGTGTCTGTGTGTGTGTGTGTGTCTGTGTGTGTGTGTGTAAACACGATTACTTGAGTACCGTTACAGCTAGGTTGATGAAATTTCATATATAAGTATTTTATCAAAATCGTAGATCCGTATCAACTTTTGAGCAATTTCCGATAACCGGAAGTGGTACTTTTTCTACTTTGAATTTTTCAAAAGCCTATAACTTGAGTACTATTTCAGATAGATAAATGAAATTTCACATGTAAGTAAAAGATCTAGTTCTCTTCCTTCTGTTAAATTTTGAGTAATTTCCGTTGACGGGAAGTACTAATTGACGCTATTTCCGATTTCTCAAAAACGCATCTAAATTTATAAAGTACTAATAATATTGCGCACCATTATGAACATCTTTATTCGGCGTTCGCTTGGTGTGCAATACTTTTTTCTATGAGATTCTATTTTATTTTAAAAAGTTTATGTATTTAAAATGGATTAAAAATCATATCTATATCCCGAGTTCCCATCCCCTGTTGTTTTATATAAGAATATTCGAGAAAGTTTAGGGGAGATCACTCCCGGTTTATTAGTTGTATTACTTGCTCCATTTTAGAATAAAGAGCAAGTATTGTAAAGGTAGAAATCGGTTTCCGAAAAGCTGATTACAAGAGTATCGTTTAAGTTAGGTGGACGAAATTTCTCACAATATATATATATATATATATATATATATATATATATATATATATATATATATATATATATATATATATATATAATGTGTACACATGTACATATACTTGAAAAAATACTAACTGAACAAAATTAAATAGAGACTTAGTTTCAAATAAGTATTTTTAAAATTTACAAATTCTAGGTGAAGTACTTTAATTTGTTATGTAATTATACTTTAAAAACTATGATTTAAAATTCTATTTTATTTTAACAGTTTAATAGATATATGCCAGTAAATGGTCGATTCAGTTACTTACACTTGCTTCTGGATAAGCACAAGGGAAGTAATCGGCGATGAGTGACTTCAGCGTTGATTCTCTCCCCTTATATACTGTTTAAGGAGATGAGAGATAGCATGCACGATTGTCATCAATGTCACATTTATCTCAGTAATCCTATAATCCTATGATTTTAATCCCAGGTCCCCCGGTACGTTCCTGTCAGTTGAATTTATGTGTTATTAATTTTAAATTCAATTCAGTTGTGAAAACCAGAGAGGAATCACATATTATCTGCTCACTCAATTTGACTTTTATAGCTTCATACCCTTATATATATATATATATATATATATATATATATATATATATATATATATATATATATATATATATATTCATATATATATATATATATATATATATATTCATATATATATATATATATATATATATATATATATATATATATATTCATATATATATATATATATATATATATATATATATATATATATATATATATATATATATAAACACCTTTTTATATGACTTTTGTGTTTATTTATTATTGTTTTGTATAATAACTTTGCTCTTTACATTATAAACGCGTAATGTTTAATTTTTTAATCTCTCATTAATCCAATCTTTTTTTTTCTTTGTTTATTGTTTGTTATTTTTCTTGAAAACATTCGTTTCTTTTTGTTATAGATCACTTTAGTCAAGAACTTATTAAGAACATTGAAAAAAATAGTTAATTCTATCAATTAATCGTTAATCAAGAAAAGTATGCAAAAAAGTTATTATATTTTTAATCCTTGTGTTTTGACAGAACCAAAAGTATAAATTTTCTTTTAATGTCGAATGTCACATTTAATCTTAACTTATGTGTTTTTTTTTAATTTATAATCGCCTAATTATTTCTACAACGAAACGTAATCTCTTTCATTTGCCCAAGGGAACCCAGATCAAGTCTAGAAGGTGTCCGATGGTAAATATTGTTTTTTAATCTTTGTGTATTTTAACCAAAACATTTTAAGCATTATAAAAAAGTTTATGTAATTTATTTAAAAATGATATTTTTAACAAAATGTAATGTTAAATTAAAAAAGAAAAACAAATGAAAACCAATTACTTTAAATCCTTTTAAAAATTCAGATCGTACTGCAGATAAAAATCTTTTATTTTCGTTTTGTATTTTTTAAAATTCATTTGTCACGCAGTACATGCGAACTAGGGCATCTGTCAGACAATGCAATATTCTCGCTGAGGAGGGGGCACTTAAATTTACCAGGAAGAGGGAATGAAAACGCTATTTCAAAGTATTACTATTTTTAAATTACATATATAGATATACAGAGGTGTAGCGAAAAGGGGGAGGGGTGCGGACCGCACCGGGTGACACCATTTAGGGGGGAGACACAAAGGCAAAAAAATAGCACAATATATAGAGAAAAATGATAATTCCAATTAATTAAGTGATCAATTCGAGTGTTAAATAGTCTTTTAAGAGGTGCAAATCGAAAGTTTGAGGGTTTGGGGGGGGGGGGGGGGGGGGGTTGCAAATCGAAAGTTTAAGGGGAGGTGCAAATCGAAAGTTTGAGGTCGGGGTGCAAATCGTAAATTTGAGGGGGGGGGGAAGGAAATCGAAACTTGAAATTTTTGTCGCTATATATATATATATATATATATATATATATATATATATATATATATATATATATATATATATATATATATATATATATATATATATATATATATATATATATATACATATATATATATATTTATATATATTTATATATTTATATATATATATATATACATATATATATATATATATATATATATATATATATATATATATATATATATATATATATATATATATATATATATATATAAAGATATGTATCAGTATTACTTCCATCCCGTTGCGGTTTACCGACTCGTCACACTTTCCTGCATTAATTAAAAACAATCTTGAAATGAACCTGTTCAGTAATGCAGATTGGATCTCGATAACTTACAGCCTGTATAATACGGTGCGTTCAGGTGTGAAACAGCTGATGCAGTGATTTTTTAAAATTTATTTTACCATTTGTAATATCGTACCGCAGGGCGTTTTATGTACAATAGTGTAGGGCTCCGCTTATACAAAATTGGTAAAAACTAGGGATATTCCAATTTAAAATTAGAAAGGCTGAAGAGCATGGTGAAAGACCTTTTTTAATGTTTAAACATAAATTGGAAATGCATTGGTTTTTTATAAATAATGCGATAGGTTATTTAAATTTTTATCAAAAGATAAGGGTTGGTGGGTAAAGGGGTCTTTTGTAATTATCGAAACGATTACATACAAAAATAAATGTGTAACCAACCGTTTTAGTATTAGCGAACAGCGAATATCCCAGATAAAATCTAGATGTGCCCCATGATTGTTTTTGTGCTTAGGGTCTCAAAATGACAAATACAACCACAATTTTCAATACAATGATAACATTTAGTTTACAGAAACTCTAAATGTATTTTCTAAAATTGTGTATCGTTAGTTCAGTTGCAAGACATCTATATAACATAAATGGACGAGCTGTCTTATGATATCATAAGCTGCATACCATTGCTCCGCCTCGGTAAATCTTTTTTAAATGTACCAACTTGGGAACAGAATATAATTAAACACAATACAACACAAACACAACACAAACACAACACAAACACAACGCAAACACAACACAAACACAACACAAACACAGCATCCGCAAACCGAAAGCTAGAATAATAATAAACATTACGTTCAGTGTATGAAATAAATTAAAGGCAGTATTTAATATAACCGTGTTTTACCTACCATATAGCACTTTATTAATTTTTTTTCAGTTCTTTAAATAAAAAAAAATCACAATAGAGTTTCATGAATTAAACCATTGAACACCTAATGAACGTGATGACACGTGTATAATGTTGCGGAATAATTTATTAGAAATTAGCATTAGTAAACAGTACGTTCAGTGAATAAAATAAATAAAAGATAGCCTTTTATCAAACCATGCTAATTATAATATTCCAACAATAATGTCCCCTTACACGTCTACAGAATTTACATTCACATTTTGCAAATTATATTACTCCAACAATAATTCCCTATTGGAGATTTTGCATTCACATTTTTTATTAGCGTGAGTTGAATTTATTTTCAAATTACCTGCCATGCAAGTAAAAAGCACGACATGTGGTATGTTTATTTTTATTGTTCCAAAATCTTTAGCGATGACGAAAGGAAGGACTGACACACTACCAGCCCGCTTATATTATGGAAGATAACTGGACGAGCTGTCTTATAATACCATAACTTTACCACATAACATACCCACACAACTTACCCACCATTACTTGTTCACACAACATACCCTCCATAATTTCATCATAAACTTTTCCTTTTTGTGCTCAAGACACATGGGGCCGCAATATGACCCAAATAAAAGTATTTATTGCCCCATCCCCACACATTAATTACCTTACAGTTCACACTGTGAGTTGAACACAGTAGTCCATGCACGGGGGGGGGGGGGGGGGGAGCAGAAAGAGCGGACTTTTTTTCGCCGCCGCTGCCCCTAACTTGGAAACCTGTATACGCCTCTGCTTGAATTCAACATCTTTAGAACGACCTAGAACAGTCTGTTGAATAGTTCTTACTTGTATTAATGAACACATTCAAATAGAATTTTTAAATGGTTCTTATATTTCGACTTTGTACTTTGTAAGTATATATAAAAAATCAAAATGTTAAAGGAAAGTCGCATATATTTTATTATTCGTGTAATGGAGAAAAAGTGTTTTCATGTAAATAAATATTTTATTTTTTTGAGAAAACTTACATATTAAAAATAATTTATATTTTTTTTTGCTTAAAACATTATCTAGAAAATTGGTTTTGCTAATAATCAAAGCATTCAGCTCTACAATTATCTAAAATAACCGTTATTTTGTATGCTTTAATTTTTGCTTTAAAGTTTTACAAACAAAAATACCCTAAAGAATGATGGTGAAATCAGATTTGAAATACAATTTTGTCCATTTAATCAGACAATTCATACCTGTGATACACACTTTTTATTGATGTTTTTATTTGTAATCTTTGAAAAAATCCATGTTTTTAAAATCATTTTTACTTTAAAAATTAGTTTTTGATAACCATTGTCGGAAACAGCAAGTTTCAAAATATCCTTGTGTTTTGTATGGTTCCCATAACAATATTTGTTTTCCCATTTTGTTTTGTATGTCACTTATTAACATCTGCTAGTCCGAATGTCCCAAATTACAGCCTCGGTTTCAACGTCCCTGGGTCCACGAAGATCTGATGGATTACTAACTAACTTGGCAAAGTGCTTAGATCAAGAAATTTACGAACTCTACTTCTTTAGCCCAGTGGATCCCAAAGAGGAATTTTTACTTGTTAATGTTAGTAAGGTTTTTTTTTTTCCGGAAATTTGTCTCCGGGAGAGGCAGAACTTTAAACTTTCAGTATTATATTTAGTATATACATTATGTATTTTTATATTTCCTCCACAGTGTTATACCGTTAATGCTGTCGTATTACAAGTCATTAGCGTGAAATTAGTACGAAAAGTGGTTCAAATATGTTTCGTCCGTTACATCACTACATTATGCATTATGGCATGGTATTTTAAGCACATACTAGATATTCTGTTTCAAGGCTTTTCTAAATGTTTTTTACCCAAAGTTGGCAAGATGAAATACCATTTTATTTATCAACAAAATATAACGGTTTTTCATCACACTAAATTTTGAAAAGTCGAAAAATATATTTTTAGAGTGTTGTCTTTTACAAACACTTGTCAGCTGACTCTATTAGAGTTAATAAAAGACAAATCAATATATATATAGGATAATTTTCAATCTTGGAACCTCCACTAAAGTCAAGAGGTTTTTTTCAAGATGGCTGCCGTTGCAATGGCAACCGTCTGTTAAAAAGAGTCACTGATACGTCCAAAATAGAATTATTATTCTACGTTTATTTAGTTTATAAATTAACTATACACTTTCTGCATTAGAATATAATTAAAGAGGTTAGAAGGTTAACATGGTGTCATGCGTTACAAGATAACTTGAAAATACACTTATGTAACACAGTTAATTATAACAAAGTCTGGAGAGGTTCGGGTGATCAAATCATTTTATTTTCTAATTTCATCACACACAAAACTTTCAAGCTTTGAGCTATCACCTCTGTGGCCAGTGGGACAACGTCACAAACGAAACATCACCTCGAAAATGTCAACTTCCTTGACGTTGTACTTAGTATGAGGATCCTGAAGGAAAAAAATCATTTGTTCAAAAGATGAAAGAGAAGACAATTACAAATTAATAATTACAAGAAGAAATTTAACCGCTTGTTAAATGGCATTAATTTCTTTAACTGTTATAAAGTATTTTTATTAAAGTTTTGTGCTAACTTAAACTGCCAATGTATTTTAGGTTCAATAATGTTATTAAATTTAAACAAATATATAATAACTTACCGGAGCCGTAGCTGGATGAGCCATAGCTGGATGGAGCAGAGTTGCTGGATGAGCCATAGTTGGATGGGGCAGAGTAGCTAGATGAGCCATAGTTGGATGGGGCAGAGTAGCTAGATGAGCCATAGTTGGATGGGGCAGAGTAGCTAGATGAGCCATAGTTGGATGGGGCAGAGTAGCTAGATGAGCCATAGTTGGATGGGGCAGAGTAGCTAGATGAGCCATAGTTGGATGGGGCAGAGTAGCTAGATGAGCCATAGTTGGATGGGGCAGAGTAGCTAGATGAGCCGTAGTTGGATGGGGCAGAGTAGCTAGATGAGCCATAGTTGGATGACCCATAGTTGGATGGGGCAGAGTAGCTAGATGAGCCATAGTTGGATGAGCCGTAGTTGGATGGGGCAGAGTAGCTAGATGAGCCATAGTTGGATGGGGCAGAGTAGCTGGATGAGCCATAGTTGGATGAGCCGTAGTTTGAGCCGTAGTTGTTACCGCCGTTGAAGTAAAGACCATCTGTGTACTGATTGCTGTTTCCTACTGGGCCATTTTTGTATCCGTTGCTGTAGCTATTGCTGTCGTATCCGTTGTTGTTGTAGCCGTTGTTGTTGTAGCCGTTGTTGTTGTAGCCGTTGTTGTTGTAGCCGTTGTTGTTGTAGTTACTACCGCTGTTGTATCCACTTCCGCTGTTGTAGCCACTTCCGCTGTTGTATCCACTTCCGCTGTTGTATCCACTTCCGCTGTTGTATCCACTTCCACTATTGTAGCCGCTGCTTCCGCTGTTGTATCCACTTCCGCTGCTGTAATCTTGATTCACGTACATACCGCGGGCGAGAGCCACCAAGGCCAAGCAAAGAACAATCTTCATTGAAGCCATTTCGGATTTGATACGATCTTCGAAAGACACTGAAAAATAATTTTCACATAGTTATATATAGATGTGATTTAATATTTGTAAATCTCAAGAAACTTGTTTATCTTATGCGAATTTCAAGTTATAATTTATTGAAAAAAAGATGTTTATCCTTTGTGAAAATATAATTATAAATTGCATTTATCATGTTTCAATATTTTATCAACTCGTGTATTTTTTAGTTAGTTTGGTCTGGTATTTATTTTAGAAAAATTACTTCTTATATTTGTCTAATTATATGCATAACTAGGTTTCCTTATTTGCCATGTTAGGACTTACGTTTATTTATTTTTAAATTTGTCCATTTCTTTAAAATTTTACTTAATTTTCGAGATGATTTTTTTTAACTGTGTTTAATGAAAAATATATCAATGAAAACTAATTTTATAATGATTTTATGATTAAGAAAATCTTTTCAATGTGTTGTTTAAAAACAAAAAAACACTGCACTTTGCAAAAATTAATTTAGCCAGGGCGACGACTGGCCGGGACGGCAGGACTACATGTTTAAATTTCAATACCGTAAAAAAAAATAAAGTGCTAGCCGAAGGTTTCTCTTTAGAAGTTTAACATTACAAAGTTCAAGAATATTGAAATAGAAGTTGTAAAAAAGTACTGAACTAAAACGGTTGTCTGAGACGAATTAAAGTTAAATAATTAAATAGTGCGTGATATAAATAGCGTTAGTTTACTCACATACGCTGCAGGTAGAGAACAAGGGAAGTAATCGGCTGGGTGATGACAAGAATGAATTCTCTCCCTTTATATAGCACAAACACTTAAGAAGGAGATTATCGCTGCACATTATCAGCCTATCGTTTCTGACATAATTTTGCCATTAAATCCGGTGTGATTAATTACTATTTAAGTTTTCAAGAAATTAATTTCAAATTAATTTCAACTAAAGACAGCTGGGCGACAATTGGGAGCTACTTTAAGTCTATATCATTCAAATCTGCCACAGAAAGTTCGTAGAATTTAAATCTCAAATTTGTTAAATAATAAAACTTATTGCTGACGTTTTAAAATTCTAATCTCCGGCTCCTTTTGTTACTTAAAAATAATATTGCTATTATAATAAATTATACATTAGGTGAGAATCGATACTATATATTACATAGTACTATTAAATTGAAACGGTTTTTTTTTCACGAATAAATAACGTTTTGTTACAATAAATAGACATAAGCTGAGTAGCAAGCATTTTTACTTTCTCGTATATACGAAATATAAAGAAAGTCTTGTAATCGTGCAAAAAAAAAATCGAGATTTTTACAAATCTCGACGTTTTACACCTCCTGAGTCGGAAAAACATAGTTTTGCAATCTTGTCCGTATGTCTGTGTGTGTGTGCGTATGTGTGTCTATGTGTCCGTCTGTGTGTGTGTAAACACGATAACTTGAGTACCGTTACAGCTTGGTCGATGAAATGTCATATATAATTATTTTATCAAAATCGTAGATCCGTATCAACTTTTGAGCGATTTCCGATAACCGGAATTGGTACTTTTTCTACTTTGAATTTTTCAAAAGTCTATAACTTGAGTACTATTTCAGATAGATAAATGAAATTTCACACGTAAGTAAAAGATCTAATTGTCTGCCTTCTGTCTAATTTTGAGGAATTTCCGTCGACCGGAAGAGGTAATTTTTGCTATTTCCGATTTCTCCCTACTTCGTATATACAAGAAAGTAAACATACAAAAGGATGTAAACTTTGACGTGAAGAAAAGCCCCAAGATTTTTAAATTTTAACATGAACACATCATGGCAATAAATAGCGTGTTTCATATCATGTCTTATAAAGATGGCTAGAGAACTAAGACAATAATGAGATAAAACTTGGGCTCGTGTAATCTAGAAGTTAATGAACATAGTTGTCATTTTAAGAGTACAGAAGCTATAGACACCATAACAACATGCCAGCTTAATATAGCTTAGAGCACTACCACTAGACAACGCCTAAGCTTTATCAACTTTAGAAATATGTCTCCAAAGTCTAATAAACCATTGGATGATTGCGCATTGCATGTCCAAACACAAGCCTGACCGGTAAGATGGAACCCCTCTCTCCAAACAGAAAGGAAACCATGGTAATATTCTAAGAGGCGCCACTCTTGTTTGATTTCGGAGTTATGTCTATTAGATGGACTGCTGTTCCGCTCATCTGCCCACGGGTCATACTCGGGACTTTTACGTAAGCAGCCATGATCTTAAAATAGTAGAGGGGTGTCACCGAAGCGAAAGTTGTTGGAGAAAATGGGGTGGCGCCCTTAGGTATCGCACAGGGTGATACCCAACCTAGTGATGGCACTTATGTTTTGTACTATAAAATTAGATAAAACAAGTGAATGTGAGGCAGCATTGTGAATTTTTTAAATCAAATTTTTTCTAGCAAAAACACCATTTTCACGTTATATTCTGTTAACACTGAAATTCTGATGTTGCTGTTTAGAAAAAGTAAAACAAGCTTTCTATAGTGATTTTCATTACAGTTCTTTAGAAAAAAATTATAGAACTAGTAACTTAAAATTCATGCATTACGGCTGGTACGAAAATCTATTAATAATTTTTTCACCTTTAGAATAACAGTCAAACAAAACTGTCTTATGTTTTCCTAAAAACAATTTAAAGGGGGAGAGATGTTTTAGTACTAGTGTAACAATTTTATTCCCTAGAAATTCTCCGTTTGTCTTATTCCGTTGAATTTCAACGTAGTGTAGTTTTTTTACAACACTAACAGAGCGCCCAATCAGCGCTGCGCTCCGGTTTCGGTAACACACCCCTTGTGCGTGCCTCGCATTGGTGTGGATATTCCTCCATGCAGCACGATAGCTAACGCCTCCGTGACAGTAAAGGATTTCAGGTTGAATTGTGACTGTCAAAATTGAACTGCTTCCTTCAGAGCAGTAAATTTGTATTTTGTTGATTGGGAAACAATCTTTCAAAGCAAAACTCGGGATTCACTTAATCTGATTCAGAGTGATAATAATTATCAGGTTGTTTCTTTCTAGCGTGAACCTCATACGAATTATAACTAAATAAATAATTAAACCAAACATCAAAAAAATAATCAAATAGTTTCCCAATTTAACCTATTCCTATGTTAAGAAACAAAGGTTAATATGAAACATTTAAGGCCGGAATTAGTTCAGTAAAAAACTTAATTATTTATTGTGTAATTAAATCGAGATTTGAATTTCTCTGACAGACCTAACAGACTTAACAATTGGCTTAAGTCTATTTATCGCTTGTATTCTCAAATTAGATCATTGATAATAGTGTAGGCACCTAATAGAAACAACAAACATTTACAACGTTAAAGCTATAGTCGAAAACTAATAATACATTGTAAATCATTAAACAATTCAAGTGACAAAAAATTAGACTGCCATCTTTTTTTTTCAACCCATGACCTAAAGTGAATTCGTCTTCTTACACGCTGTCAGCTTCTAGCACGCTGTCTTTATATAAGTAGATAGATCTTTCCTAACATTTTTCTTCTGTTTTTCTGTTCTTGGTTATAACCATGTGTTGTGTAATTAAATTTGTGTGGTAATATTAACAATGTTTAAAGTAATTTGCATGTTTTTAACAATATTAAATGTAAGCATCTTGTTCTTGCGGCGTTTTTTTTCCTATGTTTAATTTACATTTTAATAACTATACAGGTGTTTAGAAGAAACTATTAAAACCTAAACACTGATAGTCTAGAAATAAACTAAATATTTATAAATTGACTTTTGTTTTCTGTCAATAATATGGATCGAGACCAATAACAAAAATTATTCGGCGATGATATACTTCATGCCAAGCTGTTCATCACTCATGTCATTTTACATTCATCATTATTTTTATTTTTTTTTGGTTTCCTGAGGAACATAGGGCCTGAGTTAAAGCTCTGTTTTCTCTATGGTCTCTTGCCTCTATTTTCAAGCACTGTATTGTCCTTCAATATCAGTAGTGTGACACCCAAATAACAAATTATTGAGACCGTCAAAAAGTGCCCGCGTAGTTTCTAAATTGAGATCGGTCCGTTTTGCCAACTTAACATAGAAAAAATAAATTATGGGTTGCCAAAATTAATATTTTGCCCAGGGCGCCAGAATGATTCGCAACTCATCTGTGCTTTGGAAATCTCTACGCCATTGCCATAAAGATTCCATAACCTGTATCGTTCTATTTTATGCACCTTGTAGAAAGTGTGACCAATTTCATCGCTATTTTATTCCCAGGATTTGCCATTCTAATTTTTTTTTGCGCACGTCATTTTAGGTGCAATCTACAACATTCTCGTCTGTCATTAATACAGTATGTCAGAATGTCAAATGTCAGCACGTAAAATATCACTCTAGATGGTTGAGGCAAACAAGTTTGATTTGTCTAGACTATCCGGTAACTGAACATGAGACAAAAAGGTTTACAAATGGAAAATTGTCCATGCAACATCTATAAACTTCGTTCGTCTCTTAAATTGTGTACCCTTGCTTCGAACCATTGCTTTCAACTATGTTGAGACTAATACAAAATGTAATTCATTTTTTTTAAAAAGGTCAGTTAAGTGATTTTTATAATAGTATCTTGATGATTTCATGTAACACGTAATTAGTTTTTATTCTGATTAACTAGAAAAAAATAAAAAGTACAATAACAAAACATTGAGTTCCCCTTGCGATTACAAAAACACACCAAACGCCTCAACTGCGTAAAGAATTCCTTTTGCCCAAGTTTAGATATCGAAAAAATAGAAACGAAGTAATATAGTGCAAGAATCTTTATTGTGTCTACTAATATCATCATAACCAAGCGTTCATCAGCTGAGCTGTACTAGGCGAGGCCAGCGAACATGACAATCTGTAGGCTACATCACTCTGACGGGGTACTCAATACAGAGATCCTGAAGAAAGATTGTGTAATATATTTAAATACAAAGTTTATCTTTTAAAAGATAGGATTTTAAATAAAATAGTAAATACTATTATCGCGATATCTTTTTAAATATATGTTTACATTAGATAAAATTATCACTTTATTGTAGTGTAATATTTTGACTAGTTTCAAACATAGGTGTTACCTCCATTGTAGGTTTGGTCATTTCCGCTGTTGTAGCCCTTTCCGCTGTCGTAGCTGTTGCTACCACTGTTGTATCCCTTTCCGTTATCGTAGCTGTTGCTACCGCTGTTGTATCCACTTCCGCTGTTGTAGCCCTTTCCGCTGTCGTAGCTGTTGCTACCACTGTTGTAGCCCTTTGCGCTGTCGTAGCTGTTGCTACCACTGTTGTAGCCCTTTCCGCTGTCGTAGCTGTTGCTACCACTGTTGTAGCCCTTTCCGCTGTCGTAGCTGTTGCTACCACTGTTGTAGTCCTTTGCGCTGTCGTATCCACTTCCGCTGTTGTAGCCCTTTCCGCTGTCGTAGCTGTTGCTACCACTGTTGTAGCCCTTTCCGCTGTCGTAGTTGTTGCTACCGCTGTTGTAGCCCTTTCCGCTGTCGTAGTTGTTGCTACCACTGTTGTAGCCCTTTCCGCTGTCGTAGTTGTTGCTACCACTGTTGTAGACACTGCTACCACCATTGTATCCGCCATTGTTGTAGCCTTGTTTAGCGTACAAGCCACTAGCCAAAGCTACCATGGCACAGCAGAGAACAATTTTCATTGAAGCCATTTCGGATTGGATTCGGTATGTGAAAGACAGAGGCTTGAAAAAACAAGAAGAAAACAATTATTTTTTATTGTAAATTATTTTTATTGCTACTGGCAATTATATCTTACCTTACGTTATTTTTAAAGTAGCTAAAGGTGATTTATAAATAACGCTCAATTTTTTAAAAAAATATATAAAATGCTTACAAAACAAGTTCATAAGAAAAAGTACTTTTCAATGTCGAAGCAGTATGTAAATTTTGCTCTAAATGCTAAACTGTGTTGTATGCTCCTAGCAAATTTTTTCATTACTAAGGATTTTTTTTCTAGATCTGAGTTATTCAATAATATTCTAATTTGTATTCTATTGCCTATTTAGTTGACTTAAAACGGAATTTAGTGTTTTGTTAAATTTTATAAATTATTAAATCCCTTGCACTACATTTTCTGATGATTTTTTATCTTCTAAAAAGTAAAATACAAAAAAAAAACAAAGAATTATTAACTATAGAAAATTTAAAATTCTAAATTTTTAATGAAAAGACTTTTTGAAATTTAGTTGTATGAATAAAAATATCTCCAGTACAAACACTTCAAAAATAATTTTCTTTATTTATATGTGGAAATTAAACACCAATACAACGAATTCTAAAACCTGTACAATGTAAAAAAAAAATCTGTAACAGTATCGTCAAAATGTTTGATTTACTTACGCTTTGCTACAGGCAGAGAATAAAGAAAGCAATCAGCTTGGTTATCACATTTCAAAAATTCGTCCACAATATATAGCAGAAAAACCTAAAGCTAGAGATTAATAAATTATCAATGATGACGCAAATTTTGACGTTAATCCAGTATGATTAACGCAACATTAATTTGAAATAAATTAATTGTCAAATAATTAATTAAAAAGCTTGACAAGTGATTGTCATATTTATTTGGTCGTATGTTTTTTTACGTCGATCAAACTGCATGTTGATCCCATCCTCTATCTGAGTGTAGGTAATTAGCCTATATCGGTGTGTAATGATATATGCATGTCTGTAATTTTCCCAGGTTAAGAAAGCCTAGGGTCAATGACGTAAGATCAATAAACGCGATTAAAATATTAACTGGTCTCAAGTCAGCCAACACTGACTCACCTTAGGAAAAGTAAAGGAGGTAGAGCATAGTACAGATCAAACTAGTCTTTCATATACCCAGGTCATTGAAACAGGGGAACTCTACTTCACCTGCCTCATATGTTGAAAATATGCAACTAAACTTTTTACTTTCTCGCATATACGAAGTATAGAGAAAGTCTTGTAATCGTGCAAAAAAAAAACATAGTTTTGCAATCTTGTCCGTATGTTTGTGTGTTTGTATGTGAGTCTGTGTGTCTGTGTGTCTGTGTGTGTAAACACGATAACTTGAATACCGTTACAGCTAGGTTGATGAAATTTCATATATAAGTATTATATAAAAATCGTAGATCCGTAACAATTTTTGAGCGATTTCCGATAACCGGAAGTGGTACTTTTTCTACTTTGAATTTTTCAAAAGCCTATAATTTGAGTACTATTTCAGATAGATAAATGGAATTTCACCCGTAAGTAAAAAAATCTAATTTTCCGCCTTCTGTCAAATTTTGAGGAATTTCCATTGACAGAAAGAGGTACTTTTTGCTATTTCCGATTTCCGTAATACATAGAAAAAATACAAAAGGATGTAAACTTTCACGTGAAGAAAAGCCCCAAGATTTGTAAATTTTAACATGAACACATCATGGCAATAAATAGCGTGTTTCATATCATGTCTTATAAAGATGGCTAGAGAACTAAGACAATAATGAGATAAAACTTGGGCTCGTGTAATCTAGAAGTTAATTAACATAGTTGTCATTTTAAGAGTACAGAAGTTATAGACACCATAACAAACTGCCAGCTTAATATAGCTTAGAGCACTACCACTAGCCTAAACTTTATCAACTTTAGAAATATGTCTCCAAAGTCTAATAGACCATTGAATGATTGCGCATTGCATGTCCAAACAAAAGCCTGGTCGGTAAGATGAGGAGAGCCAGATGTTGCGCATGTCTCCGAACCCCTCTCTCCGAACAGAAAGGAGACTATGGTAATATTCTAAGAGGCGCCACTCTTGTTTGATTTCGGAGTTATGTCTATTAGATGGACTGCTGTTCCGCTCATCTGCCCACGGGTCATACTCGGGACTTTTACGTAAGCAGCCATGCGCTTAAAATAGTAGAGGGGTGTCACCGCACTGAAAAGTGTTGGAGAAAATGGGGTGGCTCCCTTAGGTATCGCACAGGGTGATACCCAACCTAGTGATGGCACTTATGTTTTGTACTATAAAATTAGATAAAACAAGTGAATGTGAGGCAGCATTGTGAATTTTTTAAATCAAATTTTTTCTAGCAAAAACACCATTTTCACGTTATATTCTGTTAACACTGAAATTCTGATGTTGCTGTTTAGAAAAAGTAAAACAAGCTTTCTATAGTGATTTTCATTACAGTTCTTTAGAAAATAATTATAGAACTAGTAACTTAAAATTCATGCATTACTGCTGGTACAAAAATCTATTAATAATTTTTTCACCTTTAGAATAACAGTCAAACAAAACTGTCTTATGTTTTCCTAAAAACAATTTAAAGGGGGAGAGATGTTATAGTCAGAGTTTCTTCCAGGCATCTCTTCGGGGGGACAAAGCCCCTCCGAAATTTTTTTACCGCCCCCCCCCCCCCCCCGAACGAAATGAAATTTATATAATTTATATAGAAAATATATACTTTTAACAGTGTCCGCCCCCCCCCCCCCCCCGAAGAAAGTCTACCGCCCCCCCCCCCCCCGACAATTTCAAGTGCCCCCCGGAGAAAAAAGTCTGGAAGAAACACTGGTTATAGTACTAGTGTAATTATTTTATTCCCTAGAAATTCTCCGTTTGTCTTATTTCGTTGAATTTCAACGTAGTGAAGTTTTTTTTACAACACTAACAGAGCGCCCAATCAGCGCTGCGCTCCGGTTTCGGTAACACACCCCTTGTGCGTGCGTCGCATTGGTATGGATATTCCTCCATGCAGCACGATAGCTAACGCCTCCGTGACAGTAAAGGATTTCAGGTTGAATTGTGGCTGTCAAAATTGAACTGCTTCCTTCAGAGCAGTAAATTTGTATTTTGTTGATTGGGAAACAATCTTTCAAAGCAAAACTCGTGATTAACTTAATCTGATTCAGAGTGATAATAATTATCAGGTTGTTTCTTTCTAGCGTGAACCCCATACGAATTATAAATAAATAAATAATTAAACCAAACTAAAAGAATAATTAAATAGTTTCCCAATTTAACCTATTCCTATGTTAATGAACAACGGTTAATACGAAACATTTAAGGCCTGAATTAGTTCAGTAAAAAACTCAATTATTTATTGTGTAATTAAATCGTGATTTGAATTTCTCTGACAGACTTAACAATGGGCTTAAGTCTATTTATCGCTTGTATTCTCGAATTAGATAATTGATAATAGTGTAGGAACCTAATAGAAACAATAAACATTTATAACGTTAAAGCTATAGTCGAAAACTAATAATACATTGTAAATCATTAAACAATTCAAGTGGCAAAAAATTAGACTGCCATCTTTTTTTTTAAAGCGTAACCCTGACCCATGACCTAAATTGAATTCGTCTTCTTACACGCTGTCAGCGTCTAGCACGCTGTCCTTATATAAGTAGATAGATCTTTCCTAACATTTTTCTTCTGTTTTCTATTCTTGTTTATAACCATGTGTTGTGTAATTAGATTTGTGTGGTAATATTAACAATGTTTAAAGTAATTTGCGTAATTTTAATAATATTAAATGTAAGCATCTTGTTCTTGTGGCATTTTTTTACACTGTTTATTTTACACTAATAACTATACAGTTGTTTATAAGAAACTATTAAAACTGTGATAGTCTAGAAATAAACTAAACATTTATAAATTGCCTTTTGTTTTCTGTGAATTATATGGATCAAGACGAATTAGAAAAACTATTTGGCGATGATAGACTTCATGCCAAGCTGTTGATCACTCATGTCATTTTACATTCATCATCATTTTGTTTTTTGGTTTCCTGAGGAACATAGGGCCTCAGTTAAAGCTCTGTTTTCTCTATGGTCTCTTGCCTCTATTTTCGAGCACCGTATCGTCCTTCAATATCAGTAATGTGACACCCAAATAACAAATTATTGAGACCGACAAAATGTGCCCCTGTACTTTCTAAATTCTTTTTCCAACTTGACAAATACAAAAAATAAATTAGTGGGTTGCCAAAATTAATTGTTTGCCCAAGGTGTCAGAATGGTTCGCCACTCATCATTGCTTTGGCAGTCTCTACGTCGTTGCCATAACGTTTCTAAAACTTGTATCGCTCTATTTTATGCACCTTTTAGGAAGTTTGACCAATTTCATCGCTATTTTATTCCCGGGATCTGCCTTTCTAATTTTATTTGCGCAGCCATTTAAGTTAAAATCGACAACAATTTTGTCGGTCATTTATTCAGAATGTCAAAATGTCAAATGTCAGCAAGTTAAATATCACGTCAGATTGTTGAGGAAAACAACTTTGGTCTATTTAGACTATCCGGTAATTGAAAATGAGACACAAAGGTTTACAAATGCAAAATTGTTCATGTAACATCTATAAACTTCGTTCGTCGCTAAAATTGTGTACTCTTGCTTCAAACCATTGCTTTCATCTCTGTTGCGACTAATACAAAATCTAATTCACTATTTAGAAAAGGCCAGTTAAGTAATTAGTTTTTATTTTAAAGTACAATAATAAAAATATCGATTTTTTCCTTGCATTTAGAAACAAGTTAATAAAAAGTCTAGTGACAATTTAAGCGCAATTTCCCCATAGATCTATATTTATATATTGCTATATAGTACTGTAGTGTATTATGAATAATGTAATTTTTTTTTAAATTTTGTGACCGAACGAAAGGATATTTTTGAAAACTTTCTTCGGCAATATTGTTCTAAATTATGACAGAAATCGATTGGTACATGTTTCAAGTCGCTAAGTGGTCTGGTTGCTGAGATATGAGCCACAAACTGCATTTTTCGAGGTTTTTTGGCTTTTCCGGGAAATCCAGGAAGGAATTCCGGGAATTGTTTTGGCCCGCAATCATCCTCGGAACTTGCTTAACATATTTGCTTTTGGAACTAGTCCTCGATATTGCTTTGTTGAGGAGGAGATACGACTTAAAGCTGCGGACACACATCCATCCATCCATCCATCCATCCATCCAGAAAAAACGAATTAATAATCGCGATTGCCAGTATGGAAATTGCGCTAAAAAATACCCAAAAACCGTAACTGCGTAAGGATTCCTATTGTCCAAACTTAGATAACGAAGAAATAGAAATCAAATAATATAGTGCTAGAATCTTTATTTTGTCTACTAGTATCATCATAACCAAGCGTTCATCAGCTGAGCTGTAGTAGGCGTGGCCAGCGAGCATGACAATCTGTACATCTCTCTGATGGGGTACTCAATACAGAGATCCTGGAGAAAAATGTTATATATTTAAATACACAGTACACTTTTTAAAATATTGGATTTTAAATAAAAGAGTAAATATTGTTAACGTGACGATATCTTTTTTAAATATATGTTTTCATTAGATAAAATTATTACTTTAATTTAATATTTTGACTAGTTTCAAACATAGGTTTTACCTCCATTGTAGGTTTGGTCGTTTCCGCTGTTGTAGCCCTTTTCGCTGTCGTAGCTGTTGCTACCACTGTTGTAGCCCTTTCCGCTGTCGTAGTTGTTGCTACCGCTGTTATATCCACTTCCGCTGGTGTAGCTCTTTCCGCTGTCGTAGCTGTTGCTACCACTGTTGTAGCCCTTTCCGCTGTCATAGCTGTTGCTACCACTGTTGTAGCCCTTTCCGCTGTCGTAGCTGTTGCTAGCACTGTTGTAGCCCTTTCCGCTGTCGTAGCTGTTGCTACCACTGTTGTAGCCCTTTCCGCTGTCGTAGCTGTTGCTACCACTGTTGTAGCCCTTTCCGCTGTCGTAGCTGTTGCTACCACTGTTGTAGCCCTTTCCGCTGTCGTAGCTGTTGCTACCACTGTTGTAGCCCTTTCCGCTGTCGTATCCACTTCCGCTGTTGTAGCCCTTTCCGCTGTCGTAGCTGTTGCTACCACTGTTGTAGCCCTTTCCGCTGTCGTAGCTGTTGCTACCACTGTTGTAGACACTGCTACCACCATTGTATCCGCCATTGTTGTAGCCTTGTTTAGCGTACAAGCCACTAGCCAAAGCTACCATGGCACAGCAGAGAACAATTTTCATTGAAGCCATTTCGTATCGGATTCGGTATGTGAAAGACAGAGGCTTAAAGAACAAGAAGAATATAATTATTTTTATTATAATTTTTTTTATTGCTACTGGCAATTATAATGTATGACCTTACGTTATGTTAAAAGTAGTTAAATGGTATTTTATAAATAACGCTCAAGTTTCAAAAAAATATTTAAAATACCTACGAAGCAAGCTCATAAGAAAAATACTTTTCAATGTATAAGCAGTATGTAAATTTTGCTCTAAATGCTTAACTGTGTTGTATGCTCCCAGCTTACTTTTTTTTATTGTTAGGGATTTTTTTTCTAGTTGTTCAATAATATTCTAATTTGTATTGTATTGCCTATTTAGTGACTTAAACCGGAATTTAGTGTTTTGTTATATTTATTAATTTATTACATTCCTTGCGCTTTATTTTCTTTAACCTGATGATTTTTTATCTTCTAAAAAGTAAAATACAAAAAAAAACAAAGAATTATTAACTATGAAATATTTAAAATTCTAAATTTTTAATGAAAAGACTTTTTGAAATTTTGTTTTATGAATTAAAATATTTCCAGTATAAATACTTCGAAAAAAAATGTTATTTATTTATATGTGGATAAATTGAACACAAATACAACGAATTCTAAAACCTGTACAATGTAAAAAAAAATCTGTAACAGTGTAGTCAAAATGTTGGATTTACTTACGCTTGCTACAGGCAAAGAATAAGGGAAGCAATGAGCTTGGTTATCACATTTCAAAAAGTCGTCCACAATATATAACAGAAAACCTAAAGCTAGAGATTAATAGATTATCAATGATGACGCAAATTTTGACGTTAATCCAGTATGATTAACGCAAAATTAATTTGAAATAAATTAATTGTCAAATAATTAATTAAAAAGCTTGACAAGTGATTGTCATATTTATTTGGTCGTATGTTTTTTTACGTCGATCAAACTGCATGTTGATCTCACCATCTATCTGAGTGTAGGTAATTAGCCTATATCGGTGTGTAATGATATATGCATGTCTGTAATTTTCCCAGGTTAAGAAAGCCTAGGGTCAATGACGTAAGATCAATAAACGCGATTAAAATATTAACTGGTCTTAAGTCAGCCAACACTGACTCACGGTAGGAAAAGTAAAGGCGGCTGGGCATAGTGCTGACCAAATTATCTTTTCATATGCCGAGGTCTATGAAACATATACTTCACCTGACTCATATATTGAAAATATGCAACTAAACTTTTTTTCTCTGTAAGTGTAAATTTTGCAATTGCGTGCAAAAAAAAACATTTTTTAATATATATTTTCGACCTTTTTTTGTCTTGGTCTCACCCCCCCCCCCCCCCCGCTAAATGTTGTCACCCGGTGCGGTCCGCACCACCGATCCACCTCGCGACGATTCTGGTTTAAGACATGGAGAGTTTCTCGTCCAAAGTATATATTTATTATGTAAACAATTTAAAAATGTTCCATTTCATATCTATGAAAACAAAATTGATTAGTAGCGTCATTGATTGAGGACGCGGTCCGCATTTCTTCTGAAACTATATAAGGGGTGACGCCAAATTTAAAAAAAAACGTAATATTTTCTGTCAAAACTGTGTTCTATCTATTGAAAATAATAAAATAGAAACGTGTTTGAGATCATCGTCATTTAAAACAAAAAAAAAATTTAAATTCGATGTCCACCGATAGTAAGTTAATGTTTGTATTAACCAAATCACCCACACGGTCTTAAGGGAATAACCGTTCGGTGATATATCTGAAGTAAGGTGCATCGGTGGAGAAGAGTGTGAAGTCATTATTACCTAGTCATAAAGCAAGGTCTACTTTTAGATTCGTGTTTATACTAAGACTTGCCCGAACAAAAAATAAAACAAATATCGTAATCAAGAGTGTAATTCACGAGTATCGCATGGATATACTGGTTACTTGTGTGTGAGAGAGCTAGGAACATAGCCGGTTATGTGTGTGTAAGAGAGAGAGCTAGGAACATAGCCGGTTATGTGTGTGTAAGAGAGAGAGAGAGTTAGGAACATAGCCGGTTATGTGTGTGTAAGAGAGAGAGCTAGGAACATAGCCGGTTATGTGTGTGTAAGAGAGAGAGCTAGGAACATAGCCGGTTATGTTTGTGTAAGAGAGAGAGAGATAGGAACATAGCCGGTTATGTGTGTGTAAGAGAGAGAGCTAGGAACATAGCCGGTTATGTGTGTGTAAGAGAGAGAGCTAGGAACATAGCCGGTTATGTGTGTGTAAGAGAGAGAGCTAGGAACATAGCCGGTTATGTGTGTGTAAGAGAGAGAGATAGGAAAGTAGCCGGTTATGTTTGTGTAAGAGATGGTAGAAAGTTTATGTTAGATTTAGCTCATCAGATTAAATAAAGGTTACACCATGAACTCGTGAGCTGGATTTAAGCTGACCATAACGTCCGTATTGTATTGTTAGTGATAGGCTTAAGCTAGGTACCTCCTCTTCTATGTTACAAAATATGACTGAATATATTTTGAGTAACATGATTTATAGGTTTTTGTTTTTACTTAAGTAGCTTCTCTTTATACCTAGTGATTAATTGGGCAGATAAAATAGATTTCAGTTTTCTTGACCTCGGATTAGGAAGAGATGGTGTGGTCATCACTGGCTACAGGATATTACACCCCCCCCCCGGGACATTTCCCTCCGGATATTCCCCGCCAGCCCCCTATTTACCCCATGGAGCAATTACCCCCTGTCAATTGCCCCCCCCCCTGTCAATTACCCCCCCCCTGTCAATTATCCCCCCCCCCCCCCATATCCACCAAGGTTAGAATCCTGATTCTAACTCCAACTCTATACATATATATTACCTTAATCCTAACCTTAAGACAAAGACAAAAAACCTAAGAATTCACCTCATCCTAAAATAAACCCAAAACCAAACCCAACTCTAGAAATTCATTTTAGCCTAACCCAGATCCTAACCCTGATCCTAGCCCTAGCCCTAGCCTTAGCCCTAGCCCTAGCCCTAGCCCTAGCCCTAGCCCTAGCCCTAGCCCTAGCCCTAGCCCTAGCCCTAGCCCTAGCCCTAGCCTTATTGATTAAGAGATACCTGGAAGGAACTCTGGTGAAAGTTCAGAAAATTGACTGTTTCTTGGTTTTTAGGATCTTATTTATCTGTTTTCTTATTAATCAATCGTGTACACCAAAAAAACAAACTATTCAGACTGACAAAACAGATAAAAAGTGCCCCCGAATTTTCTAAATTGGGGTAGGTGCTGTTTTGCTAATTTGACTAGCATTGAATAAATTTAGAGGATGACAAAATTGATAGTTGGCCCTCCACGCCTGGATGGATTGCTTCTCCACTGTGCTTTGGTAGTCTCTGCCTCGTTGCCCTAAAGGTTCCTAGACATGTCTCGCTCTGTTTCCTGCACCAATGTTACCAATTCATCACTATTCTCTTGCCGGCATTTGCCTTTCTAATTTTATTTGCGTAAGTCACTACAGATTACCTCTCGATTAATACAGTATGTCAGAATTTCAAATGTCAGCATGCCAAAAGATATAAGATCAATGAACGCGATTAAAATATTAACTGGTCATTATTCAACACTGACTCACGTTAGGAAAGGTGAAATCGGCTGGGCATAGTGCTGACCAAACTATCCCTTCATATGCCGAGGTCAATAAAACATAAGAACTCTACCTCACCTGCCCAATGGACCGTGAGTTTTGAAAGATTACATTCTTTTTACTCTCGCATATTATTTTACCATGAATTCAAAGGCTTACCTGTGTGTGAATATGTGTGAAGTAATCTCATATTATTTACTTTCTAATTCTTCTTTTTAGTTACAATAATGGAGGGGATTTCCTTTAACACAATTAAATATTATAAGTCTACATGTAATCTCACAATTAACTTTTTTATCTATTTTCTCAATACACTCGAAAAACAATTTTCTGAAAATCTCAAGCGCTGTTGTTTTCAATGAATATCTATTTTTGTAAAATAATTTTAAAAAACACTATATTTAAAAAATTGTATTGATATATTGGACACGATGTATAAAACATTATAAGAAAACAATTAATGCTTACATTACTTTGTTATGGTGCAAAGGTACAAGAGATAATTGAGTTTAGAGTTACAAAAAAGCTAGATATGCGAGCATTAAATAAATCCTATGAGAAAAGTATCTGCTTGTTGTCAATTTTCTAATCGTATATCTGAAATTTAAAAATGAATTAAAGGAGTCTAATATCTTTTAGTCACTGTCGCTGTCTTCCGAAGACTCATCGGATTCATAGTCAAAAGGTTTCAATGTTTTTTTTAGCTCCGGGTTACTAGAACAGATTTTAATAAACAATCTTTCATCCTCAATATTACGGTTCTTCAGTAATGTGTCGTCTGCCAGGAACAGTAATCTTTCCATCAGCGGGTACGGGAGTCCAGTCTTCTCCACTCTGGCGGGTCTGTTTGGGTGGGATCCTATAGCAGACGATACAGCGACAAACGCCATCATCTCCAGACGTAGTGGTGTTTTAGAATATGGGTTTAACATGGTAGCACAATCAGTGTGAAACTGTGGCACTAAATACTTAATAACTTTTTCACTATGTGATAATAAACGCAGGTCTGAGTTGGTCAAAAAAACGATTTTTATAAAATACTCAGCCAGGAATAAATTGTCCATCAGAAGGGCTACACAGAGGGGAGTTAACCTATATGAACTTGTAAACCAGTATTTAATATTCTTGGTTATCTCCACCTCACTTGGCCCTACCCCTGCCTTGATGAGCTGTTGTGCTATACAATCCTTCCCTAATGCAATGAACAAATGAACAAACTCTGGATTCACCAGCTCCACCTTAGCTCCACGATTTAACAAGTGTTTAACAATCTTACACATTGTCTTAGGTCTTCCAGGCAGATTGGATAAAGCAATAGACAGCGCTGTTTTTGGTGGATTATGGTAACTCATTAAATCGACATCAGCCTCCACTAATCTTGATGATAAAACAGCTTTTTTATTTTCAAACTTAATCGACAGCATTAATGGGGTCATTCCCTTTTTATTGCGATGATTGATGGAAGCGCCTTCACAAATTAACTGATCTAATATTTTAACATTCTGCCAACTATCATCACGACAGTCTGAAATGGCATGAAATAATGCTGTGTTGCCTTTATGATCAGTCGTATTAATGTCTCTGTTCGCTCCAGCGTTTATTAAACTTGTCAGAACGTCTTCATCGCCCATCTTAGCAGCCGTCATCAAACACGTACAGCCGTCCATATCTCTATGTGTAATGTCTGATCCTCGTGCAATCAACTCGTCTATTAAAACATCATCACCATTATCTATAGCGTGATTCAACGCTGTTTTACCATACTCATCGCGAGCGTCCACATTAGCACCATATCTCAACAACTTTAAAGCAATCTGTGTATTATACCTCTCTGCTGCATTAATCAGAGCTGTGGAGTGTTTCACCTGTGCGTTTACGTCCGCACCCAGTTCAAATAAAATCTCAACGTTTTCCGATGAATTCGATAATGTTGACACATAAAACGCAGTGTCGCCATTTTTATTTCTGTGTCCTAGATCAGAGCCTGCCTCCATCAACATTTTTAAAATTATTTTAGTACCAGTCATCTTCGCAGCAACCAATAATACCGTATCTCCGGAAACATTTTCCACATTGACACGCGTAAAATGTTTTAAAATCTCTTGAAATATCTCGTCCCGTAAAATATAACAATCTGTATTGTCATTTGTTTTGAGCGCTTTCTTTAAACCATCAAAGTATTCCGCTGAAAGAATTTTAAACAAAACTGTTGGCGACTTCGTATCATTAAGGTCAATGTTGACGTCAGCACCCCGGTGTATCAGAAAATTAACCATCCCTAAATTAAACGACTTGGTCAGGGCGGTGTTACCACATACCAACTGATTCACATCGGCGCCAAGTTCCAACAAAACTTTAACGACGCCAACATCGGAGGTTGATGCTGCTAAAAGAAGAAGTTCAGACGTCGAGCTGCAGACGGCTGCTTGACAAGCAGACGTGTAGCGTTCAGATATCATCCTCAGACATTCCTTCTGTCGGTGTGTGAGCACTGTATTTAAAGCAGATGGGACGTTCATTTTGGCGTTGTTTTGAAGACGAAATTCAGCACATTCAAGCTCTCCATTTCTTAATGCGGTCTCTAAGGCACTACCTGCAAATACTGGCAAGTTATTTTTGTCAAGATAATTCACGCTAACTTTGTGTTTAATTAATAATCTGATGACGTCAGTTCGGCCTTTAGCAGCCGACACGACCATCGCTTGATAAGGCGCCAGGACGCCATGACGGCAGAAAACCTCAACCAATCTGAGGTCACCAATATCAGCAGCCAGAGTGACCTCTGACCCTTTCTCATATACAGCCAAGCCGTGTGACAAAAGTGATTTGATCATTTCTATCTCAACCCATGTTACACAAGATTTTCTTTCATCTATAGAACTTAACAGCTTAAAAATAATTAATGTATCTTTTATGTTGATTTCCTTTATTTTAACAAGTTCAGTTTCAATAAGCCATTTTACATTTTTTAAGTCTCTATTTAGAACGGCCTCTAAGAGCATAGAATCATCGTTTTTATGTTTCTGAATCAGCCGAACTACTTGACCTATTCCAGCTTTGTCAGCTATGTCTTGTGCACATTCACAGCGATTGTAGTTATTGCTTTCCTTAATGTTTTGAACATCGCTTAATGATGGTCCACCTTTAAGGAGAATTTTGACCTTCTCCAGTTCAAATTCTTTCAATGCTTTCGTTAAAGCAGTTTCCCCCTTCTCATTAATGTGTTCGATGTTGACACCTTCCTGCTTCAGGAGAGTCTCAGCTACTTCAATAGGACAACCACGGCGCATCGACAAAATCAGTGACGTATTTCCGGCATGATCAACATGGTTCACATCCGCCATCTTTTGAAGTAACATAGATACGATGATAGGAAATCCATGCTCTGAAGCAACCATTAAGGCCGTGCGTCCTCTAGTGTTGCTGGCATTGACGTCTGCTCCGTGTTCAATCAACAAGGCAGCAATGTCTACATGTCCAATTGTAGCTGCCACCAACAATGGCGTGTTGCCATGGCAATCTCTGGTTTCCAGGTAAGCCCCAGCTTGAAGTAAGTAGGTGACGTGTATTCTTGACCCTTTGTTGCAAGCAACTAGCAGACACTGGTCAAGAGTTGGCTGAAACACAACAATTCTTCTAGACCTCACTAGATGAAGATAAGACAAGACGTCTGGTGACCCTGAGGAAATCATATCTAACAAAGGATCCCTTAGACTTGATCTTGCCATGATTCAATTAATATGTTGGTCTGTCTTAAAAAATATTTCCTTTATTTCCAGAGATGTCTTCTGTTGTTTTTTTTTTTTTTTTTTTTTTTTTTCCGTTTCAATCTGTGAAATATTAAAATAATATTTTAAAATGTATTAACAGATTTCGTTACATGTAAGTTTAGTTTTTAAATGTAGCGTTTGTAGTGAGAAAAAAATGCATCTATCAAAACCTTCACAAGAACAAACTATTAAATGTTGTAAAAGAAGAAATTACAAAAAAAAAAAATTCTAATTTACTCAAAATAAGTCATAGATTTTATGAGCGAACAGCGTTTTTACTGAGGAAAGAAAGTATGTTTAAATTTCTGTTTTTCTATCAATTGAAAGCTACTTATGTTCGTTCACTTTCTACATTTTAGTAAATGCGAATTTTAAAAACGTAAAGCTATAAGTCGATGTTAAAGATTTTGAAATAAATTTCAAGCATATTTATACTTCCTATTTAGTTATCAGTTTAGTTGCAACTTAATACGACTAAATGTATTTCCAAAATCCCGATCAGTAAATTATTGTGATCTTAAATCTAAAAATAATCATCTGCCCCTTATTAATCTACGCTGTCGGCTTTCATATTCGAATACTAATATAAAATGAAAACAGCATATTCTTATTAAATTATTTATAACTTTAATTTATTCCATTACAATGTTTGCCTATTAAAAGTCAACAAAACATTAAATTTAAGGTCGAAATGATTTAACTCCTGAAATAATTCAGATTCAACACAGGCTATGTCCACAAGACGGCCAGTGATTGGTGTGTAGATATAGGTGGACGACAAGATTAACTTACATAATAAGCACATACAACATACAACAATAGATCTATATATATATATATTATTTGTTTCTATTTGAACCATAACACAACGGTGATACTTAAAAATGTATTCTTCGTTCAATTACGTTGACCTACCTACTTAAAGTCAATCAGTGTTTCTTCCAGACTTTTTTCTCCGGGGGGGGGGCAATAGATATTTTCGGGGGGGGGGGGGGGGGGGGCAACATTTTCCGGGGAGGGGGCGGACACTGATAAAAGTATATGTTTTCTATATAAATTCCATTTCGTTCTTGGGGGGGGAGGGGCGGCAGACGTTCTTCGAAGGGGGGTGGGCAGAAGAGATGCCTGAAAGAAACTCTGAAGTCTATGTACTGTGCTTTAAAAATTGAAATGGTCTTGTCGTTAAACGTTTCTAAATTTAAACCATCTATATTTAGATATTTCTTTACATTTCGAGAAATGTGCTTATTTCAGCTGCATTTCTTGAAGTTTTCGATTTCAGTAGAAGTTTGTATTAATCTAAGATACTATTTTATTTTCAATTTAATAATTAATAAAGAAATAAGGAAAATACATACATTATTGAAAAAATTGACTAGGGCTTTTACCTCTACACGTTAAATTAAAATTAGTCACAGTGGTAAGCCCTCGGGATTTACCAATCGAGAAGAAGATTTAATGTTACAGAACTTATAGAGAATGGAACACGATAAAAGTCAATAAACAAACAACACAATTAAAATGAAGAAGAGTATTAAAAGAAATCTTACTTTTATATTTGATGTTCTCTTTTACAGAACTCCCGAGAGACATGCGGAAATGAAGTAAGCCAAGTTAGATACGTGACAATGTTCGTTATTTCTAGAAAGTAGCCTACAATAGGGAATACTGATAGATGAAAATAGAAACCAAAAAAACATGGGGAATATCCGTTTTTGCAGGATGTCGAGCATTAAATACGTAGTTTGACTTGTAATAACAATTTCCCATATGCTTACAATCATTGTAAATCCAAAGTTTAAGATGTATAACCTATTATAAATCAAAATCAATTATATCGTTGTCATCCTAACATTGAAAATCTACTTCTACTAAAAGTATTAGGCCTATTTATATGTAAAAAGTGTGAGAAACCAAAAAAAACTGTAGGTAAAGCATGATCTTAACGTTTTGGTTTGGTAGTGTTTGAAAAATAATTTAAAACGAAGGTGATAATAAAGTGCTAAATAAATATTACGCTAAAATGGCACTATTGCCAAAACGATAGTCCCATCAAGAATCGAGTACTTAACTAAATTATTACAACCAAATAATACTCAGCAAGCTGAAAATTAATACTTTTAGCTAATTAGCATCAAGTTCACTACTTTTCAGCATATTTCTGAATACAGCATTTACCTACATTTTTATTAACCACTTATACATTAACTGAGCAATTAGTAAAGTAGGAATATAAAAATGTTAACATCTTAAAACCATTTTAAATATTGTTTGAGTATTAAATTATCAACATAACGGTTTAGGGTAAAGATTTTTGTCTCCTTTTTATGAAAAATTAAATCATTGTTTCACAGTATGGGTTAAGGGAGGTAACCTGCAAGGTGAGGACAATGAAGACAAGATAATATGTATTTCTCTCTGTCGTATTGTGTTTCTGTGTGTAGTCATGTAGTGAATTAGTAAAGCGGTTGACAGAGCTGATCGTTATTTTTACTTAGTGACCCGTCCCATCCCTAGTGTTCCCCACTCGTGTCTTGCGCTGGTCATAGTCCGGTTTGTACTTGTTTGTGTACGGGTTTAAAATATGTGTAACAACGTGGTTTGTTTGCCTAAGTCCAGTACTTTAAATCTATTAGGTTAGTGTAGGTGAGTGTTGTGTGCTTTAGTTCCGTAGCCACGGTATCCTATCTCTGTGTTTTACTTTTGTGTTAGTTCTGTGTGCATTAGTTCTGTATATTCTACGACTGTGTTTTACTTTTGGGTTAGTTCTGTGTGCATTAGTTCTGTATATTCTATGTCTGTGTTTTACTTTTGTGTTAGTTCTATGTGCTTTAGTTCTGTACATTCTAGGTCTGTGTTTTACTTTTTTGTTAGTTCTGTGTACTTTAGTTCTGTAGCCATGTATCCTAGGTTTGTAAAGACGTGTCCATATGTTCAAAACAAGTTTGAACATTAACCGGTTTATCTAGCAACTACTGACAATTTGCTCTAAACCTACAAGTTTCACTGCCCTTATGATAATATGTTACACTGAGGAAATGACTCTGTCGTACATCAATCAATTAAAAAGTTTTGTTATCAGAAACTTTACCATCCATCTTAAAGTTATATGTTTTATATCTTTCTAATCTATAGCAGATTTTTTTTCCTTTAACCCTCAAAAGTTTCTTTTACACATCAATATCTGACACTTGAACATAACGGTTGTAATTAGATACAACTTCAAAAACACAAGAATAACTTTTTAAATAATTGTATTGTGATAACATTCAGGATATAACTATATATAACTCATAATTTATCTTGTAGAACAAAGTATATACGTAAGTACTAAGTAAATCCTATAAGAAATATAACTAAACCAAGTTGCTGTATAAATCTTGATTCAAAAAATGTAATATTTACTATAAGTGTTTAATCTGTTTCTAGAAGCTGTCACTGCTGTCATTGCTGTCACTGGTGTCACTGTCGCTGCTAGGTGAAGACAAGTTGTATCCAAAGATATGAGATTTCAGTTTTTTATTTAGCTTTGGGTTACAGGAGCAGATCTCACGAAACAATCTTTGGTTCTCAATATTACGGTTCTTCAGTAATGTGTCGTCTGCCAGGAACAGTAATCTTTCCATCAGCGGGTACGGGAGTCCAGTCTTCTCCACTCTGGCGGGTCTGTTTGGGTGGGATCCTATAGCAGACGATACAGCGACAAACGCCATCATCTCCAGACGTAGAGGTGTTTTAGCATATGGCTTAAAAATCTCAGCACAATCCGTGCGTAACTTCTGCTCTAAATACTTGATAACTTTTTCGCTTTGTGATAACAATTGTAGGTCTGAGTTGGTCAAAAAACAGATTTTGATGAAGTACTCAGCCAGAACTACATTTTTCATTAGAAGGGCTACACAGAGGGGAGTTAACCTATATGAACTTGTGAACCAGTAATTAAAATTCTTGGTTATCTCCACCTCACTTGGCCCTACCCCTGCCTTGATGAGTTGTTGAGCTATAGAATCCTTCCCTAATGCAATGAACAAATGAACAAACTCTGGACTCACAAGGTCTGCTTTAGCTCCACGATCTAACAAGTGTTTAACAATCTTACACATTCTCTTAGGTCTTCCAGGCAGATTGGATAAAGCAATAGACAGCGCTGTTTTTGGTGGATTATGGTAACTCATTAAACTAACATCAGCCTCAGACAACTTTGAACACAAAATTGCCCTTTGATTTTCCCATTTGACAGCAACCATTAATGGCGTCATTCCTTTTTTATTGCGATGGTTGACACACGCTCCGGCATAAATTAAAGAGTTTATAACACGTGTATTTTTCCAAACGTAATCCCCATCGTTCTGAATCGCATGAAACAGAGCTGTTTCTCCATATTTATCTGAATCATCGATGCGTTTGTCCGCCCCTGCTTTCAATAAAATCTTAACAACATCAAAGTCACCACTTGATGCAGCAAACATCAGAACAGTAAAACCACTGTGGTCGTGATGAAAAATATCGGCGCCTTTTTCAATCAACTGATCTACCAAAAAACTATCTTCATTTTCGGCGGCGTTACCTAAAGCTGTTCGACCTATCCGATCACATGTATTCACATTTGCGCCACGGGTGATCAAATATTCACACATTTCTGATTTACATTCATCTGCTAGTCTCACTAAAGCTGTCGAGTGGTCAACTTTGACATCAATATCCGCGCCTTTGTCTATCAACAGTTTAACGTTGCTCATATTATCAGACAAGGCGGCTATATAAAACGCCGTTTCGCCTTCTTTATTTTTATGTTCTAAACAACAGCCGGCTTTTAATAACATCTCTATAATCTTTTTGGTACCATCCATTTTTGCAGCAACCGTCAGAGCGGTATCGCCTGTTTCATTTTCAACATTGACACGTGTAAAGTGTTTCAGTATCTCTTGAGTTATCTCGTCACGTAAAATATAACAATCGACTTTGTCATTTGTGTTCAGCGCTTTCATTAAATCTTCAAAGTATTCCGCTGAAAGAATTTTCAACAAAACTGTCGGTGACTTCGTATCATTTAGGTCAATGTTGACGTCAGCACCCCGGTGTATCAGAAAATTAACCATCCCTAAATTAAACGACTTGGTCAGGGCGGTGTTACCACAAACCAACTGATTCACATCGGCGTCAAGTTCCAACAAAACCTCAATAACGCCAACGTCTGAGGTTGATGCTGCTGTAAGAAGAAGTTCAGACGTTGAGCTGCAGACGGCTGCTTGACAAGCAGACGTGAAGCGTTCAGATATCATCCTCAGACATTCCTTCTGTCGGTGTGTGATCACTGTACTTAAAGCTGATGAGACTTCCATTTTGGCGTTGTTTTGTAGAAGGATTTCAGCACATTCAAGCTCTCCTTTGCTCAGTGCGGACTCTAACGCACTACCAGCAAATATTGGCAAATTGTTGTTATCAAAATGATTCACGCTAACTGTGTATTTAATTAGTATGCTGATGATATCCGTGCGGCCTTTAGCAGCCGACACGACCATCGCTTGATAAGGCACCAGGACGCCATGTTGGCAGAAGACCTCAATCAAATGGACGTCCCCAATATCAGCAGCCAGCGTGACCTCTGACCCTTTTTCGTCTAGAAAAAAACCGTGTGACACAAGAAATGCTGTCAGTTCAATATCATCGCCTGTTACTTTGGATTTTCTTTCATTTATAGAACTTAACAATTTAAAAATAATTAACGGGTCCTCTTCGTTGACGTGTTTTATTTTAACAAGCTCAGTTTCAACGAGCAATTTTACACTGGTTAAGTCCCGTTTTAGAACCGCTTCTAAGAGAATAGATTCATCGCTTTTATATTTCTGTATCAGGCGAACTATTTCACCTATACCAGTTTTGTCAGCGATCTCTTGGGCACATTCGGAGCAAATATTTTCACCGCTTTCCTTTATTTCTTTCGCATCACTTAAACATGCACCGCCTAAAAGAAGCATTTTGACCTTCTCCAACTCCACCTCCTTTAAAGCTTTTGTTAAAGCCGTCTCCCCCTTCTCGTTACAGTGTTCCATGTTGATGCCTTCTTCATTCAGCAGAGCCTCGGCTACTTCGACAGAACAACCACTGCGCATTGACAAAATCAATGACGTATTTCCTTTAATATCACTGGCATTGACGTCTGCTCCGTGTTCAATCAAAAGTTCCGCGATGTCTACAATTCCATTAGTTGTTGCCACCAACAATGGCGTGTTGCCATGGCAATCTCTCGTTTCTATGTCAGCCCCAGCTTGAAGTAAGTAGGTGACGTATAACCTTGACCCTTTGTCGCAAGCAACTAGCAGACACTGGTCAAGAGTTGGTTGACACACAACAATTTGTCCAGACCTGACCAGATGAAGATAAGACAAGACGTCTGGCGATCCTACGGAAATCATATCCAACAGAGAAACATTTTGACTTGATCTTTCCATGTTTTTTTTACTTCATGTGTCTACCACATGAGAGCTTGAAGTTTCGATCTGCCCAGCAAAGATACTACAATTTAGCGTATTATAATTTTATATCTGCATTTATTGTGACACGGATTATTTGAAGTCCTGAAAAAAAAGTTAATTTAATTTAAACATGTTAGCCTAATTAATTACTTTAAATTCAGAGAGGATTAGAACAGAATCTAAAATTGATTTATTCTTATTAATCATAATGTAACACATTTAAATTAGCCCCTAATTCGTTTATTGTATAAAACTACAACTCTCAGACACAAATTTTAGTAAGAAGAATAGAACAAAAAAGATCATTAATTGTGCCACACATCATGCATAACAAATCAACCCAAAACTAATGTAAGATTATCGACATCTGGGCGAAATTACTGAGGCCAACTTGCACAATCAAATTTATAATTACTGGTGTCACACGCCCTTCACGTACACACGCACAATCTCACACATGCATACACGTGCGCGCACACACACACACTCTCACACACACGTACACACACGCTTCCGACTCGAAACATTGATAGGTAACTTAACAGGTAGGCCTACGTCCAGATAGGTAGATTTGCAAATTCCTAATATAGTGTCACCCCAGTCCACTTTGGTAGACGGTATATTTTGTTCTGATCGGTTAGACCACGCATTGTTTGTCCTGTGAAAAGTTGGTGTCACCCCCTCTCCTTATGTCTAATGGTGTCAATTTGTGCAAGCATTATATTAATCCATTCATAAGAAGCATTTAACCCTAAGTGATAATAATTCAACATTTAAAAAAATTGTTTTCACAGTAAATAATTAAATGTGGTGCCACCCCCACCCCGTTCGTTGACTGACGTATCTGTTGTTAAAAGAATGTAATGAAACTTTTTTTCCATAGTAAATAATGCACAGGTTTTTGGTTGGCGTTTACGTCATTGTGCCCCCCCCCCCCCACCACACACACACACACACACGCCATATTAGTATTTGTCAATTTGTATTAAAAGACTATTTAACTCAAATTTATTATTGATTGAACCAGAAAAAGGCATTTTTCTACATTATATTTTGAAAAATTTTGCCATGGCGTCTGACCCCCCCCCCCACCCTCACCCCATTGTGTCATACGGTGCGGTCTGCACCCGCTCCCTCCTCCCCATGCGGTGTTCTTATCTAAGAACACCGTTTGAGAAGACATAGATCTAGATAGATCGATATATATTTATTTAGGAAGTAACATAACCACGCAATTAAATATGGAATAGCAATAAAAACCGGATGTAGGCTATTTGTTTAAATTATTTCAAAAGAAATATCAATATTTAGTTTGCGCTGATCAATCTAATTAAAACTGTTTAAGAATCATCATCGGCGTTAAATGATATTGATCTGATCTTGACCTATTACTATATCTGCTTTGTGGATATGGTATATTATCAAACTTGATAGATCTTGATCTACATACCAATTACCATAACGTTCGGAGTTTTTAATGAAAGGAAGTAATCCATAGATCTGTATAGAACTCTTTTATGTTCTCTAATTTATTTTACAAAAATAATAACATTTGTTACGTTAAACTATCTGCATTATTTTAACTTCTAGATTCTAGATCCAGTAAATCATTTATTATGAAAATTTTCCATCTCACAATTTTTACTTTCTCGTACATACGAAGTATAGAGAAAGTCTTGTAATCGCGCACAAAAAAAAATCGAGATTTTTAAAAATCTCGACGTTTTACACCTCACTGATACGGAAAAACATAATTTTGCAATCTTGTCCGTATGTCTGTGTGTCTGTCTGTCTGTCTGTGTGTAAACACGATTACTTGAGTACCGTTACAGCTAGGTTGATGAAATTTCATATATAAGTATTTTATCAAAATCGTAGATCCGTATCAACATTTGAGCGATTTTCGATAACCGGAAGTGGTACTTTTTCTACTTTGAATTTTTTCAAAAGCCTATAACTTGAGTACTATTTCAGATAGATAACAAAAAATTCACATATAAGTAAAAGATCGAATTCTCTACCTTCTTTCAAAGTTTGAGTAATTTCAGTTGACCCGGAAGT